CGAATACAAGACTTCCATCAAGCGCGCGCGTCCGCTCCGAGTGTAAGCAGGTATTTACGTGGCTCTTGCTGACACTCGTAGTTCAAACGTATCTTTTTTAACGTCGGCTCGCTCCTGCATCTCCGAGGCCGCGAAAAACGCCATCTACGTCGCTTTGCAAACGACTGACACGGGCCGGCCCTTCTGCCAACAATGACGGGGTGGTGACAAGACTCGCTGCACTTCCCAACAGGCATACCGGCGTATGGGACTAGTCCCATGCTGTCGCTGTAGCGCAACATATCTCATTGAATTTCGCTCAGCTGCGATGCGGCGATGAGAGGCGCCGATTCAGGAAATACGTCGGTGACATCAGCGCAGTAAAACCTACCGGCGCACCCCAACTCGTTGCCGCTAACACTCCCATTCTCCTACTGCCGAGAGAACTTCCGGTTCCGGAAACGGTCTACGTCACGGCTTCTTTTGCGGTCAGTTGGAGAGAATGAAAAAGTCGATATTTCAATAATTTTTTGTGTAAAAGTTAATAAACCGAGACGAAAACGGATGCCTGTTCGGCATTCAGTGAACATTGACGGTTTAATGTAAAAGTTATCTGGAAAAAGTAAAAAGGTCATTTCATGGTCCCTTTAATCTCGCACGTGACATGTCGCCAGACAGATCTGCGGTCACGCTGGGCACAAAATCGTTTAAAGGGAAGCTACGGAGCTTGGAAAAAATGAGTTAGAAGTGAATTCTAGTGGTTTTTCACCTTATGAACCCGAATACCCAAACCATTTGCTGCGTAAGTATTGTTAAACGCGAGAAAAACGCGAAAGACAGTCGCCGTCCGTGACGTCATCGACGGATCTTTTGGCTGCTCAAGGCTAGGGGGGCGGGGCTTCAGCCCTATTTTGAAATTGCTCTTCTGGCTCTCCGGCGCGTCGCATTGAAATATAATTTTGATGTGTTATTCTAAAGGCCAAATGAACGCAATTAAAGCGTTTTTTCTCAAATGTAGAAGTGCCCCATCTTCCCTTTAAAGGAGTCATGAAGCGCTTTTCCAACTTTTTCCTATTTAGCTTTCCTCCTCAACTCATAAATCGCGCATTGTACCAAACAGTTCAAGAAGTCGGAAAGGGCGGAGACCCCTCTTGCTCGGAATCTCGCTTGTGTAGCCGGACACAGCCATTGTCCCCCTAGAAGATTAGCCCTTCGCTCAAAATTCCGACTAGTTGATTTCCCCACCCCGTTCACCCCGAAGCTGACAGTGCTGTGGAAGCTACGTGCTCGTTGGGCAGCCACACATTTTCCACGTGATCACGCTCTCTCGCGCATACCGACCCGCAGAGAATGAGGTCAGGTGATGAAAGAAAGGCGGCTGATTGGTCCGACAAGCGCGTAGCTTCCACCGCAATGTCAGCTTAGGGGTAAAGGGATTAAGTGAGGTCCGGTGTCGTGTGACGTGCGCTTGGGCCCTGGTGACGCGCTGCGGGGGCCCGGTTACGGTGGCTAGTAGCCCGGTGACGGCTGCGGGGTCCGCGGATGTATCACAGTGAAAAGGCGGAGAGTTTACGAAGGGAAGGAGGTACGAAATAGTCCGCTATGTTTTGCAAAGTTTTGTAGCGAAAGTCAGGCTTCTGACTTTCTACCTTTGTTCTTTTGGCCCACTGAACGATGTGCTATTAGTAAAATCCCTATATAAATTGATTTACTCCAGCCCAAAATTCGTTTCATGGGTCGTGGCCCCTCCTAGGACTTCTAACCTCCTTGTTCTATCCTCCTTGGTTGTCGAAGGCGCCGTCGCCATAGCAACATTTCGCTCTCGCGGGGATCGGGAGCTTGCGGGACACCGGGAGTTCTGTTTCTTCCGCACTGGAACGTCGCTTTTTTCTTCTCCTTACACGAACACTCCCAAAACATTTTTTTTTTAATTTTTGTTAGGCCATTTATTATGGAGTCAGAAGACTACCCAATCAATATTTTGCTACAGCGTCACGTATATTTTAATGAAGTAAAAAAACACAACTGCTGGAAACCGAAATTGGACTGGGGAAAAAGATATTTGACTGTGCAACTTTTTTTTTTCTTCAGTCAACGTATTTGCAACCTTTTAGAAGCCACAGAAATGGGTATCATATTTTCTTTCTAATTTTAATATTGAGTGGATGCCTTCGATGACCCTCGACATTATCATTGGTGATTCTGCGTAACTGTAGAAAACGACACGTGACCACGACGAAGAGAGTGAGTGCGAGTGTTCTCGTCAGAGATTTTCGGGTGGAGAAGAGGAATTTCGAGCCGCAAATTGTGCTCAGGGTAGTTGGGCTTTCATGTTATGTACAAATGAAAACCTTGGCGAGCATAAATACCCTGTCAACGTCCCTTTAAGAATGCATTCGTGAATACCGATTTCTCCTCCTCGTAACCTAAGAAGCTTTTCGTAAATATGGCCCCCAACGTCCAGCTAAGCCTAATATCGTCAAAACAAGAAATGACACTGTGGGCACCTTTAGTACCTATTTCACTTAAATTGATGCACGTTTCCTCATTGCCACTAGTCAATTTGATGACATTAGGCTTAAAGGACGTTGGATCATAGAGAAATTTCAATTTCTCAATTATCTTTTGATCAAGGCAACGTCATGTTCTCAAGCTTTCACGTTCTATCCCAACTGCCAGTGTCACAGTCTCAAGAAGTTTGAGCTTCCCGCGATGCACATTTACCCAGGCCAAAAAACACTGTTCTCGTTTCTCAGAAACTCTACGCACATCAGATTTCTTCTTTGTTTCATTTTTAATGTATTGCTACAGTCCCACTCACCAGTTCGAACCGCGATACAAACTAAAAAAAAATGGCCAGAAATGTTTTGCGGGCGCACAAAAATTGTCTCATCGCTTGCGCGACTCCCATCTTTTTTTAAGACTTCAGTCATGAAACTTGTTGTCACTAAATACTGCTCCGAGTGGATCCTGCCTCCAGCGCAAGTTTCTCGACTTTCGAGTCTTGTGCTTCAAGGGTGCACATGCAGTCAAAGTGCAGCAGAAGGCAACGAGCAGAACATAAGAAAGACATCCTGTTGCACTTGTCATCTTTCATACTGTGCCGATAAAATTTCCCATCTACAGCGAGTAACAGTATCATCAAACTCTTTGGCAGACTAACCTCACACTGTCTAAACATCTAACGACAAATTTGAATATTTGTATGCATGCTGGTCTTTATTTGGAACTAAAAAGAGCCAGTGCTCGAGAAGTCTGCTGGTCGGTGCCCAAAATGGCCCCCGCCAGACGCTGCTGGGCAATAGGTTTGCGTTTAAGCATCCCAAATACGTCTCCAGTTGTACTTACCGAGTTCTGTAGTCAACGGAGCCACTCGCCTTGCTTGTGCGTTTCAACAACACCAAAACCGATGCTAATGACTACACATCTACTTGCAAACTAATGGAAAAGTGGTGGACGCTGCTCTGCAATGGGGAAGAACACAGCTTACCATAAAGCATACCGTTTTCTAGCCGCTCAATGTCGGACCCAGTCGCACCCCAGTCGTGTAGATACTCCAACTGGAGGAAGCATTTTTTGTAAAAAAGCTGAATTATCACACATTTGAGTCACAAGTATGTCACATTAAACCACCCTATTCACTGGTTTATGATAATAAACAAGCTTATTACTGCCTACTATCGGCAGGCCCTCGTATGATTCCAGTCCTCCGAAACATATTACAATAAATATTTTTAAGAAACACTGTTTTCCACGACTGCCATGCTTTGTGGAAGAACAAATAAACACGCTATACACTGGAAGCCTACAGGGGAACTACATAGAGGCAGCATCATACACTCAACTGCTGCAAAACACTGAATAGTCTGCACAGACACCTATAAAAAAAAATGGGAAGTCTATGCAACCTGCTACGATTGTGGAATGAGCTAGAGGCCTCTTAGGAAATCATTTTCACTAGCTGTTCTCTCTTGGTACCCAGTCGGATGTCCCTGGTCATTAGGCATTACGATGTACGTCTATTTCTGTTTCGAAATAACACTTGTGCTTTTATCTTAGGTCTAAGGTGGTTAAAATCAAAACTTCAAAGGGAACTCCTAGTCTAAGACATCTCCAAAAAACACAACTGACGCCCTTTAAATTGTATGCTATCTTCATTTACCTTTTGTAACATCACAAAGTGGTTAATGTGAGTTACATGTGCAAAACAAAAATTCTGGTCTTGTAAATGTTCGAACTATCACTTTCAAACTACCATCGCACAGCCAGTGTAACTTCTATGAAATCGTCCCTCTCCTTGCCTAATCTCTCTTTCCGGAGAAAAATATCTCGTCTATGCTTATTTCACGAGATTTGCTGTTAATTTTAAAAATGTTATTACCGAGTTTTTAAAAATTGGGTTGTGTGTGTGTTTATACAGCCTAGAACTTGGTCTGCCTCACAGGGGCGACGAGTCTCCCAGCTGTAGATGAGAAATTTAGCCAGTGCGGTACAGCCGCTAGCCTGGGGTCTTTAACGTGCATCACGCAGTAGTGATACACGACCGCACGCCGGTACGATGCTCATCCAGATCGAAACGGGCAGGGGTCGGGCTCGAACCCAGGATCCCTGGGTTCTGCAGCGCGAGCTTTCGCTCCACGTGCTCCGAGCTGGTGTGCGCTAGACCACTCGGCCACCGATCCCCCACCGACTTTTTAACAGATGATGCATAGCACGTGTTTTGTTTTCTGTGTGTGTGTGTGTTTATGTTGTATTTTTTTGCCTCGTTCAACTATGTTACTTTTATGTGTTGACCGCCCACTCCCCCCTGTAATGCCTTCGGGCCCTGAGAAAAATGAAAAAAAATATGGAACCCAAAATCAGTCCAAAATAATAAAACATTCGATATGAACTTGTTTTCAATACAGCTAATTATGTGCTCAATTTCACATTTTGTGCGTGCTGTGAGGGTAGTACAAAAGACAACTTACCTCAGAGATGCACAATGATTGACAATCAGTCAGTAAAACAATAAGCAAATGTAAAATCCAGTCATAGTTCATTGTTTTATAAACATGTATTGCACTACAGGTTTCTTGACGGCGTTTCTATACATGATGCGTGTCAAGTTCATCAAACATACAACAACGGAGACAAAATGGTTTCAGTACATGCCGCACAGTCTGAGAACTCGTAATGGGGCTGCACGATTCGGAGAGATGGTGCCATTCGATTTTCTATTTATAAAATTTACATAACCGCTAGAAAAAACAAGACAGTTGTATCATTGCCATCTACTGGCAGCACACACTTACATCGGCTCCCAGTATCAACGGAACAGAAAAAGGGGGTAAATATAATAGGGCAAAACATAACCAACTATCCAGAATTCCAACAGTAACAAAAAAGGTGCTGTACATAAAATACCGACATTTACAACGTCCCATGCCCAGAGGCTGGGAGCACAGCGTGGCAGCTGAACAAACTAAAACCCCTCTTGTAAATAATTGCATACGTCAAAAACAAAATGGCTCAGTTCATCCACTTGCGGCAGTTGGGAGCACCACACATGCACGGAATCTTGTGCTGGTCGTCCTCCACGTCAAACTTGTAATCGTAGGTCAGCTGAAACAAACAAATCATTCGCCAAGTTAACATCCTCCAAACGCTTGATATATATGTATGTGACAAAATTTAGAACACAAACTTCATGGCTGGAGGCCACTGTCATTTTTTGATAGATTGGAGTCTCGAACAGCAGAGGTAGCATGCAGCACCTTCATAACTGCTGGCGGGGAAAAAAAGTATGTGGATGACAAGAGAACCCATTGACAAAATGACATCGAAACAAATTCAAACTTCTGTTGCTGCACGCCTCATTTCTGCATAATCAGGGTGTCTAGCAAATTATTCTTTTAAAATTCCCTGACTTTTCCAGGTTTTCCCTCACAATTTCAGGTGAAATCCCCTGACCACTCTAGAGGCGGTTAAATATACAAGACCATTACAACACAAGGCATTGGGCACTGAGCACAATAAGGATTATTTTGCACGGGCCTAATCTAACTTGCATATTCCAAAATATTTGGGTTCGTCCGGTCCGAATTAAATAAGCACTTTCTTGCCGCGGACATCGTCAGTGAAGAGGCCACTTCCGGAAACACGATGAAAACACGGCGCTCAACCACACGTCAATAACCAAATGGCAACATGGCCGCCAGATGCACTTTTGGATACTTTCGTCTTAAGGCTTGGATTAAATTGGAGTCTGCGGCTTTCCCATTTGTTACTAAATCCAGTAGCTCTAACTGGATCTAGCTTAGTGTCGCACTCTCAATCCAATTCATGGCTTCGACTGGATTTGTCGATTCCCTTTGCATCGGGTAGCACACTCTACATCGGGGGAGCAGAGCCCACGCCTCACTCTAAGCAAAATTTATTGCCTATATTTCTGCCCCCAAGTCCTCAAGTCTTTGCTCAAGGCCCTTGATGGCGTTTCCGGCTCACTTCCCCCGACTGGGCTCGCTTTTGACAAATTCCCTGGCAATTCCCTGATTTTTCCCGGTAATTAAAATTTCCCTGACAATTCCCGGTCACCAGACACCCTGATAATGTCCACAACCAACAAAGCCCTCAGGATCAAGTTGCTTAGGTGCCCTTTACAGTCTTCTACTGGAACAGCCATGAACTTACAATTGTGGATGCGACATTTAGCATACAAATATTTTTATGTATATAATTTTTTGGGAAATATTACAAAAAAAAAAATTATCATTATCAGGAAGGATTAGACGCTGGCATAAAATTACCTAGCAAACTGCAACTTCCTATAACAGCTGTACAAAGCCAGGAAGAATAAGAGTATACAGCGTTCGCAGGCGCTAGTTCACTCATGATTAGGGACCTTCGAGGATAGTAATTTTAGCATCCGCAGACTTTGTCTCTGCATCTCAGCCATACCCGCAAACTTTGTCCTTAATTTGTAAAGAGTTACATAAAATGTTTTTTATGTCACTCTTTTAAGTTTTGATGTAGCACTTGTGCTGCATATAAGCTTACGTAAATTATACCTCCCCAAGGTCATACATTTCATGCTTTTTCCTTTCACAACCATCTATGGCAACAATAATGCAGTGTTAGAGACGGTACTAGTTGTCGAAAGTATCGTACAAGACCAGCACCTGAAGAAAATCACTGGCAAAGGCGTAGGGATTATCATCCAAGAAAGGGCAACAGGAGTAATGCAAGACAATATTCTGCGATCAAAGTAGTTTCCCATGTTGGAGGGCACAATTTCTGAAGCTTTAAAAGGACTTGCAGGTTGTTCTGATAAATAAAACAAACCTAATTCATATTTTACTGAGATGCAAACATAGACTTTAAGGTATGAGAGACACCGCTATTATGGCGTCAAGTACTTTCGTCATGAGCAACTACAACCTTTCGTATCTAAAACACTTTACATCCCAATTAAAATCTGTGCACGTTGAGGATCCCAACCAAATTGAATCCGCAGCTTGGCACATCCATGTCCCGTCGGTTATTCGCAAAATTCTACGAATTCGAACCTGCGTCCAAGCATTCTTGGTGCAGATGCTCGCGGGGATATGCGGGACTCTACTCATCACAAGTCATCAATATAACTAGCGCAGTTTATAAAGCTTCGGAGCGTGCTGTTATGAGAATCGTGACTTTGGATCGGGCCCCATAGTTGGTTCACAATGAAAACTAATTAAATAGCGTGGCGCAAACGACACGAGACGACGAAAGAAGCGTATGCACGATGAGGACTTTTGTTGAGAGCTAGTGACAAGTGCATTGGAATGCCTTCCGTACATCTTACTAACAAAGTAACATCTTTTCTCTACGGTTTTATCCAATCCCACCGTCACGCAAACGTCGGTACATACTGCTTGGATTGGCGTTACAATAAATTCGGTCGGAAGTTGGCACCAGTCCTCATCGTGCACGTGAGTTTGTTTGTCCTCGTCTCATTCACACCACTTCATCAACTTTCTGCCGCGCGCAGGCTGCGTTTTGCGCGAGTGTGGCCCCCTGGTTGGAGGCAGGCCCCACCTCCTCTCCTCGCGAGATGCGGCGGTTGGCGATGATCAGGATCTTGTTCTCCCGGTCGATCTGGACCACCTCGGCCACGCAGTTTGGGTTGCACGAGTGGTTCATGTAGCGGGCCAGGCCCCCACTTAGGGTGGCGTCCACCACCCGGTTCTCCTCCAGCCGGAACATGTACACACCACGGTTCTGCAAGGGCAAGCACCGCCACGGGGCGGGTCAGGCACACCGTTCTGCCGTGTATCGGGTCGAAGCTTCGTCGAGCACAAAATGCACAAACTAGCATTCTCCAACAGGGTTCCTAGGAACTCGGGAGTACCCTAGAGTATCCTCTAGGGTTCCTTGGGTTCCCAAATTTCCTCGGTCGTTCCTCTACCCAAGCAAAGTCCAGTATTAAGCACTATTTGAGAAAATATGAGCTATTCGTTGATACATAACCATCTTCCAAACACTCCATGGTATGTGCGTGACTTTTTACAAGATTGAAAATCTGAAAACCCCCCAACTAACGAAAGGCAAAGAGTGTGTGGCGGTTCGGTGCCCACACCCCAAACTTCGTTCCCAACAACACGAAAGCGGAGTTTAAACGGTCTCCCACAAAACAACGAGGTGCGTCGCCGTCGAGTCGTGAAGCTCGGCCATCTGCCGAAAAAAAACAAAGTTGGGAAGAACAAAAGCTGCCCGTCGGTGATGATGAGGCAAGCACGCTCGCGTAAACAAATCTGTCATTAAATATTTACTGGCTTACAGCACGAAAAAATTGGGACTAGGGGAAAAGAAAATTAAACTTGAAAGCTATCCGATAGATCAGGGGCGTCAAACTCATTGAGTGTGGGGGCCAGATAGCCCACCCCGGAAAGGTCAAAGGCCGTAGGGGGGGGGGGGGGGTTGAAAAGATTTCAAAAGAGAAGAGACTTCATGCTCTATGCTTTTTGTAAATTCACAATTTTGCCAGTGACATCTTTAAATTTGATTTGTTTATATAATCACTTTGGTCCCTGACCTGAGGCCCTGATCTGGGCACTCGACGAAAAAGTTGGCAAGAAATCCGGTGGCTATGATTGGCCGGCGCCAAAATCAAGAGTAACGTTGTTCAATCATGGCCGCCCGATTTCTCGTCTACTTTCTCGCCAACTGTCCAGATTAAGTCCCTGATGTGATGACAAGAATTAAAATGACACCGCCTCACCAACATGCTGGTATCTTTATTAGATCAAGAGAGCAAGCACACTGTTGTGCCCACTGCTCAATTCATTCAGTAATTAACCAAGCTCAACATGTACCTTAAAAAAACAATCAGTTAATTTAACAGTTCTTGCTTTCCTGGCAATTTTTATTACAACACTCTCAACAAATACTTTTCTTTTACTGGCAATAGGTAATTTTTTTTTTTTAGCGAGAATTTGGAATTTGCAGCTTTATTTTTGGCAGTTGTGCCTGCTGATTGAGAGTTCGCGGAATTGTTGTACATTACTTAAAGCTCATGGATGAAGAAAGAATAAAACAATTAAAACAGGAACACAACCACATCTTTCAACTAGCAACAGACGAGTAAATTTTCAACAGCGAGCAGCCGACTATACCCAGTAGGAGTAGGGGAGAGAAGGGGGAGAGAAGGAAAGATAAGAACCGCGAAGTGCAAGTCAGGGTGGTAGGGTTATCTCGGATTTTAAACATTCAACCTCAGTCTTCGTCAGCAGGAGGCAAGGGTTAGACACGTTGTTTTTTGCTGTGGTCATGGCGAATGATTCTAAGATTTCCCTGCCGAATCTGCTGTCATGCCCCCCCAGGATTTTTGTGTCATCAAAGAGGGGATGACAACGCAAACACGAACGGGCATGTATGACTATGGGATGATAAGAATCTGGAGAGGCCTTAGAAACTTCTTTGTGATGTTCGCGGAGTCTGTGATTGGTGCATCTGCCTGTCTGTCCTATGTATTGATGGCCTCAGCTCAAGGGGATGGAGTAAACTTTCTTCTCTTTGCATGGAATGAATTTCTTTTCGTGTTTGACAGTGCAGCCAATCGGAATCCGGTTGTTGTTCACTTGTTGACAGAGTTGTTCACTTGTTGACTGAGTTGTGAACAACAACCGGATTCCGATTGGCTGCACTGTCAAACACGAAAAGAAATTCATTCCATGCAAAGAGAAGAAAGTTTACTCCATCCCCTTGAGCTGAGGCCATCAATACATAGGACAGACAGGCAGATGCACCAATCACAGACTCCGCGAACATCACAAAGAAGTTTCTAAGGCCTCTCCAGATTCTTATCATCCCATAGTCATACATGCCCGTTCGTGTTTGCGTTGTCATCCCCTCTTTGATGACACAAAAATCCTGGGGGGCATGACAGCAGATTCGGCAGGGAAATCTTAGAATCATTCGCCATGACCACAGCAAAAAACAACGTGTCTAACCCTTGCCTCCTGCTGACGAAGACTGAGGTTGAATTTTTAAAATCCGAGATAACCCTACCACCCTGACTTGCACTTCGCGGTTCTTATCTTTCCTTCTCTCCCCTTTCTCTCCCCTACTCCTACTGCATATAGTTGGCTGCTCGCTGTTGAAAGTTTACTCGTCTGTTGCTAGTTGAAAGATGTGGTTGTGTTGTCCCTGTTTTAATTGTTTTATTCTTTCTTCATCCATGACTTAAACCAACACGCTCTTCTCCCAAGCATACATAAAGCTGGGAAGCGAAAGATAAAGCGAAACAAAAGGCAAATGAACACAGATAAGTATAAACGATGTGAATATGTTAAACAAACAGAGCTACTCTTCGAGCGAAAATGAATCAGCGAGAAAAGATCACTATAGCGCATGTTATTTCTAGCACTCGAGACATCGGAACCGGGACTTGTAGCTGGTTGCTTGCGGGCCATGTGTTTGAGACCCTTGCACCAATGCATAACTATGAGTCAAAACTATGCGCCAAATGCAAATGTCAAATGTGCATTACAGTTTACAAGGTCTGTAGGCTTCTGCACTGCTTTATGACACCGATGGCAGGAAGAACCCCTCGATAGATGACAACCAGCTAAAACAGCCAGTTTGAGGTCATACACGGGGGGCAATGCCGCCCATAGTGAAATCAGCTCCTAATCCCTTACATGTGTAAAGAATACTACAAAACTACTGTTCCAAGATGTCCTATCCTTCCTTTTATGTGCATTTGGCACATCAATTGAAAATTAGAAAGAGTACACTATGTCAATTATGAAGAAGCATATGAAAACAAAAATCATAGGTTCTTTGGTCCAGAGGAGAAGGCTGCACTATAGTAAAACAATGATCTTCAAACCAGGTTCCAGAAACCCACGAGTATATTCCCCAAATCCTTCGAGCATCCATTCCTCTCAATCGACCCGACCCCTAAGTAGTGTTTTCCCAGCCTAAGCATTACAGTAGACTCTCATTAATTCAAACTCAATTTTGTTTGAATTATCGGGAGTTTGAGTTATCAGAAATTAATCTAAATATGATGCAAGATAAAGTTATGATTGCCATATGAACGGCTACACATACAAAAGCAGATATTTGATGATTTTCTCTACATAGACCTACTGATTGATTATAAGCAGCTATGCGACACATGAAAGATTTGTGAAATGTATGACATAAGTTTCTTTATCTCCAAAATTGTTGTTTATCGTGGACTGTTTAGACAGCACATGACAACTCAAAACAAAATTAAGTTTCTTCATCAGGCTAAGAAGTTGTCTAATCTGCACTATTAATCAGGGAAAACATGAGCAATGAAAACGGGCACCGTGTGGCAGTTTTCATAACAACTTGCACGGACGCTGTGATGTGGACCAATGCCATGCCGCCACGTCACAGCGTCCGTGCAAGTTGCTATGGAAATTTCCATGTGGTACCCGTTTCATGGCTTATCTGTGCCCTGCTTGAGCCCCGTTGAGTGCAAGCTGCGCGGGTGTTGCCTATCTGCAGTGCACGGTGCTCGGAAAGAAGCGCACTCAATGGGGCCGCGAGAACAAAAAGTATGCATTGCACGAAAATGCCGTTCAAATTAAGCGGCTTATGAATACATTAAAAAGTTAGCCGGACAACGAAAATTTTGAGAATTGTTTGAATTAACAAGTACAACAAAGTTTGAATTATCACGAGAATACTGTATCTTTGCGTACCTGAGCCAGACATTGATGTACAGTTACAAACTAATGATTCCTTAGTGCACGCATTATCATTATTTCATTTATTTTATTTTATTTTGCCTTCTAGTCAGCCCACTGTTGATGTTTCTCCAGTGACAGTGCACATCTGCTTTATTTAATCTTTTCTTTCTGCTTTTATAATTTCTACAGTGACGGTGCCCACTTGCACATGCTTTTTGCAATGTTCCGACTGTTCTGTGATCTTGTAGGAGCCTCGCTGTCTTTTTTTACTTTCTGCCATTCTTGCTTGAACCGCCCATTCATCCGCAGCATGAAATAAAATAAATAAACAAATTCTAGGGCTCTGTAATACTTGCCAACAAGGGTCAAGGGGTTCCCCAGCCATCACTGAAAGCACACAGGTATCAAAGGCTTTGAGAACTCCTGGTCTAAAAAGCACTGTGCTCAAAGTTCGTTCCCCAGCTATCAATGAAAGCTGGCCGGTATTACAAAAAAAACTAGAGGGTTCGAGAACTCCAGGTCTAAGTTCCTGGCCTCCTCAAGCGCCGTGCTCGAGGGACCTCGGAGAAGAAAGTACAAGTCACCTGTGCCTCGTAGATGGCCTCGTTGCGTTCGGCGATCTCGTTGCGGATAAGCTGACCGATGTACTCGATGACCATGGTGTGCTTCTCGATGTCCCGGGTGGCATACAAGCCAAGACCCTGGATGCGCGAGCGAGCCAGGTACACGTTGTTGCGCCAGTCGGTCTTCATGCGGCGGTACTGTGACGACTTGGAGTGCACAAAGTGCTTGGTGTAAGGAGAGCTGGCCTCGGCACCCAGGCAGCTGCCCCCACTGCCGCTGCCCGTCGTCTGCAGGGACAGCCGAGACGTGTTGCTCGTGTGCAGTGTGTGGGGCCTGTGGGGAAGGCAAGGCACGGCACAAATGTGCTTTCTTAAAGGGCCACTCCGCTTCATTTTTGATATTTAGAAAACTATGTAGCCCTCTTCAGTATCATATAGGAAGACCCCATGTCAAATATCACAATCTAATTCCGTTTATATATTTAATAAACTGGCCAGCAAACCTTTAAGCGAGCCAAGTCGCCGAAATCTGCCAACTCTAGCGTGCGGCGCGAGGCGCAATCATCAGCGCAGTCAATGCCATGGAGTTGGAGCAGCCGACATTGAGCCACTACGTCAGAGGCATGACTACGTCATTCTCACGTTTTGCTTGTTTTTACTTCTCAGAGCGAAATCGAACGATGACGTTTTGAGTTTCTCCTCCCGGTGTTGGCTGACTGGGCGTTCACGTGATCACCGTAACGCAAATGCGCTAGTTTGCGCTGCCCTACGCGCTTATCGGTCTGTTTCTCTGCTCCCCTTCTCTTTCGTCTTCTCCCCTTCCCCCTCTCCCCCGGGCCATCACCGTCCACGCCATGTGAAGCAACCTGCCCGCGTTGTGTCTCCTGTCCCTCGCTCCCTCCCGAACGTCACAAGACCACGTGGTTCGACATGACGTGGCCATGACTTTGACGACCCGAGACCAATGTTGCCTGACGCAACCGAAGTTACGGTTTCGGTATCAGCTGATGTTTAAATTAGGATTACACAAATAATATTCCACATTTCGCGAATCCGAAGACGTAGAGTTGTTTAGTAGTGCTTTGTGAATTTGAATCACATGTAAGCCTAAATTTTTTGGAATTGAGCGGAGTTGTCCTTTAACGCCGGGCCACGGACTTTTCCCACGAGCGGCAGCAGTGGTGTGCCTTTCGTTCGAAGTGCGCTCGGCCATGCACCCCCGCCGTGTCAGCTTCCGTACTGGGAAGCGCAGCGCGAGGAAACACCCGCGCAGTGAAGGTACAAAAAAGACACAAATGTACCACTGTTCCTCACCCTTAACTGACTGCATATTTATGCAATGCTAGAAGTTTATGACAGAACCAAATATACTGTATTTTCGCGATTCTAAGCACCACCCACACTTTCGAACATAAACACCTGAAAGAAAGTTTGCATGCAAATGTAAGCATCCCTCTCCCAACAAGAAATTTGAGATCGGAGACGCCGGTATCGCCGAGCGCCGGAGTCGGGAACAGCCGCTGGTGCTTGGTTTCAATGTCAGTTAATGTCAGTTAATAGATGGCAGCACATATGCCACCATTTTCCCCTTTCGCATTTGTGCAGGTTGCGAAAGGGGGTGAGTTGCCGTACCCCCTATCGAAGATGTTTTGTCTGTTTGGTCTCCTTGCGCTCGTTGCAGTCGGTTGTTTAGTCTGTTAAGCCTATTCGTCCGCGTTGGCCTCGCGATCGTATTTCGTTCACTGTGTGCACGTGTTTTGCGGAAGTCGTCCATCATGAGTGAGTGAGAAGAGAACTTGATACACGATGAAGTTCGAGAGAACGGTTATTTCTTGCGCGGAAGACAACGGAAATCACAGCGCTGCTGAACAGTTCAGAGTGCGACGTTCTGCGCAAGCCGAGGCTGGGTGAAGCGAATGATGAAGAGGAACGGTTTTTCTTTGAGACGCCGCACAACTATCTGCCAGAAGCTACCAGTGGACTTTGAGGACAAGCTTGTCAACTTCCAACGTTATGTGATGAGGCTGCGTCGCGAATCTCGCTATGGACTCGGGCACATTGACATGCCAAGGACGTGCACCGTGAACAAAGTAGGCGCCCGAGAAGTAAAAGTGCGTACGACTGGCTATGAGAAGCAAAGGGTGACCGTAACGCTGTGCATCACAGCCGACGGTCGGAAACTTGCGCCCTACATCATCTTCAAAAGACTAGTCACGAGAGTGACTAGTCGACCGTGGTGCAAACTGATGGCAAGCGGGCTACTCTCCAGTCTTTACTTTATTTATTTCCTTTAGAACATTTATTTTTTCATTTTGACTATAATAAATTCATATTTCTTGTGCAAATTTCGTATTTTTGGGGCATGTTCCGAATCTAAGCACCCTTCCTCTTTGAACATTGCGAGTGTGATAAGAAGGGGGTGCTTAGAATCGAGTAAATACGGTACCATGCTTATAATGCGATGCAGTGACGGAGATCTGTCCTCTCATCTATTAGAAAACGACAGCCCTAATGGATAGATCAGAAACCAGAGTCAAAAAGACTGAAGAGTTCACTAGACCACTTCACCTGCAATGTTTAATCTTCCATAATGCACCAACCAGAATTACCAGCCTATTGATGGCAATGGTTTCTTACACTTCGTTTTTCCGCAGGGAAATAAGAAATGACTCCAGAAATTTCTTCTAGGCAGGTTTATACAATAAACAAGACAGAGCCTCAGAACAGACTTCAACGGGAACTTAATCAAAGATGCAGCTGCATCTCCAGGGGTATTGATCAGGAACTATGTTAGTTACCAGCCTCAGAAACAGGAGCAACAAGCATCCAGAATGCACCCACCTCTTGAAATGGGTGCGCAGCTTGGGCTCGGAACGGGCGCACCCCGTGGGGTTGATGGCCAGTGGAAGCTCCAGCAGTGGCGACCGTCCGTACCGGAAGTTGTAGTCATTCAGGGTGTCCACACCAGGAAGCTGGAGGGCACAAGCAGGGAGAGGTCAGCGACTTGTGCAGATAATACTTGGAACACTGGGACCGCTTAACCTGGCCATGCTCACAAATGAGAGAGAACAAGCCAGAACATGCAGGTAAGTGTTTGCTTGTATAGACCCAAAAGCACCCCACCTGCAAAAACAGGTGTTTTCAAAAGGCAATGGCATGCACCTCTTACAAACATTGTTTGCCCTCCATAGATGAATGTGATACTACAGCCAACTGACTCTCAGCAATTCAAAGTCGCTTTAATCGAATTTTTGGTTAGTTTGCAAAATGGGTGTGGTCATGGCAATCATACGCAAGTTTATGAAAAAAAAATCTTTCAACCTTTCCAATCTGGCGAAGAAGGAAGAGCAGCGGAGCTATAGCTTCTGTTCTCGGCGGTGGCTTTCCAGGCAAGCGATTTGCTCTTCTTTCGCAAGGAAATCTGAAGCACTTGACTCAGTGGAACTTTAGGCGATAGCGGCTTCGTGGCGGTTGCAGAACCATTCGTGCTGCTGCGCATGTCGCCGCTCGTTCCGCTTCCGCTCTTCTTCCTCCGACGAAAGGTTGCCGCCATCTATGAGCGACGGCAGCAACCAGTTGTCTGGTTGCCATCGTCGCTCATAGATGGCAGTAGCTATCCAGAGTTCGGTGCCATCGTTTCTAACTCGGCGGACACGATTTTGGGGAACCTACTTCTTAACAGCTCCGCTGTAAAAAAAAAAGGTGGTAATTCAATGTTTCACCTTGGGGTCTGGTTAATACGAAAGGCGACCATGCACACTTTATCGCTTTTGTCGACTGCGTACGCCGTTGGGAAAGGAGGGAACAAGCGTGGTGCACAGCTCAGCCGCCAGGTAGCCAAACCGGCTAAGCAGCCAAGCAAAGCCAAGCATGGCATTGGGCGGGCGCACGAATCATGGCACCGTCCTTGCAGCGTGACCGTGCAACACGCACGGCCAACAAAGTCGATCACACGGATTTACCCAGCCCTTGGAGACCTTTTTCACCATCAAAAAAATTAATGTCAACAAACACATCATGGTTATGCTAAGGATAATTACGAACCAGCGCACAGGTCGACAGTTACTCAAAATCCAAACACCCACACAAATATACACTCGTGCAGCGCTGAACTATCAACTTATTTGTATTTCAAACTTCCTCTTCTTTGACTCCAGGGAATAGGTTACCAGCCCAACAATCAAGAGAAAGGAAGAAAAGGAGAAAGACAAAGCAAAAGGAGGAAAGGTGAAAAAAAAGAAAAGAAAAACAGAAAAATAGAAAAAGGAAATTAGAAAGAATAAAGGAGAATAATACTAATACAGCCGAGTCCGAAAGTTACAAAAATTACAAAAATAATTACAAAATCACGAACGGTATATAAACCGGGTGATATGCTGGTCTACTGTCAACTACACTCTTGGCGTAAATAGTTTGTGTGATAAAAAAAAGTCCACGAGTTACAAAAATTAATTGTTCAATAATATTAGAAAATGTCAGTTCCCCTGCCGAGTGCCACCGACGCAAAAAACCGCATTGAACACAGTAAATAACTTTTCTTTCAACTAAACAAAGTGCTAAAAACTTGCGGTTTGAGCATGCTCTTCTTAGTTCGAAGCTCGCTTAATATGCAGCTCGTTGCTGTCCCAGTGAGCTTTGACCTGCCGAGAGTCGACTGTATTGCGGCTCACCTAGCCCCTTGCACAACTCATCCCCGAAATGACAGAACGGCGCAACAGGCGGGACATGCCCAGGTTACAACTGAGCACTGACCGACTCGGTGATCCTCACGATGGCGGCCTCTGTCAGCCCAAACAGGTCTTCCCCTGTGATGAAGTTAGAGAAGACCTTGATGGCCTGGGCCTCCCGGCGGAAGTTCTCGATGGGCTGCAGCACCTTTTGCCACACCCCTGCCGACGAGAGAGGGAAACAATGGACGCTCAACTTCACGCATTCCAAAGCCCAAGGGGGCCGAGTTGGCGAGGAGTGTCGAGAGATGGAATTACAAGGGGCCTGAGCAGAGAGAACGTTCCTTGCACCTCAGACGGCAGAAGCAAGGCACACAGCAGCTCAGAGCACACGGAGCGAAAGCTCGCGCCGCAGAACACTGGGATCCTGGCTTCGATCTCCACCCCCGTCTGTTTCGATCGGGATGAGCGTTGTACAGGTGTCCGATCGTACGTATATCACTGCTACGCGATGCACCCTAAGGACATCAGACTAGCAATTGTACTGCGCTGGCTAAATTTCTTGTCGACAGCCACTAGACACCTACTGTGACTGACTATAACTTCCCGCTGTTTAAGCTTACGCACTGCACATTTTAGAAAGATGCCAGCACTGCACTTTCATTTTGCTCTTTATCACCACTCAAATACATTAAACTAAAATGCGTAATTTTTTTTTTTTTTGTACGGAGCAGTTGTGCTATGGCATTTGCACGCACAGGTCTCGCCGTCATTATATATAAAAAAACATACTTCGCTAGGCAGATTGCTAAGACTACACAGAGAACTGGTTTTGCACATCCAGTTGCTTCCAGTTGGATAGAGTTTAGGACAAAGAAAGGATAAGCCAAGCACTGTTCTCAGAACCATCTTGCATATCATCCCGCACCAATCATCGACTAAAAGTTAGAATTCCCCACTGCAGCGCATCTACTCTTAATGCCTCCTCCTTACCTCCGACTTCAATTGACTTCCCGCAGTCGCAGTTTCAATTACTAACACCGCTGATTTTAGAATTGCAATTACCGCATTTGCTCGAGTAATAGCTGTGTTCTCCACGAGCGAAGCCTGTGGGTCTGCTTACCCGCAGGCAAAGAGGATAGTGAATCAGGGCGATCGGCATGAAAAATGGCAGCGATTTGCTGGACAGAGATAATGCCTTCATGCAAAAAAGCGATCTGCTCATACCCCACTTTTACGGAGAATTGTGTTCTCGACCTTGTTACTCGCTGCATTTTTTATGCAGAACACAATGACTGGCTGTACTTGTGCTCTGCAGGCAAGTACAAGCAAGGGCCTTGTTCATAAGAGGTGTGGCTGTTACTCGAGCAAACACGGTACCAATTTGCTAAATGATGTTTCATACTAATTTTGTATGTTTGCCTTTTTTTTTTTAATGTTTTATGTTTATGTTACAGTGCCTACTCCTCTCTGTAATGCCTTCAAGCCCCAAATAAAAAGAAAACAAAATTAAATGAAAAAGACTATCAAGAAGCAGAGCAGGAAAAAGACAGCCCTCAGAACCAGAGCCAATTTGTTCAAGCTGCCACACATTTGTGTACGCAGGTTCTCGCCTCTGAAGTCACCGAAGAAGCTATGCTTTTAAGTAACTGCATTTCGGCCATGTTGGTGATCACAATCATGGTGGCCCATTTACCCGAAATGTAGGACCTGCTTCTCTATCTTCCGCAAAAGTTAAAAACGGTTCACGCCAACACAAAACGGCATCGCCTGAGTTGTCCCATTGAGGAACAGACCGGCGACGCTCAAAGCGTAGCTCGTTGGGCGGTTCTCCTCGCCGTAGGTCCGGTACCTACCCTTGGGAGTGCGGTGCGACAGGATCTTCTCGTGTCCGCCACTGGAGACTCGCACTTGGAACTGGGGCTGGCCGTCCACGTCGTGGATGCTGCACGTGTAGCGGCTGCGGGCACCCAGCTTGTGCATGCTCCAGTAGATGCGCACCACCTTGAAGCCCACCTGCACGTCCACAGGGAACCCCTGCATTCTTCCCAGTTGCTGCTCAAGATCGGCCCCAACGTAACGCGCTGGGTAAACTGTTATCACTTCTGCTTCCCAGAAAAGACTACGGCGACAGACAGCCTGCGTTTACTTGCAGACAGAGTAAGAATCACGAAACAATCTCTTCTCACTCGATTGCACTGCCCCAAGAAAGAATGCGATGCCCTCAATTTAGCTGTGCCTTGGCTGCACACGTGCGACTGAAGTTCAATGATACAGCCACTGCTGTGGTGAACGTGATGCATTTGCTTTAAACGAGAATTGAAGTGCGTGAAAGAAACATTCCTCTACTCCCAGCCTTTTGGGCATTTAGCATGCACGGTAGGCTCTCAATAATGTTTTCAGGGGCAGAGAATGGTAGAGCATGGTCCCACTCACAGGGTAGATGCAGTTTGGTGTGTGGAAACTCTGCAGCTGGTGTGGCAGCAGCTGCCCAACACTGAGGAAAATGAGGCTGCCCACTCGAAGAAGATTCTGCTCCCCCTTATGAATCATGCTGAAAAACAAAGACCATTCCACCGTGAAAATGAGGAACATCGTCCACAATGTCTACGATCCAAAACCTAACCTAACCTCCAGCTTAAAAGCCAACCTGCAAAACAGTTTTCTGCTCAGAACAAAACTCTTCCCCAGTGTCCTCCTTGCACTCTTTCCTATTGCTTGCCCAAGAGGAGCGGGTCTGGGAGCTAACCCCCGCATAAAGGAGATCAAGAGAGCGTCCTGTTGGGCCTTGCACCCAGCTTTAAGGATGGCTAAAACACTGTTAGCAACAGCCAAAATGCACTTGAGAATCATTAAGAAGCTCAGTCACGAATCTTAGAACCACTCACGGACATTGCATAAATTTCGGGACTACTGTAATTATTTAAGGGGCAACGCTGCTCTTTAAGCCAAAAATATACTAAGAAAACACATTTTTGAAATTGTGTTTTTTTGAAGACTGGCAGCCACTTACCATATTGTCCTAAAGGGTTTTCATTATATAAGACACTCTTATCTTGCAACATTGTCTTGGTAACAAAGTAAAATAGGTCTGTGGATTTTTTGTTATTATTCCTGATCGAACGATTTACACACTTCACTATTTTATAAAAGCCATATCTCCACTTGCACATTTCCAATCTTTGCAATTTTTTCTTTCGCTGGTAGGACATATGCAATGAGGGCTATAAATATATTAAATATGGTATCAGACTTTTTTTAGGCGACTGTTAGGCATCCTGCAATAAATTAGTATTTTGAAACTGTAAAATTTCCTAAAAGACTTAGAAATCATCATAGAGTTTTTATATATGCTTTAATAAATTCCACAGACCTTTTAGTTTACTGATATTTTTTTTTTTTGCTGATTTCAATATTTTAATATGTCTTAATGCTTCCCATAATCTTTGCAAATGAAATTTTCAAGCAGTGATAGAGTGCAGGTGAGCTGGTAATGAATCAACACCTTGTAGACCCTAAGATGGGAACAATAAAAAAATGGACGAAGACAACAAAATCTTTTCATTGCTCCCCATCTTAAAGTCTACAAGATGAAATTTTCAATTTTAACAAAACTAATTAGGTTACATCAAAACCAAGTACATATTTATAGTCAGATTGTAATGGCAGATAAACTGTGTAAATTTCATTTGAATTGAATCGCAAGTTATATAAAAAAGCTCTAGAAGCAGTGTTGCCTCTTAAATATACCTACTGTAAAATACCGGGCAAGCGCCCACTCAAATTTTGGAGATAATCGCAAGAAAATGGGGGATGGGCGCTTGTTCGGTCATGAATTTTACGTATAAATGTACTGTACGTATTCCCTTAGATCTCACAAATTTGGTAATAGACGCTTAATGTGGAATGGGCAAATGCGCGGTATTTTACGGTAGGCAGGCATGGGACAATTAATGTGAAAGCATTAACTGTCTCATGGAGTGAAGCCGGCGTTGCCTGAAGCAGCGAAAAACGGCACGTAAATTCCTATTGGCTAAGCGAAACGACACCTAAATTCTAGGCATGGGCGAATAGTGGATTTTGAGTCCGAATCGAATTCGAAGCGAATATTGATTTTGGCCGAATAATTTCGAATCGAATAGTTCGAATAATACAAGCAACAAATACCAAGATAGGCTTGAACTATAGTTTTATATTTGCCCTTATTTGGTATTAGAAGTACTGCAATTGTTAATTTCAAGTGTTCCTGCAATACTTGCAAATTTGCATGTTCTAGTACTTCATTAAACCTTTTCGTACGCTAGAAAAATGTTGGTGCACATCAGCTTTGATATAACTTTTTATTAGAAGTGGCACATCTTGTGTCGGAAGTCTTTTTTTTTTTATCAGTTACAGATTGTCATGAAGAAAGACAAGTTGCTCTACATGTTCCGTGAGAAGCAACTCCCGCCTGCTGCTCACCACATTGCCTGCTGTTGAGAACAGTCTCTCACTCCTTGTTTGCGTGGCAGGTATGGACAGGTACTTCTGAGCAACCTTGACTAGGCCTGGGTACAAATGACTACCACGAGTCTTCCACCACTCCAGTGGCCTAGCTGAGCGAGGTAACAGAGGGGCACTTAGGTAGTCGGTCACTTGTCCAGCAGCAGGTTGATGTGCAGTCTCCTGGTGTGCACTGGAGCTTAAAGAGGCAAAAACAGCCCACACTGTACTTGAAGTGGTTGCACTGTGACTTGGGCCTGCACTGCTGGGAGAGTCTGGAACATGCTCCTGCTGTGCTGGCGCAAGCTCTTCTGCTGTTGTCGTGAGCAAAGCCCTTGCCCATTTCTTTTCACTCTCTGTGAGGTAGCAAATGTTCTTATACCGTGGGTCGATCAGCATTGCAAGTGCAGGCACAGGGGACATTTTCAGATCAGGAAACCTTGTAGCGAGACTGCGTGCAAGACTGTAAGCAAATGGTGCTGCTTCTTCACCTCCGGTTTTGTGCTCTTGAAGCACGACATGTGTACAGTGAAGCAATGGAATCACTTGTGAAAGCGTGGGATACCTATCAGCCGACAACTCTGCCGTGGCCTGTTGCAGGGGCTGCAATACTTTTACTACAGCAGCCATTAGTTTCCATTCTTTTGTGCTTAAGTTCTCCACGGAATCCGACTCTGAAAGTTCTGCAGAAATAGGGGCACGCAGTTTCACCAATCTTTCCATCATTGAATGTTCGCTATTCCAACGAGTGGGGACATCCTGGACCACTTCCAGAGCATTCATGTGCATGTCCTTCTGGATCTCGATGAGTCGCCCGCGAGCTCGTGCGCTTCTTTTGTAGTGCCCCACAATGCATCTTGCTTTTGCACAAAGCTGAGAGAAGATAGCAACTTCTTTTTTTGCGTCGTTAATGCACAGTTGCAGCGTGTGGGCAAAGCACTGGAGGCCCAACCACGGCGACCTAGCGACGGCTGAAACAAAATTCCTTGCATTGTCCGTGACGACAAAGATAGGGATGTTGTCAGGAAGATCCCACTCTTCAACGACTGTCCGGAGGAAGCGCAAAACGTTCTCTGCGGTGTGCTCTTCAGGCATTTCCTTGCAGGCTAAAGCGTACACGTGCTGCACGAAGTCTTCATCCAGTACGTGAACGGTCACGCACACGTAACTGTCGCCCGCTCTCGAAGTCCACCCATCAGTTGTTAACGTGTAACACTCGACTGCGCCTTCGAAGATGGCTCGAATACGCTTTTTCAGTTCAGATTTTTTCGCAGCGTACAAGTCTGGAATGACAGTTCTTGAAAACGTTTTCCGCGACGGAACAACATACTCAGGAATCGCATACCTGATCATGTCAATGAAACTTTCGTCTTCAACCACGCTGTACGGCTGGAAGGCACGAGCGATGAACGTGGCGATTTTCTTGGTCATTTCCTTTGCCTTCGGCGCCGTTGGTTGTAGCTTTGGTTTGAAGACGGTAGCCACCGATGACTGAGATGAATTTGGTTTCGTTTCATCTTTTCTTGTGGTCAGGCGCTGGTTCCGCTGACGCTGAACCTGGTAGGCTTTGTACTTGCCAGGATGCCTCTTCAGATGAGTGACCAACGTCGTGGTCGTCCCGGTGGGAGTCTTCAAAATTGATCCACAGGCTTCGCAGCGTGCGGCACCCTTTTCGGAGAGCTTGGAGTAAAAGCTCCAAATCGGGTTGGCGTACGTCGAGCACGAGGCGGTGGACTGAGAATCGCGTTCGCAGGGCTCTGAACAAAGCCGGTCGCGCTCTGAAGAGCACGCCATCGACGCCATTTTGACCGTTGATTTGGCAGAAGTGATGTAGCTGGCGATCGGTCGCCAGGTGTGTACTGAGTTCGGGTGCACGAAATGGTCGGACGCTTGCGCCACCTGGCCGGAAATCAAAGCCCGAGTATTCGGAAAGGTCGAATAATTCAATATTTTCGAATAATTCGATTTTGTCGAATACTTCAATTCGATTCGAGGCGAATGCCGAATAGAACAGAATTCGATGGGCTATTCGGAATAACCGAATATTTGCCCATCCCTACTAAATTCCCATTGGCTGCGACGTGTCATGTGGCTCCATAGCCAACGGCGTCATCGTTGCTAAGGAGCCAGCCGAACTGCTGGCGGCTATGCGCTGGCCTGGCTTTAGGCCCAACGTTAGACCTATTGTTACGCTTTGAGGTCCGACGTCAACCGGTATGCGCAGCTATTTTACATGAGGGGGGGGGAACGTGGGTATGCGCTGACCTGACGTTAGGCCTGACGTTACACTTTCAGGTCTATTGTTGTCAACCGGTACCCGCAGCTAGGGTGACGATGATGATGAGAGGACACGGGACTTTAGCACGCGCCACGCCGAGCTTCGCACTCCCGCCGCTGCCCCACCCACCGGCGCAGCAATCACCAGTGAGCTAAGGTGGCCTACGCGGCGCACCGCTGCACTCCCTGCCGGCGCTGCGATCACTTCTGCTCCTCTCGGCACTGAGGAACATGGCGGTGCCTGAAGCATCTATATTTTCGGCAGTCGCAACCTCGGCAGTAAGCGAAACGTGGCCGTCCACGCCACCAAAGACGAACTAAGGGAGTGGAAGAACGACATTAATGCTTTCGCATTCATAAAAAGTGCTTAGGTGTCCTCGGAATTTTTTCTCCAAATATTAAAATTAGGGGTCAACCTATAAATCGTAACCAAAAAGGCTCGAGGTACACCTAAGCACTTCCTATGATATGTGAATGCAAAAGCACGCATGCCGCTCTTCGCTCCCTTCTTTAATCTGCGGTGTGCAATGCGCTGACCTTGGACGTGGAACGGTGGAGCCGCTGCCTCGTGGACACACAGTGCCATTGGGTGGGCGATCGTTCAAACTGTCGTGTACCTTGCAGCGCAAGGAAGGAACAGACAGCAAGGTAGTTCCCAGCAGAACGATCCCTTTAATTTATTCCATGCACCGTATATATTGCCACATGCCGTACAGCCGATAAGAGGCGAGCGAACGCGGTGATCAGTGATAACACAACAGTGTGATAACACAGTAAGGATGACACCACACAAACTGACGCGCAGCGGCCAATGGGAGCCTCATTGACGCACGCCAGCCAATGGGACCGAACTGTAAAAGGTGCCGTTGGCTAGCTTTGCACGTGATTTCATTAAGGTGCTGTTTTACATGGTTTCAAAGCTGATGACGTCGGCTCGCTCCATGAGACAGATAATGCTTTCGCATTAAAGAGGTCAACCTATAATGGTAAGCAAAATGTCTGAACATGGGCCCAAAGCAGGGAAGGTTGATGCAAGCGGCGCAATGTGAGGCTTCTGGTTGACGCAATTCTTATATGACCTCATTAGAAATTGAAGAGACTCATTCTCTCTTGTCACAACGGCAGCAATCCTGCCATTTTGAAGCGTCTCCTTATAATGTTTAGCTTCTCACTTGCAAAATCGCAATGATGGCCTTGACTTGCTGCACAAGCTGACACCGGTGAAAGGGTTGACCTATATTCGAATACATTTTTAATATTGTGAGCAAGTTTTTAGTAAGGAATCGACCCACACTTAGCGAAATAAGGTATAGTGGTATTCAATTCCAAAACGCCACGTTGCACAGCAGTGCTCACCTGGCGACTTGTTTGTGCTCGTCACGGTTTATGTATACCCTCCGGAAGACGGCCACAGACTCGAGGACATTCTCGAGGTTCGGGACACGAGGCGTGTGCTGGGGACACAGGATGGTCTGCGAGAAAAGCCACGGATTCAGATCGGTGCCCTCCGTAACTCTGCAGGAGGCAGAGGGGGGGGGGGGAAGGGGAGCCTTCCTTGCCTTGTCCTTGAAGAAGGAGCAGCCATCCTTGGCGGCACAGGGGAAGTGGTAGGCGGCGGTGCAGCGCAGCCGGAAGCAGCGCAGCGAAGCCCCCGTGCGTTGGCAGCAGCAGCAGGTGAGCAGCACGGCGCGGCGGCAGGCCGACGCCACGTTCATCAGGGCCCCGTTGACCGTCTCGTACACCTCCTGGGACCACAGGGCGCAGTTCAGGTGCACCCACATGTCCACGTCCAGGTTCAGCAGCCTGAGCGAGAAGACCCCCGGTGTAGTGGCATCAAGAGGAGCCGGGGCAGGAGTGAGAGATGTTTCCACGGGGTGCAGCAAAGGAATTCGGGACAAACGTTTGTCCCAAGGTAATTGTCCTTCCTCTATGTCTCGGCTCTTGTTGCGCGTCACTCGTATTTTGTTACTCTTCTCGGTATCGAAAAAACAACCTACACTTTCCGAGTGCGACGGCGAGCAACATAATTTCTTTTGCCCGAGCAACAAGTAATGAATGCGGCGAGAAGGAAGTCCAGACGAACGTCTGCTTTAGAGTGCTTGTCTCTCCCCTTTGTCTCGGCTTTCTTTTGCGCTCGTCGCCGCAATGAAATGCCGAGGCCAGGAGCAATAGTCAAATCATTTGCACACTTCTGCATGGTTGAAGGGAATGTCGCTACAATACGTTTTTTTTTTAATAGAAAAATGATAAAACTAGATAAAAATAATGAATGTGGAAGCCCCTGAAGCAGGGAGTGAATGAAGAAGTCTCAGCCGGATGAGCCGAAATCTGTTGCACTCTTCCCAATATGTAATATAAAATTATAAAACAACAAAAAAATTTTGAAATGGTACGGTAAAAGCCCATTCATTAAAATTTTACAAGGATGTCAAAAAAAGTTTTATTTGGACACACGAAAGTCGAAGAAAAAGGGCTACCGTATTTAATCAAATATAAGTCAACCTTTTTTTTTTTTTTTTTCGGAAATGTCAAAAATTAAAGGTCGACCTATAATCGTGATTAAAGAATTTTTACCTACATTCGCTATCAAATTTTGCGACCCTACCGAGGGCATGAAGCTATCGAATCACCGAGCCGGCGTTGCCGTAGAGCCGCGCCGCTTCTGGTTTCAAAAAGCTTCTGGTGCACGAAAACAACTGAAACAGCAGCAACCGACAACCAACCAACCCCCCCACCCCCCCCGCTATGGCCGCCGCTGGCGCACATCCCTCCGGCGTCGGGTTTCACCATCGGGTTCGCCATCGCACCTGTAGCGTTCCTTTTGCTGGGGAAGGGGAGGGAGAGGACCGCGATGCGCCATGCACCTTACCCTCCATTCCTCTCCCTTGCAAAGGTGCACAAAAAAAAAAGGGGGGGGGTTATTTTAGCTTGTTGCTTGCGGCGGCATGCGTGTTGCTCACGGCGACTCCGGCGTTGCTCGCGTATTTGTATTTGGTCTTTCGTTGCTTCGCCCGTGTCCACCTTCTTTTGTTTCGTCTTGCGCAGTGTCATTTCACAAGGTGTCGGTGAGGTATTGTTGCGAATTTGCGAGGATGTCTACCAAGCTGACGAAACTTCGGACGACGATGACATGTCCGGAAGTTCTGACGATGATTAAGTTTTTGGCATCGCCCTGCGATTTAGCCGAGAGTGCTGTAAATAAAGGTTTGTTTCTTTCTCCTGCCCTTACTTTCCCCTGTTCCTAAAAAAAAAAAAAAAAAGAAGGTCAACCCATATTCGAATTATTTTGTTTTTATTCTCGGGGGGGTTCAATAAATAGGGGCTGACCTATTTTCGGGTAAATACGATATATTCGGCACCGGATAAACCTGGCAATGCTCTGAAGTGCCACCTTTTATTAGCCAAAAAGACCCGTAATCACCTTCTACTTCTTTTTTCGAGAGTAACGGTCATTATTTCAGAAGGCAAGGCAGACAACAAAACGCACACGTGTTTTCTCCTCTTCCTGGAAGCTGATAGGGCACCAAAGGCAACAACCACAACCTAGATTGTGTTCCCAGCTTTAAAACATGCTCTTCTCGCAAGAACGCTAATTAAGCAAGAGCACGTCCCAAAGCCACCACCGTGTGCATGTGGCCTTCCCTCCCCCAAAAGCTTACTAGAGAACAAGTGCAGCACACGCACCGCCGCGAGGGGCATCACGTGTGTCGACGACATGCTCTTGGGGATCTCATGGTCCTTGCGGATCCTAAACTTGCTCGCCTTCCCTGTGTTGACTTCTTCAAACAGATACTCTAGTCTTTCCTCGAGGGTATGGCGCGGTACTTTTCTCAAACCGATCGCAACATCGTGAAACGGCAGGGTAGCGCAGCTCGTAGCTTAGGACTGCCTGCAACGTACCTCAGACTTGGATGACAACGAAAGAAAAGTGCAGCTCTTAGTGATAAATAAATTAATGGACAAGGATAAACCCTGTGAATCGGGAGGGGGGGGGATTTGTACTATGTAGCACTAGGTAGCATGGCCAGTGCAGCCGTGCAAGGCAGCATGCAGTTTGAATTGTCGGTAAGAGAGCCGATTCGTGGGATAATTATTGAGCCTGTTAATACATAGACTTTTACGGGGCATGGTCAGACCATGGCAGCTGGCTAAACTATTCAAATATTAAAATTAATGAGGTTACAGCATCCAGCTGTACTGAATCTACTCTTCAAAGCACGAGAAACTAAGCACAAATTTCCTCGTTTCATTCCCTGATATTATATTTGAAAACACGAGCAATTATATCTGAAAACACGGTAAAAACAATAAACGCGTGTGACAAAGGACAGGACCTACTCCTTTAAACCCTTTGTAGTATTCGTGTTTCTATATAACACGCCACATTCAACTACAAACTTTACCGTTCGCATTCCATTCTCTCGCACTTCTCGAGAAGCTTACGCTCTCGGCTCTCATCAAAAGCGTGGTGTCCGGAACAGGTCTTCAACCGGTACGTTTAGCGTTCTGTACCACCCACGCACCAAAAATGGTTCCCAAGTAGCTACAAATCACGTCACAAATCCCCTGCACGTCATGCCGTCGGAGGTTGGCGTCCCAGCAGTCGGTCGTACGAGTTCTCGCAAAAGAGACGAGCGAACTCGAGTGTCGCCGTCATCACGGTGTCCCAACTCATAGCTGCCGAAACTTTTGTGCACTGTCACGCCAGAGAGGGGCCTACAGAAGAACAGGCATCTGCCACATCCGTCCCCGCCGCCACATCACTGTCGGGATTGCAACGAGCAACGGCACGAAACAAATGTGACGTCGTCTGGCGGAAATCGAGGGGCCGCTAACGAGGACGCGGTAAGTAAGCCGGTGGAAGACGCGCTAGGCACCGCATCAAGTGCATCCAAGAGGGAAACCCACCTGGCCGGCCCATTTGTTTCTCCATCTCCAACGACGTGGCACAGAATGCACCTCCTCGTGTCTTCGACTGGCTTATCCGGCTTTACACATATATCTTGAGCATCTAACAGCTGCAAAGGGAAGAAACCCAAGCGTGAGATTCAAAGCATTACACCAGGGAAAGCGGTGCACCGTCCTCCCTGGACTGAGAAAAAGATTGCACGAAAGCAATACGCTGAATCCACATTTAAATGTAAGTCACAACAGTTGTCGCGGCTCGCTCGGTAAATAAACTGTGGTTGTGAAATTGTTACACAGGAGCAGAACAGGAACAGACGTCAGGAGGAAAACTGTCCGACCCACGAAGAAATATACTCCCTGGATTTCCACTAAACCAATTAGTGGAACTAATAAGGCAGTGTGAATTCTGTGTCTTCTGTCTGAAAATCGAATTTTGCAGACCATTATTTTGATCTTCGTACATTTGTATGCCTCTACTTTTTAACCAGCTGATGCCTACCAGACTTCTGCATATCATGCGAGTGGAGTCGAATAACTAATGCTTATGTTGTTCTATCAAGATGAATTGTTTTACTAAGCAACAATGGTACCGCTCCGAAAGGAAAAGTTGCGTTACTTTTACTTTTTTTTTTTCTCCATAGTTGAGATAAATTGTGCTTTTTGTAACGTGCAACATTGGTTACACCGGGGCTTTATAAATCTTCCCAATGTGAGGACGAAAAGGCAAATCTCACCCGGGCAACTTCCTCTTCTGACGGGGGCTCATACTTCGTACAGCCCACAAAATCGACAGACCACAACTTCCACCGGACATCCTTCCACTTTTTCAGAGTAGGTTCCTAGAAAAAGAAAAGAAGAAATGAGTACCTTGTCCCAAACAGACTTTCACACTTTTGCCTTTCCAAAACATTTAATTATTTGGATGCCCAAGTAGAAAACTGGGGCATTTTGTACTTGCGCCTGTACTCGAGAGGTCAAATTTCAGAAGTTACTCGCAGTCATTTCAAACAGTGATTGTATTCACATGCAAAAATCGTGAGCGCAAGGTTTAAAAAATGTGGCTCTTTTTAGACTAAGTATTTACTCGAGCCTGATGCTACTACTAAAGCAAATTCCTTCGACATGTTTCATTCGTCACAACTTTGACGGTCAAGACGAATAACGGCAGCAATATGTCCTCGGTGCACTGTTCACTTCCCCTGGTGTCTCGTGCAGCCGAATGCTCGAGAGATTAGCTCACTTACCAAGATTTGCTGCACCACAGTCAAGACTACCTAGCCCACAAAACCTGCCCTTGAAAAAGCCGCCAGTTCGGCCAGTGCATAACACCGATGCAAAAGAATGCAAATCCCTCTTCATTCGAAACACCTTGTATCACTAGTCTCCCGAGCCAACTCCAAATAATTAAAAAGCATGTCTAAGCAAGCCCTAATTAGAGACCCAACTCAGCTTCTTCTTAAGGGGAGACACTACCCAGAAAAATTTCTGCAAAAAAGGTTGATTTTGAAAAATGCCATATTTGCATCCACCAACATGTAGAGTATATGCATGAGGTTTCATTAGTTTACACTGCATAGTTCATTCCTTATAAATTATTTTCGGTTCACCAATGCTAAAGAAAAGGTAGGGTTGGAACGCTTTGAATGCATTTTCCTCCGTTCCACTTTTTGGCATAAATTTCACTTTAGGAAAACTATTGTTTGTTAATGGAACAAGAGGAAAGACTCACTCATTGTTTTTCCTAACTGGAATTTTATGGGCAATGCAATTGTGGAATTGTTTTTTTTTTACTTTGTGGATGTCTTTTATAAAAAATGTTAAGATTTTGTTGACAACATAAAAAGCAAAAAATTTATTTAATTTTTCACTGTGATGTTTGCCTAAAATAAACAACTTTTTGGAAATTTTGTTTTCACAGTTGCACTCTCCAGGCATTCTGCTGCAGATCTAGAGTAGAAAAATGTTGGGTATTACATTAGTTTTTTAACGATTGTTTTTCTAAGCAAAGTCGGTGTGTTCCTGATAAAAACAACTATAAATTATTTTACAATTCATGTACTCAGATGAAACTTTGCACTGCATTCTGCCTTGAAAATGCCAGTATATGCTGTAAATGTCATTCATATTAAGCCAAAGGTTCAAAAGTGGACCCTCTTGGGTAGTGTCCCCCCTTAAAGAGGCCCTGCAACAACTTTTTGAATGGTTTTTAAAATGCACCGATCCTGAGCGCACTGAACGTAGTAACTTAATGAAACTTTTCTTTTCTCAAATTTCGTTTTATTTTAAAAGTTCTAGGCAAATTAGAATTACAAAAACAAGCAAAAAATAACCTCCTTCATGACGTCGTAGGTCCTGGCTTGAGTGGCCTAGAGAGGGGTAGTGAGCTCATCGAGCGCTCACGGCTGCCGCACTCCGTGTCGACGGCTCGAGAGGGCGCCACTAAAGCACGCGTCGGATAGGCTGCATGAAGCGGGCGGCCAGGGCGGCTCGCATTGCATTTGCTGCACGATTAAAGACTAATTCGGCATAACACTTCATTGGCCACAAACGACAGTAAACACGGAGTAAAGATCAGTTCAGAACGGGAGCTACTTCGCGCTGCCATACCACCAAATGGCAAAATCGCTAGCCAAGCCTGTGCCGAAAGCCTTCAGAACGCTCGGGACTGGTCGGATCCTCGAGCCGGTATATGACCGCAGCGCCGCTGCATACATCCAGGACGGGTCATTCCTTGTTTCCGTACTTTGTAAACTGTATTTGTTTCTTATCTAATCTAAAATACTGAACAAAAACTACTTTCATACATAATTAAAACGGTTCGCAACACTTATATTTTATATCTCAACTAAAAAAAAAGATTTTAGCGGTTCTGACCAGTAGTAAGCTCAGGACCAAAGACGTCACATATCGCGCTTTCGGCAATGCAAGTTGCTCTCGTAGGTGGAGAAGGTTTCCGCGTCGTCCGGTTAAAATATGACGCGCTGATATTTAGTTACTCTCTCCGTGCCCGCTGGCTTGCCCAAACCCCAAGAGACGTGGAAACCGCAAAAAAAGGTATACGCTTAAATATGATTGCAGGGCCCCTTCAAAAGTGACTGTGGAGATGGCCGTTAAATAACATCATTTCCGTTTTTTTTTTTTTTTTTTCGTCAACAGCCGTTATCAGAGCCACCTGTGAAGAAGAAGCCAAGCAGGTTTCGGAAGGTTGGGTCCCTCATTAGGGCCTGGCTCCCCATTTTTAATTATGCTTCCCCCAACCTGATTGATTTCTGTCGAATTTTGGCGTTCAAGCTACGTGCTTGTCGTGCACACTTGTGGTGTGAGGCAGGGAGGCCCACCTGCTCCCGGTGGAGTGCCAGGGAGTGCTTGGGCGCCCTCTTCCGGAGCTCCTCGCTGGCGGGACTCCCCTCGAGGTCGCCCAGCAGCCTTCCCTCCTCCTCCTCTTCCTCCTCCTCCCCCTCTTCTTCCTTGGGCGCCGGAGAGGCCTCGTCTTCTTCGCCCAGCGCCCGCACGACCTCTCTGGCCGCCGCCACTCCTCTTGCCAGCCGGTCGCGGGAGCTGTCCGGCGCCTCTCGGCACGAGTGGTCGCCTCTGCCGGCGTGGCACACCACCGTAGCTTCCTGCTCCACACCCAAGGCGGCACCCCGTTAGGCCTGGGGTTTTCAAACTGGGTACCCAGAAACCCAGAGGAAGAACCCTCAGGGGTTGCTTCAAGAACCCCTAGGGGTTCACCCAAAAACCCTTAAGGGTCCACCAAGCTCCAAACTTTCCTTCGGCGTTCCTCCCCCTAAGTGTTCTCCTCGCTTAAGCACTATTCCAGAAGATCGGAGCCTCCCACCAATACATAACTATGTTGGAAATATTCTCTGGTATGTGCATACTTCTTTACAAGGTTTCTGCAGTGCAAGGTTTCTGCGGCACTTTATTGCATCAGTGCCGAAGCCAAGAAGAGTTCCTCAACTGCTATTCAAGAGAGGTTTAGGAACTTTCACTGGCTCCATCTGAAACGGTGGTGCACAAAGAGGAGAATAGAAAGAAAAAGAAAAAGGCATTATGCTTTCATCCCTTATTTTAGTCGCAACTCTCACCGCCAATCAAAATTGTCTGGACGATTAACGTGCAACGGCAGCAAGTGGTTTGAATTCACATGCCCGAGTGATCGAAATTTTGTCTGATAAGAGTGAAATGAAACCTAGAACACAAGTTCATGTGAGAGAAAAGCAAGCAAGAATAGAGTAAAATCTATTCTCCACGACATGGGAAGTATGAATCTCACATAGTTGTACCTCTATTGTTGAAAGGTGTGAATTCAATGAGGACACGTCACTATGTCGAGCAAAAGCATTTCCCAAGCTTGAACAAATGAGTCGGGAAAGTAAAAGGGATTAGGAACAAATGCCAAAAAAAAAAAAGAGAAGAGAGTGAAACAGCAGCCAAGGAATCGCCAACAGATAGAAACAGACTCCGTGTCTTAGTCAAATATTAGCTGCCATGCTTAAGCCTTTCCAAGGGGTTCCTTTCCAAGAACAGAAAGCCATGGGAGGTGTAACTAAAAAAGGATTTGAATCAGATGCTAAAACTTTCTCTTGCTGTCACTTTTTTCTTTCTCTTCCAGGTGTGACGTATCCAAGTTTTCGCCTCAGTCTCAGGTGATTCATCAAGATGGTAAATATACATTAGCTCGCCTGCTCTCTCACCGTGAAAAAAGATGTTGAATCAGTTGCATGTATAGCCTTGCAGTTTTGGGTAAGCAAACTGAACATGCTAAACAACAGTTTGCATGCATTATCTTTAGCTTGCTCCCACTGCGGTTTGAGTTCATTCACGTCACTTTTGCCATACTAGTAACCTGATAAACAACTCGATGGCCACATTTCTATATGTAACCATTATTTATGAGACAATAATAGCACCTTGTGTCAAGAAGGTATACTTCAGAAGCCTGGAATATTGTTTCTAAGTGAAAAATTGGAGGCAAAACCGTGCAGCAAGTTAGTGGGAGGTTAATCGATGCATATTTTGTTAGTTTCCTCCGATTTACAGAATTCTGTTAATCAAAATAAGTGTGCAGGATCGATAAACACTTGGCAAATATGAATTACTAGTTTAACAACAACATCTCTTTCAAAACTCCTCCTCTATGTAGTAGCATTTAATTGTATCACCATGCCACTCTAAGACATACCAGCTTAAATATTATATTGGAGAAAATATAACTTACAATATTTATGTAAATTAATAAAAAGAAAATTTATGTTAATAATTTATGAAGTGCAACATGACAAATATGCAGTTGGCATGAGTGAAGCGACAGATCCACTTCAGAAAAGAATATATACTCAGACCGATTTTAGCAAAACAACAAAACCATACAAAAATATGGCAAGAGAGAAGGAGTAAACACAAAACTAATAATTATCCTCATTACTGTGCAAGCCCATGGAAAGTAAAAAAAAATACAAGAGAGAAAGGTTGATTGTTCAAATAGCAAGGTGCATGCATATTAGCTCCATTCATAATGCAGGTATGTATCACCATGCATTATCACCACCAATCAGGGACCGGGAATTCAATTAATTTCACTACATTTTATACATTTTAAACTGAAAAAGTAAGCCAAAGCTGGGAATGATGCACACACATGCAACAAGTGCAGAAAATGACCAATTTTTTCGAGAAAAATTCCCAGATCAAAGAAGAGACACAATTTTAAAGACTTTCATTGCCAAAAGATTACATTATTAGCATTAGATTCACAAGACCTGCTTTTGCAATAAAAAAAAGTGAGATCAGAAAAACGAGAAGTGTGGCAATTCCATCGTCCCAAACCGACAAAGCAAACAGAAAGCAGGCAAGCCGCTGGGACCAAGACAAACCTCGAACGAACACCATAACTCGCGAGCGTTCGGTCTATGCAGCCTGTTGGCTTGTATTCGAAATCGCCAAAAGACAAACAGTGGTGAAGTACGGGCGAAAAAAAGCGAGACTTGGCAGGCAGAGATGGCAGAGGGGAAAAGGGGTGCTCCGTTCAGGCTACATCCAAAAGCCAGTCTGCAGGGGGAACCTATGGGATAAACTGCTGGAAAGGGGAAGTTACAACAGTGGGGTGAGGGAAAGGTTGCGTTCAACGACAGAGAGCCAACAGAGCATGTGCTTTGGGGGTGAGGGCAACACACCACGCAACACGGTTTGTGGTCTCTAACCTTTCGCTGGGGCGTGCTGGCCGCCGAAGGGGTTCGGTGGGCAAGGGCGAACTGCATGTAGCAATTGCTGGAGCAAAAATAAACCGCCTCTTCGTCCTTGGTGGAAGGGCGGGTGGGAAGCGGCCACGCAGCGGGGACAGGGGGAAAGAAACAGTGAGACGACCAAAACAACAGACAAACAAACATGGCACGTTACGAGATGAGAGAAAAAAATGCACAAGTGCACCTGACATACGAGAGAGCATAGAAGAGGAAAAAGCAGTGCTTTGTGCAGGGAATGCGTGTACATTTGAAGGCGGTCCCAACCAACTAGACCAAACTACACAAGCGTGGCGAAGTGATTTAGGTTTCCCAGCATCGTTTTAATGCTTTCTGTAAAGGCAAAGTCCGCACTTATTTGCTTATCCAATCCAATCCAATCCAATCCAGTTAAATTATCCAACAAGCACTAGTGTGCGGCAAATGAAGAACTTTAAGCTAAAAACTCCTGTGAGGACTGCAACGTGAATAATGTACAGTATCCGTCAGAGGCAACAAGAACCTTAATTTGTCTATTACCAGTTCAAAATGAGAGTAAAACATTAGCGATGGACTGTTGAGTGGGTCACAACCGAGTCGAATTGGAGCTAATGTATTGTGGAAGTAAAACAACGTGAGGAAGCACATGTTGCAAGAAGTGCAATGATAAAAAAAAAACAGAGTAGCAAAGAGTTACTGGCAATAGACTTATCAAGGTTTGTGCCAGTGCATATAAAAGTGTGCTACAAGAAAGCAAAAGAAATGATGTAAAATGAAACTGCACAGCAGCTCTTTCAAGCAAGGATCAATACTTTGTAACTACAGCTGCGTTATTTAGAGATCATGGCTCAGCACCAGCATTGATTACGAAGGACAACCTGGACAAGACATGCAGAGAGAAATCTGTTCAAACACACTGTGGATACCACAAACTTCAAGTAAAGACTATGAAAACTCGGAGGCAAATAAAGATGATGACAAGATGTTTAACAAAGTAAACTTATATCGCTATCAATTTTTGAAAAATGAGACGGAAGGTAAAACATGCTTGTTTTGACACGTTTTTTAAACGTGTGTAGCTCGTCGAGACTGCTACACAAATTAGAATGAAACAAATGCAGTTACGAAGATACAACGAATAAATCCAAAGAAAAATAGGATAAACCAAATGTCCTGTTTCAATTCTAGAATGAACACAAATCAAACGATTGTGGCCTACCAGAAGTTCAAGCTTTGCTTAACAAAAACTCATCTTAAGAAAATTATGAAGGTTGCTGGAGCTAATATAATACTAACCTAAACAAATAAAAAATGCCAACACCACAACCAAGTTGTTTCACCGAGTGTTCGTGGCAATGTGTTCTTTTTGCAGTAAGATCCAGTTGGCTCTCGGTAATTCAACGATGCTTTATTCAAATTTTCGGTTAGTTCATAGCAGGGGCGCGGTCCTGGCAATCACACGTGCGAGTCTATGGGGAAAAATGCCCAGCAATTCCAAGTTTAACCTCTGGGAAGGGTTAACTCTAAAAATTTTTTTACACGCTCGAGAAGTCTGGTAACTCTGGGGGCACGAAAAAGCCTCACGATTATGCTGACCAAGCATAAACTGCACCCGTGGAAACTTTACTGCTTCTAATTACAGCGTGTACACTAGTACTATGAGCCCCCTTTAAATGGTTCACAAAATCTGATCCTTTTACGTATCGCGCTGTGATTTACTAGAGGTGCGGCTAGATGGTGGAATTTTTAAGTTAAAATATCAACGGATGAACTAGCCTCATTCAAAAGATGAAAAAGAATAACCTGCTTCGGGCAATCTACGTCAACATCTGCAGCTGGTACTATATAATAATGTCACTGCCCGCCAACCTCTGAGTGTTGCCGACAGGTGGCGCAACGTGAATTAGAGACGATGCGGCGCCTCATTCGATCACCTCCATACAAAAACTAGGGGCATTGGGGGAATCTAAATACGTGACTGCCTGGAGCTGAGCCGGTTGGTATGACATGATTTCTGAAGGTTTCCAGCTGAACGTAGAAGTAAAAACCAAGGAGTGGAGAAAGAGAGACACCAGCAGTGTGTGTCTCTTTTTCTCCACTCCTTGATTTTTACTTCTACGTTCAGCTGGAAACCTTGAGAAATCAGATCTAAATACCTTTTTTTGTATTTCGTTTATTAGAACATTGCTGCACTTTCGAATGATTCGACGAATTGGAGCATGCTGATAAGTTACAGGGATAAAATGAAAGACGCACAAAGGACAGAGACAGGACAGACCATCTTTCCTTGGAAAAGTGCTTCATCCTGTCTTCGTCTTGTAAGTCCCTTTCCCTTCACCCCTTTCAGAAAATTTTCTGCTGAACATGCACAGGGGCAGCCCCGACACTTCCGACATCTGTCGGCAGCATTGCGCCGGTAGCATGCGCCTTCTGCGAATGCTACTGTGAAGCACCCAGAACAGTTTCTTCTATTTTCCTCTTTTGAACAAAGTAAGTTCATCCGATGATATTTTCACTGCTACCTTCCAATGCCTAGCTGCATCTCTGTAGTAAATCCAAGCGCAATGTGTCAAGAAATAAATTTTAACAAACCGTTTAAAGCACGTTTGAAGCATTAGTGTATAGGCTGTAGCTTGGTTTGACGCATCACCCAGTTCTTTGAGATTTTTTTGTCCATCGAATATACTGACGTCAACAAGCACGCCGTGTCCTGTGATCCGCTTTCGGACAGCGACATTGTGCAAGTAGTCGGGCCTGGGAACGATCACAATGCTTTGTGTGTCGAGCGCCGCCAACGCAGAGATTGCTTGTAGCACCACGGACTAGTTTTGCTTTTTTTGGGGGGCAAACGGACTGCCTCAAACGCCCAAGAAAGGTTTGCAATTTCCAGACCACAGCTAATACTGCACATCTCAGTCGGCGGAGGCAAGCAAAATTCGACTTCTCCCGGTGAGTACTAGATAAAAAAGCAAACGGCCAGAGTAGGGTGCCTACATGTTTCCGCCGCTCCGCTGTTTAGGGTGGCGACAACGTTTGTGATACCTGTTGCCGACAAACCAGTGTTGCCTACCTCGTTACCATGGCAGCCTCCGCTGTTTCCTCGACCATTTTGTCACACTCGCCAGTCGTGCGTTCGCGCTACTCCGCTAATCCTCGTTAGGGCTAGGGAGCGCCCACCGCTCTCGTTCTGACGGCGAGGTTTTGGCGTGCGATGCCGGTCTGTTGCGTTCCATTTTGTCGAGGGGACTCACGTTTCGATAAACGCAACGCATACTTCCTGCTCGCAACTTCAAAGTATGAAACACCCGAATAAAGAGAGCGACAACCACGACGACCGCCATCCCGCTGAGCCTCCGACTCGTCCGACTCCTCTTACGAACGGAAAGGGAAGTGGCCTTGCAGTGTTGCCGGTGCGTCGAAACTACGAAAACTCAACGTTGTGTACGTTTAACCAAATAAGAAGTGGGTCAAAATGGCGGTGGGAGAGGATCTAGAAAAGGGTAACAAGAAGTTGGTGCCACCCTAAAGCGGAGCGGAAACATGTAGGCACCCTAGGCCAGAGTATTTTTCTGTCTATTTTTAATTCGGAGCATGTTCGATTTAAAGTCTTTTGCTGCCCCCGTACGTTTTGAATTACCGAGAGTCGACGGTAACTCTTGCTTCGCATTATGCATTTCTCTCGTGGTGCATGCACCGATACACCCCACCCCATCCCACCCCACCCCACCCCACCCCACCCCACCCCACCCCATCCCATCCCATCCCACCCCTCCCCTCCCCTCCCCTCCCCTCCCCTCCCCTCCCCTCCCCTCCCCTCCCCTCCCCTCCCCTCCCCTCCCCTCCCCTCCCCCCTCCCTTCAAAAAAGAAAATGTGGGCTTGACAAGAAAGAGCGCTTGCAGGGGACACTCACCCCGTCCTCTCTGGAGATGGTAGCCTCGAGGCCGAGTTCCGAGGCCTGCTTCTTCACCATGCCGGTCTGGGAGACCATGATTTCGCAGTGTCGGCAGAAACGCTGCTTCCCATCCACCAAGTACTCTGCCTCTTCCTCCAAGGTCACATCTTTGTTGTCTGCGGCAGCAGGTCCTCGCGTCAGATTCTCGGCTGTCATTCATGCTACACGCGGCCAACTCTAAAACCTGTTCCCTTTCTTCGTAAATTTCGTCCTCGTTCACCGTAGGAACCCGAACGACGAGCACCCATTGTGATTTTTACGCTATAATCACTCGGAGAACTAACATAGACTGTGGCAACACTGTGCAAGGCCACATCCGACGGCCAGTGCATGTGTTTCGAAGCATAATCGGGGCCATTAAAGCCACGCGCGTGACCGACGGGAAGTGCAGTAAACAGAATCTGCTGCTGCCAGGACTTTGCGTTGTAACTCGAGGCAGGAACTAACCACGGACTGCGGTGCCCAGAACGTGTCTCGGACTGTGGCATGGCTACTGCGTCCTAAAGAGTGGTCCCCCGATTATTGGCCACGTCGCAGAAGCGTCAGGCTCTCCCCGGTCGCGATCCAGGCAGCGGCACTGCGGCACGCGCCCTCGTGATTTCACAAGGGCACCCGTCTTCCTGGCTTTGTGCTTGCGGGGCAATTCGGGAGGGTCAAGTCACCCCCCGACCTTCGTTTGTCCTTCTGACCAGTAGATGGCGCTTCGGCGCCCTCTGACAGTGGCCAAAAGAAACCTCCTTTGCCTATTGGCTATAAAAGACGACGCGCCGGGGTTGCGGCCCTTCTCTCTCTTCAGGAAGTCAGTGTAGGACGTCAACGTAGGACGTCCTCATAGGACGTCATTGTAAGACGTAAGCGTGGGCATCAGTGTTGGCCCACGTGTCATACCTAGCTCTTTGTGAACTCTGTGGAGCGGGACGATCGTACCCCTGCCTTGGATAGCCCATGCATTATTGATAAGCATAGCTGGCCTCGCGTTTATTGCATGTTCAATAAACGGGAGTGTAACTCGGCTCCTCGGTTGCTCCATGCATTCGTATGTCTAATTTATGTTCCAAACATATTGTCAACGGAGGGACATAGTCTGATCTGCCCGATCGCTGACCACGTGGGAGTTGGTTTGCGGCGAGTGTATGAAGGATTTCCCATACTCTCTAGCTTGACTGCCTACAGCCCGGGGGATCTCCGACTAGTGTGTACCTGTACAGTCAGCTGTACTCAAAGTAATAATCAATTTTTTTTTTGTTAGAGGGTTTGGTTATGCTATTCGTGTGAAAAAAAGTGTTTAAGGTCGTAGCCCTTGCACGAAGGGGTTGTACAGTTTAGACGAATGTGTCTACCAGCCTCAAGGTCTTGATGTTTAGAGTTTGTTCGGTTCTTGAGTCCGCCGCAAAAAGAGCATCTGTGAAGAGGTCAGTGATGTTGGCATCGGGTGTACTTGAGGAGCGAGAAAAACAAAGCGGATGGCAGAGTTTTGAGACGTTCTACTACTGTTGCGTTTTTCTTCAACTTGAAAGTTTCATTCTTTTTTTCTCACCACTGCCTCCGGTGTTACATTATGATCAACTACAACATGCCCGTCTGCATATACTCACTTTTGTTTGTTAACCGCCGCGACTTTGTGACGCAAGCTCGGGTGGGTGGACGGTGGTAAAGAGCGGAAAACTCTGCGTAAAGTTACCGTTGCAAAGGGTCCCACCGCTATCTGCACGCTGCCACGTTCAATAACATTTGTTCCTAAAACTGCTACACCATGAAAACATTGGTCGTATTGTCCCCGACCATAGTACAAGACGGCATCTTTGATCTTCCAAGTGGGGGTGTCAGAAATATTTATGAATACGGAGCGATATGCTACGTATTCGTTACCACGTGGTGATATATTCGCGGAATAAATTTTCGAAGTTGCGAAATTCGCGAAAACTAGTTTTTTAAGAAAATGAAGTCATTTACAGCACAATGCAATCCACTTATAACGATACCGCATATAACCAGTGACGTCACAAGGGAGAGAGGCGGGGGACGGACCGCCCCGGGTGCAGCGCTCAGGGGGGTGTCGCGGCAGGCAACCGCCCCGGGTGCCACTGACCCTAGTGACGCCACTGCATATAACGATCAGTTTCTAGTGTTCCTTAACAAGAAACAATCAGTTTCTAGTCCAGATAAAAAACAATAATAGGTTATAACGATTGAAATTTCAGGGTTTCTCATTACCGTTATAAGTGGATTGCACTGCATTAAGGGGGGACATGGGTCTTTGGAGCCAAAAACTTCCTAAAACTGCATTCTTTTGAAAACGGCAATGGCTGTTGTTCTTCTGAATCTACCGCTTGTAATTTCGTGGATAAATATTCGAGCTATAAATCAATTTACAATGTCTATGCGGGCTGAATGTGCATTAAAGTTGACTCTAAAACATTGTTTTCACGTAACACAATTTTTGGACTCGTTGAAAATTTGCAGGAGGGATATCTCAGCATCTACAGCAGTCAGAAATATAACCTTTCTTGAAATGTGTTGCTAAATGTGTGAAGCATACAATGTTGAGAGCAGATTTTTTAATATAAGTCTAGAAAATTTTTTATTTGATCTTTTGTTTTATTACTTGTTAGCCATGCATTGAGCACTGAACTTCAATATGTTGTAAAATTACTAATAATGGGTTTATCTTAAAAGTACTTCCAACATTGTATTCTTTACACTTCATAGTATCTGGCCATGTGTTAAAAAGGATATTTTGTTGAGCAGTTTTTTCCCTATCATTCCTCCAAACAAAGGCAGGTAAGTTTTAATTATCTTCAGGACCATTCTACTGAATCAAGAAATTACCAGATATATGAAATCAGCACAAAAAGCTGAACAAGCTTGTGCAGTTTCATTGAGTTTGGTTATAAAATAAGAAAAAAAGCTCCAAGACCAGTGTTCCCCCTTAACCAAACTAATTAGGCCATATCAAAACCAAGTACATACAGTGCAACCTACCTATAACGATAACAAGAAAACCCAAGATTTCAATCGTTATAACCGATTATCCTTGTATCTGGACTAGAAAATGATAATTCCCAGTCCAGAAACCCAAGAAACTGGTTGTTATAAGTGGGTTGCACTGCAGTTGCAGTCAGATTGTTCTTTGGAAATAATTATTATCATTACTTACGACGTTAAGCACGCCGGTCGGAGACGCGATTTCAAGCGCCGTAACCTGGCCACAGCCCGCTTTGGCCGGGAGACACTCACTGTGCTTGTAGAGCCCCAGCTTCTGGCTGGGAGGGGTGCTCGTGCGCTCCACGATGTCGTAGCTCGACGGGGGCTCGATCTGCAGCAGCTTGGCCAGGGAGCAGAGCACGCCCCGGATGTCCGTCGCAGCCTCCGAGCTCAGGGTCAAGGTCACCGACACATTGGCCGAGTCCCGCAGGGGTGCCGGGGGAGGGCCCCCGCACCCCGGCAGCCGGGAACGCAGGCCCAGGCGGTCTCCCGAAAAGGCATTCTCTTTGTCCTGGAGGGGGGGACCACACTTCAGTTCCATTGTTCGTTGTGGGCCTCCAGCAGCGTGCGGGAGGGAGGGCTTCGTTCTCTCTTCCCTCCGTCAATCTCCCACCTTCCCTCAAAGGCCGCGGTTCCCAAATGGGGCTCCACGGACCCTTCGGGGTCCGTGAAGCCCTCGACTGCCAATTGAGCCGAGCGACAAAGCTTTATTTTTATCATTGCTGCCGGCTCTTGCACGAGGCCGCATCTGCCATGGGAGTAGGGTTGATTATTCTCCTTTTCGGAGCTTCAAAGTCCACTAACCTCCCCTTGTCCCCAATGAACTGCCACTTCCGCCAATCAAAAAACGGTCCATGAAACGCTAGTAGTTGAGAACCACTGCACTAAAGACGTCCCGAAGAGACTGCAGACTTCGAATAAACGCTCGGTGCATCAAATCTCAAAAGGTGCGTCGTCTTGTCCAGTCTCGTGTTCATACTTTTGGCAATGTCCAACTGCAACCGACGTACTCACCTTCAACCAAGACAAAACGGATGAACCAACCTTTCGATCGCAAGCAACAGCTGTGTGAAGGATGTGAGGTGCGGACCAAAAGGTACCTGAATACCGTACTGACCCGAGTGCACAAAACTTTTTGTGGGTAAAGCCCATCCATCAACTTTCTCGTGGAAATGATAAAAAATGAATAATGTTAGTGCTCAAAAATGAGATTTGTACTAGGAAATCTGAGTGTATGAACATTAGGCTCTCTGTCCCAATACACACCCACTATTCAGTTCGCCAAACAACCTAAAAAGTGGGACAAACTCCACAGACGCCTACACCTTTACCTTTCCTTTTTATAATTGATCAGAGAGGAGATTCCTTCCTGCCAAGGCCGTACCCAGAAAAAAATTTCGGGGGGGTGGTTTGGGGACAAAGGCGGCCATTTTGAAAGTGTCTATTGTCTTATTTTCGCCTATGAATCATGTGCATCGGTGGCATATAATGGAGAGTTACAGCAAACCGGAGAACCGGTCCTGGTTTGGTACTCGGTAGCCGACCGGCGCCACTGCGCGTGCGCAGAGGTGGAGATTAAAATCGGCTGGCTGCCAGTGCACCGACCAGGGCCGTACTCAGAAAAAAATTTCGAGGGGGGGGGGGGGGGGGGTCAGAACCCCCTAACCCCTCCCCCGGGTTACAGCCCTGCTTCCTGCCTCCCCCAACCAGTGGTGCCAAAGCATCACCTCTTGGCCAGAAGGGTAACCGGAGTTGATGAGAGTATGTACATAGTTCTTTCCCAGTCCGCTCTGCAGCAACACAACCACTCAGTTGCGTCTAGAATTGGCAACAACTTATCCACTCAGCGGGTGCAAAGACAGGAAGATTGGGTGCCTCGCAGAATCACAGGGACAGATGACCTTTTTCCCCATGAGGAGAAAGAAAGAGTGGCCATTGCATTCCCCATTTCGATTACCACTGATTGCTCTCTCCCCTACAGAGAAGAGTAAGCCTGCAGTCAGACTTCTGCGCAGTATTGTGCAATGATCATAATCCTATGCGTAGTTGGTCATGTAACACCGTGGCCGACTTAATCACAGCTCCGAATTTAAGAATAGGTAACTCCCAGAAGGCCAGAAGCCTTGCGTGCTTTTGGGACGTACGAAAAAGCCCATCGAATTGGCCAGAGGTTAGCCTTCAAATGAATGCGCACACAGCTCCCTCCGAGTTCAAGAATAGGTAACTCCCAGAAGACCAGAAGCCTTGCGCGCTTTTGGGACGTGCGGAAAAGCCCGTCGAATTGGCCAGAGGTTAGCCTTCGAATGAATGCGCAATTCTTTGCACGGCATTGCACGCACAATTGCCAAGACTGCACCCATGCTTTAAATTAACTGAAAATTTTATACAAGCAGCTTTGAATTACAGAGAGTCTACTGTGCTTGAAAAGGATAAAGCCATACGAGCCTCACCGACGTTTTTTGTGCAAAACTCAGCGTGTCCAAACAAAACGTAATTTCCACCCCATAATTTATAGACATGAGCAGTTTAGCTAACTGAGCCCTAGTTAGTTTTGAGCCTGGAGAGCCTGTAGAACAAGTTACAATCAACCTCTTATATCTTACAAAATAACAGTAAAAAAAAAAAGGACAATTTTTGGTTTGCTCGGATGCACCCATATCATACCCAGTTGTGCGACGACGCATGCTAAGGCATGTTACTATGCAGCCAACAAAAAACAGCTTCTGAAAAAGCTTACCTTCTCGTCTGTAAAAGGTTTCAAGGTGGTAGGTGGTGGTGGTGGTGGAGGTGGTGGAATGGCTGCAACAAAAAAGAGTTATTTTGATAATTAGACCCTTCCTTTTCTAACTTACTTCGTGGCTTGTTGCATCAAAAACTTCTTCTGCCTCCCCTCCAATGGGTGAGGCATGCCCTTGCTCAGATCCCACTCTAATCTACTTTCAATGCCTCATTAAACTTATAACATCCTGTTGACCATGAACTATTTGCCGAGATAATTTTCTAGATACCTTTTTATAATGACCAAAAGGCCTTATCTTCTATTTAATACACCAACTAAACTACCCGACGTCATGCCACTGCGGCACTGCTGCTGTCAGCACTGCCCACGTGCTTCACCTCACGCAAATCTGGTTTCTGCGCACACGTATTGCTCACACTTGGTGTGGGCCAACGCGGGCTTGTTTGGAAACAGCCCATTAGTGTATGTATCAATCTGTGTGAAGGCTCACCTTTTTGTGCCTTTCAGCATCCAAACTATGCCGTATATATTGGTAGTATGTCCCACTTTATTTGCTGCACCCCAACAATATCTACTAAATAAATTGACTGGAATCTAGAAATGTGTAAATCGTCAATACTACGATAAATTGTTACCTATATATGTAACGTTTCAAATTCGATTTGAAGAACAGCGCTCCAGATCTGCAAGCAACGTGCCAGCTGCGACAAATGAAATCCAGTGGTGGCTGAGTGGCAAATGCCACAGAGTGGAAGCTCCGACGGCGAATGCCATAGCACAGTGCACTACAGACCCCACAATCAAGTCTCCAAGTGACAAGTGGCAACACAGAAGCCTGCCCCTCCTCTTTTTGCAGTGAGCCATAAAAAGGTTGCACTCATTGCTCATGATGTATATACTATCCTCAGAGGTACTCATATGTTAACTATACAAGGCTAAAAACACTCCTGTCATATTCATACATATAAAGGGTGACCAGATGTCCCGTTTTATATATTTATTCATTGCAGTACCCTCAGGGCCCATAAGGCATTACAGAGGGCGTTACAGAGGTTCCTGCCTTAAAAAGCCGCCTGTCCTGTCTTCACAGGAACGTGCAGTTGCGAAATCGGTGCAAAGCGAGTGGAAGAAGACCGAAAGGATGTTTATCCCTTAGAGACATAATTTTATAAGAATAAACATTGCATGAAAATGTTACCACCCATGCAGCACAATTTTGAGCTCTTTCCTTCGTTACATCTGCTAATAAATCTGCCAGACTTATCTTGTGGTAATACTCAATTCGACCTATTAGTTTGGCAGCACTGGAAGCATGTGTAAAATTGGCAATGAGTGTCGCGTGTCCAACCGCAAAACAATATGAATTTCCACGCTCAAATGACTACCGTAATATCCCGAGTCATCGCCCACCCCCCTACCGCCTGAAATTCATTAAAAAAGTGGGGTGGGCCATGTCTCGGTGGGTGAGCACAAACACTTGAAAAAAAGCGGAAAAAACCGCCTAATTTTCTCTGCGTATCTAGGGCTGATGCACAAGAGATACATCAAACTCAAAACACGATTTAGTTTCATTGTTTTATAGAAAAAAAAAATGCTCACGAAAGAATATTTTACTATAGCGAAGTCCGTTGCTTGCATACGCGCTAGAAACACCGCCGATCTGCATGTAGCGCGAACGTTTGTTCCGTGAAAGAATGTCACCACTATGTTCTCCTGGTTAGTAAAAAAAAAAAGAAAAGTCTACAAGAAAATAGAAAAACCGACCAGGCGCAACGAGCGAGCGAGCAAGCGAGCGAGCGGACCAAAGAAGCGACCGAGAGCAATGCTGGGAAAGCGGGAAAGTCGGCGGTCGCGTTGGCAAATACTTTGGCGTCGGGCCAAGTCGGGCGCCTTGTCAATTGCAAGCTCTTGCGCAACTTTCTTGTTTGGTATGTACATACGTGCGTCCGTGCACGGCGGGCTATCAATGCACGGTTGGGACGCTCTGCAAACGTCTGTGTAGGGCGTTCCAGCAAAGCTTTATTTACGCGTTGGCTTTGCCTAAAATATTGCACAACCGCGGTCGCGACGGGCGGGAAGAAGGAGCGGGTTCGCGGTGACCTTACTTCGGCGGAGACAGACTTTGACCTAACACTCCGCGGTTACATTAACTAACTCTTAATTTTGTTATCTCCATCGTTTTCTTTTCGCACGGATACACGACCACTTTGGGGTCGCTCACGGAGGAAATGCGTAAACAAAAAGAAGTGTCTTTCCCTCCTTCGTTTTACTTTGTCACGGACGTCCTCCAACTGTAAGGTCCGCGGCCGCGTCATTCGGGTAGGATGAGTGTTCGCGGATCGCAGAGTCCGCGCTGGGGTATTTGAAGGGGTGGGCGATGACTCTGTGTTTTTTCGGAAATCGATATTGACCCAAAAAATGGGGTGGGCGATGGCTCGGGGATGGGCGATGACTCGGGATATTACTGTAGTAGCACAAATTTTACCTTGCACCCCCCCCCCCCTCCCCCCTCCCCCACCCAGAGCGGGGGGGACTTTTCATTACGAATCCTCCTTGCAAAGACTCTTCGTGTATGTGCGCAAGCTCCGAAAAATAGTGTACGCTAAAATAGCGCATGCAAAGTGCAAAACGTGGTTTGCGTTCGGTGCATGTGCAGTGGTGACGATGCCATTCTTTGGGTACGCAAAGCTTTAGCGTGCATTATTCTAAAACTCCCTGTTATCACGCACTCGAGGCGGAACAACTTAAACTTCTCCCTGCCATTCTCCTTCCGACCAGGACCAGAAACTACGGGCCACGTCCGTGATTGCAACGACCCGACGCTCGGCCAGCGGCGTGTGGAAGGGACTCACCTTTTACAGGAATGGGCGCGACAATGGGCACCGTGGGCGAGGGGAGGGATCTCGCAGAGTCGTTGCTGTCCTCGTCGATGAGCTGCAGGCCACGGAACCGGAAGGGGGCCTCGAACATGGCGCACTCCGGGGACGAGGCGCCCACGATTGTGTCGGGACTGTCCGCCTCACTGTGGCAGAAGCGTGGCAAACACGTAAGCGACGGAAGTCTAAAGTTCCCATACCCTACCGCAATGCACGTGCCTTCAGACGAGCAGCCATAAAAGTAGAGGTGGAAGTGAAAAAACGGTCTGGCCGTATAGACACTTGCAAGCACAGCCTCCGAGCGCCGCCATCTTGCTGTTGATGGGGGTAGATCGTCTGATAACTGAGCACTGCTAAGATGGACTCACCGTTTCCAGAATGGTGCCTAAACAAAGCATTTTCCATCCACAGTGGCCAGACTAGCTCTCGAAGCACGGCCGCTTGCAAATGTCTACATACACGGAATACTATTGCCATATGGCCTTAATACGACGTCGGAGTGACTTGTAGAGATCCCACCCGCTTAAGAGCTGAAACCGAAAACCGAGTTTAAAATAAATTTCAGTATTTGGCAGGTTCCAGATCCCAACTGATCAAGTACCAGTAAAGCCCTCCGAACATTAAACCTTCAAAGTTACTGGATAAAAAAAATACAAAAAAAACAAGCAAACTTACCGGCACCTATTGGAGTCCGCACCACCGGAAGTTACTGGAAGGAAAGGAAGAGATGACACGTTTTGGAGAACGGCGACCAGACGTCTTCGGAGGCTCACTCCTCGAATGGCGAGGGGGCCGACGGCATGAAAGCGCCTTCTGGAAGGGGTGGCACTCACCTCTGGCATGCACGGAGAACTCCTGGTTGTAGAAGCCCCTGAGGGGTGTGGGAGAGGGGGTGGCAGCGGAGGAGGGGGCCACGGGGGGAGGGGGCCGATCACCGAAGGGGCACACCGAATACGCGTCCGGCTGGCCCGGCAGGAACGCCCGGCCGTAGCTGCCCTTCAGGCTCGATTCTGCACCCGCAAGGGACGCCCACAAGGGCCAGGTCAGCTCGGCAAGTTCTGTCGTCGCACACCTCGTCAAACCTCACGACGGGAGTTTAGTACGTTTAGCCGTGAACCAGAGAGCACTATGTGACTAAAAACGTCCCGTCGAAAGTTGTGTGCCTCACAGAAATCAACTATCCGAGTAAAGTGTCGCCATTTGGACAAGAACCGCGTGACGCAAGAAACAAACCTCGGTCTCGAAACGGCAATTAACGTTTCGTAGGGAAACGTTAGCTGTCGCAAGACACGCCAAACGTTGGCCAAGCGCTGCAAGCCCATTAGTGCCTAGAACGTGTCTTTGACCAGTACATTTACCATCCCACCGTCCACGCATCGAAAGCTGTACCGAAACAGCAACGAGTTGCATCTCAAGAGCTGACGCGGCATGCCATCGGATGCCTTGATCCTGGCGGTCGGTCGTAGAAACACCAGCAAAAAAGACGTGCGGACGCGAGGGTCACTGCCATCATGGCGTCCCACCTTGCGTCTACCTTGGTTTCCGTCGATCATCCGACCGTGGAGCGAGCCGCAGCGGAACAGGCGACTCCGTTACAAGAAAAAAAAAACGTTCAGCCTTTCCACTCTCGTGAAGAAGAAAGATCAGCGGAGCTGTACTCGATACACTGTGTGCTTGTGCTTCTTTGTTGTCGTTTGATTTTAGCGCTGTTTACTACGGTGAATTTCCACGAATGGGGGGGTGCCGAAGTATTCATCCTTCTATTATAGCTGGAGCCTGGAAAGGTTGGCGCCATCTACGAGCAACGGCGGAAGCCATACTGATTCTGTGCTTGCCGCCGTCGCTTATAGATGGCGGTAGCTGTCCAGGTAGGTTTGTGTCGACATACCGGACACGATCCTGGGGAACCTAGCCCTTAACAGCTCCGCTGTAAAAGTCGTCGGGCAGTGATTTCGGGGGACTGCTTTCGGAAATGCGGCAAACGCGCCAGTCGGAGACGCGCTCCGGTTCACACGGGAGGAGGAGAAGGAAGAAGTTCGGCGACCACCCACCCCTGAGGTTGAGGTCTCCCCGGCCGAAGACGACGCCCACGTTGAAGTTTGGCCGGATGAGGGGCTCGAGGATGCGCACTGGAGGCAGGGCCCTGAGGCGCCCCAGCAGGGCCTCGAGGAACAGCTCGTAGTCCTCCTCAGGGCCCCCCCTGGAGCCCTGCAAGGAATGGGAAGGGACGATGGGTCAACGGCAGCCAATGGGCCTCTTTCGCAAAAATCACGAAACGATGTACGCGACATGCCCGCATGCTCTCGCTTGTCCCACATGACACCGAAGAGGGCGAGAGAATGGTGCAATCGCTCGCCTGCCTTCGCTCCCGCTCGCTGTTGCCTCTGAGGTCTTCGTTTGTTGCAACCGGTTGTACGTTGAGTTCCCGGCGTTCCTGTCGACACCGCAGACAGTGCTTTGCGCCTTGCAAAAGGTCGGTCGCGAGAAAGCCAAAACGTAAGGCCCTACCTAGGTTATGTGTCTCTACGCGTAAGTGGGGCATAGGGACATAGCCCTTTTTCAACATTTCTGGTTTATGAAGAAGTCTGCTTATAAAGATGTGGACGTGAGGTCTTAAGGCCGGGCGTGGACCCCGAGCGGCTTGGAGTGACGAGGCGGGGCGACTTAAAAAATAGAAGTTCATTAAATATGAACGAAACATAATAGTTGCCACTAAAGCGCACACAATGCTTGACACAACAATCAAGCTGACCGAAGACACCGCGCGAGCACCGAAAGAATGGCTCGAGCTGCAGGCGTCCTTGCTAGTGCTTAGGCTTGGCCAGACAAAAGATGCCGGTAGGTGGTGTTAGTGGTGAATAAGGATATAAAGATATTGTGAGCGTTGTCCTCAATTATTTTATATTCATTTGTTCTTCTTACCCGCTCATGCGTTTGCATCTGTCCTCGAATTTTCCCAAGAACAGTCTTTGAATAAATCCGCTCCTATCGATCGGTTGCCATAACTGCTGGCTGCGCAGTACCCGTAAGCGTGTGAAATTATGAAAGCGAGTGTTCCCCTCACATGCACATACCACCATATTGCCAATCAATTGTGCTCTGAGAAGAACACTCTTCTTATTCTAGTCAATGTCGTAGATAGCAGAAATGTAGACCAGCAAAGACAAAACAAAAACATCAGACAGTACACGTCCACTTCAGTGTAGCACCCACCTTGTCTAATGCCGCCTAAAAGCTGACAGGCACATTGCAATATAGAAGGCTCCATCCAGTTCAACTTATTCGTAACTAGGGCTCCATATTTTGGGGATTACAGTTTAGCATTTTTCAGTATCTACCGTATTTGCATGAATATAATGCGAGTTTTCTTTCGTAATTACGCGCTCCAAAACGCACCTCGCGTTATATTCGGAATCAAGTTCAGCCACGAGGCACGCGAGTCTGGAGGAAGCCGGAGGAGAAAGCCACCCCTCTGGTTCAATGCATGAGATCCATGCAGGGCGTAGGGTGGGAGAAGAAGTGGGGGTGTGGGAGGGAATTTATTAGCTATTGGGCCACGTGAAGGGGCGAATAAAAAAACATAAAAAGCATTTTTATTGCGTCTGTGTTTGTACAATGCGCGCACGATGCAGAAACGCAGCACGCCATGTGGGAATGTGCCCGCTCGATTCGTCCGAGGACGTGGATAGGTGTAATAAAAACGGAAAGCAGACACCGTCGGACTACGACTGCTTGCGCGGGAAGCACTTGGGGTAGAATCAGAGTTCTCCCCAAGAATTTATGAGAGATGGATATTACCTAGGGGGGGGTGCAGCATTTGTTTTTTGTTTGACTTCTTGGTTCGTCACGCCTGTTTATCCGCCCCGCCCCCCCAGGCACTGCCGGCGCCGCGCCGCTGAGATAGAGAAAGAAAAAAAAAAAAAAAGAAACACGCCGAGCACCCGTGCTCTTTGTTTGAAGTAGTGTTGCAGTGGCAGCAGTCAGCAATGCAATAGCGAACGAAAACGTGGCGGCGGTGCGCGAACCTGCTGAATACGACGGCGACAATCTGCAACCATGTGCGCAGGCGAAATCGCATCGTCATCCCGAGATATAAAAAAAAATCGAGTGGTGGGCGGTCAGTTTGGAGCAATGGGCGGCCAGTCGGAGCGGTTGGCGGCAAAGCCACTGCCGCCCACCGTGGGGAGAACCCTGGGTGGAATTCACGGATACATGTGGACGTCAGAATCATTTGTTGTGTTCTAGCGTGAGCGTGGGAAAACTGCCGAGTTGTCCACACCGCCCGCAAACCACCATTCAGTGCGTCTTTCCATTCAAACAACCGTCCAATCGTTCAAACTGCAGTCTGCGCATTTAAACGACGTTGGCCAGTAGACCAAATGTTGCGATAATAAATAAGTGTAGGCCTCAAAAAACTTCTAAGTTTGAAGGATGTTTGGAGTAAGTAGGCTCAGTGTAAAGAGTAGATACGAGATGTTGACCCTTTTTACCACTGGCCATCACCGACTTGTTATACATGATTCACTTGGTCCTATCTGCTTGCAATTTTCAGTATCAACGTCGAGCGTCGCAACTACCTCCACGCTTTTGCAGCCTGAGCGACGGCGCAACTGGAAATAGCGAGCAAAGTCTCATCATATAAATCATGCTCAAAAACCCATTCTGCGGCGTTCACATGGAATGAATTGCTGCACGTCCCATTATTTACACAAAGTTTTGCAGTGTAACGAGCCTCATTATTTTCGTCTGGGCCACTAAAGTGGTAAAACATTGCTAGGAAGACATAGAATCAACAATTCCAACGCAAAGAAGACCATGGGGTCTCATACCGATGCCAACAACACCGCATTCCAAAGGTTTTTGTTTATGCGAACTGCGGTGCTTCTTGCCATGCCACCGGCCCATGTGCCACGCCTGTGGCATGCCCACTAGGGGCGTTCCGGATTGTTTGTAAACATGAGGTGCCGTATATATATATCTTACCCTATGGTTCCGGCTCGGCACAAAATAAAGCTGCGCGTAAAGATTCCTTTTCGTGAAGCTTCTATTTTTCTTAATCAAGGGTAGCTACATTTCGGGGGTTTTCTGTCTTCCCCAATTTTGATAAAACCCACTTGGTGATTACTTTTCGGGGCTTACTGGTATGTACCAAAGATATGGAACCCAACTCATAACTAGTATTTCATGTTTTGGGGTCTTTTTTCCCCCACAGATTCAATGTCTTTTAGTGTTTTTTGCAACATCAGACAAAACACTGGAACTTGTCGTTGCTTATATATAAAAAAAAAAAAATGCAGAGCATGGGCGTACGATCCCCTGACCTCGAGACCATGCACAAGACCCGAACATTCGAAAAACGTCTTGGTACCGATAAGATTAAGGAACAAGAAGAAAACAAATCTAGTTCCCGAAGAGAGACAAAGCCTCTCAGACAGTTCGGTGCGATCCGTGTTCCGGTCCGACGCAAAATAAAACTAGATTAAGATTTCTTCCCACGAAGCTTGCTGTTTTTCTTATTTGAGGGCATCTCCAATTCAGCGTTTTTGCTGCCTTCCCCCGATTTTAATCAAGCGGGCGTGGAGCTCACTTCCCAGTGTTCCCCCTCGTAACCTGAGCACTGCAGCTCCAAAGAACAGAAGAAGGAAAGAGCACCTTGCGGGGCCGCTTGGCCCTGGCACCCCCTTGGGCGGCCGGCCTGGGGGCGTCGGAGCCAGGGGGCCCCCCCGGGCCGGCCTCGGGGGCGGAGGGGGCCGCCTTGGGCTTCTTGGGGCGCTTGCGCTGCTGCTGCCGCCGCAGGGCCAGGTCCTCTGCCGTCGGGGGCGGGGGCGTCGGCTCCCGCTCCAGCTGGGCACGACGGATGTCTGCAACCGTGCCCAAAGCGCCTCAGAAAAGACTGGCCTCCCTCCTTACCTTTGGCTTCACCTCACGTCCAGACACGAGGTGATGCTTAGTGCTGACGGGACCGATCAAACAGCGTTGTGTTTCTGTACGTGTTCTATCATCGCTGAACCATTCCTGCACAGGGAAGGCCCAGCGAGATGCGCTTTTAAAGCTGTTTTATTGGTCCCATAAGCTCGGGTGAAACAAAGTATAGTGCATTGACAATATGGTACAGCCGCCTCTTGGAAATTCAAAGTTGCTTTATTAGAAGTTTCGGTTAATTCTAAGCGTGGGCACGGATGGTCCCGGCAATCGAGCGTACGACGCTGCGAAAAACATTTATGCGTCAATTGAATTGGGTTTTTGTTTATCCGAGCAATCATCCGTACGATGCTGTGAAAAAACATTGCACATTAATTCAAAGGCTTATGTTGTTTATCCTAGGAGTAACACTGGCGATTGCGCTAGCTGGTAGTTCATTCTCAAAAGTATGAACAGTGCAATGACACAGACAGAGTAAAAGAAGACCAATGGAAAAAGGGCACACTCAGACTTTTTTTAACTCTGCCCGTGTTGTAGTGCTGTTTGTGCCATTTAAGATTGTCCTGGGAGCCCACAAGCTCTAGAAGCGTGAAAACCCGGCGGCAAAAGATAATTTACTTGTGACTCGGTGTCATGCTTATGCTGACCACACCGCCATTCGATCACTGCAGCCATCGCTGCGCTGTACTTGCCTCGCCACGCCCGAACAACAAAGACGACAAAAAAACCCCGATGTGCAATGCATACTTGCCGTGACATGCCCGAACAACAAAAATGAGCAAAGATTACACTTCCCTTATTAAGTTTGGTGTTTGTTTTTAGGGGCGAAGCTCCTTAGGGTCTAGCCATGTCCAAGTCAGTGCTCACATCGATTGCTATCCCACCTGTCTTCTTAAAAAAACAAAAAAATTTTTGCACAGTCGAGAGGATTTGAACCTGTGCGGGGAGACCCCAATGGATTTCTAGTCCATCGCCTTAACCACTCGGCCACGACTGCGGGACGAGTAGGGGGCTCTGAGATGTGGTAGTAACTCAAGAGCTGGGGATGTCATCGATGAAACGTTGCATGTAGCCGCTCAACGTCTATACAGGAGAGGGCGCTGCGGTCAAATGCGTATATAATCGCGTTACACTTTGGATGCATTGGCTCAACAATTATAGAAGAGAGGGCGCTGCGGTCAAATGCTCAAATGTGTATATAACCACGTTCCATACCACATATTCTCTTTTTCTGACATGGATGAAAACAAAAGAAAAGCTCAGCATGCTGTGGCTCAGCCTCTACGCAGACAGCAAGCTGCTCCGGAGAGGATAAAAAAAATAAGCACCATCAGCACTACCTATGAACGATAAAATCAGTAACATCAGCAGCACCAGAGCTTCGCCCCAATAAACATCATTCACCACGTGGAGATGCGGTCATTTTTTTTTATCGGAAGCGCATTTAATTTCAAGCGTTTCAGCATTATTGAGTGCTCAAAAGTATCAAGAGGCGACTGCATCATAAAATGCTTCCGTCAATCAGGACACAATCACGAAGGGTACATTGCGCAAGACCTTGAGGTTAGGACAAGTGCCCAAAGCCAGAACCTAAGAACCGTCTTGTACGCTCACCTAGGTAGGTCATTTTCCTAACTTTCGACTCTTCGGGCTTGTCGGTGTCGGGAGTGGTCGTGGCCCCAGCCTGGGTTCCGGCCACGCCGACGACTGTCTGCGACTCCGGGGTGCCGACCGTGGTAGCCGGCACGTCAAGTTCGTTTCCCGGAGCCGAAACCGGCACTGCCGTCGTTGTCACGGCGGTTTCTGCAGTCGTGGTGGCCGGCTGGCTTGAGGGACTCGAAGGCAGGGAGGGCGACAACGACGCCGTCTGCGAGAGCTCCCCCGTGCCGTTCTCCGATTTGCCACTGCAGGCAGTTTGGACTGTGGGAGCACCCTACATAGAGTGAGAAAGAAATTAATGCAAAACATTAATGATGCTCTCCCGTCCGTCCTCTAGCAACACATTAGAGGAGCCATGAAAAGGAAGCTGGTGGGGAGGAGGTGAATGATCTCCCACATTCGATTATCTGGTTTCAGAATGTCACAGTGGTCTTCGTGTTGCGTGTGTGGGACCAAAACAACTCTACAGCATTTTAATGCAAAATGTTTCATCGGCCAATTTCCATGGAGTTCTGTAACGTCTGCTTGTGATGACACCGAAAAGCGTTACATTCATAAGCAACCGTTTAAAAAGAATGGTCGCCCGGCAGGATTTCAACTCATTACCTGGATATTGTGAATCAAGTGCTTTGCCGACTCAGCTATCCACACAAAGTCATTCACATGGTGTGCAAACGTGCAGTTTGCCCGCAGGTGTTCATTTCTTCTTCCCTGGAAGGCCTATCACACATTCTGTGCTTACCATTCTTCTGATTCACGCCACATGCCAAGCCCGTACTTTGTCGTTCTGCATTCGTGGCAAGAATCCACCTGAGGAAGTCAAGAGGCTCTTTGGAGGTTTTGAGCCGTCAGCTGGGCACAGCACAAGGTTGATGAAGATCCTGCGAGCTGAATGGCAGAGGCAGGCACGTGTCTACAGGGACCTGCTGAGAGCCGTTCTGTGCGACTCTAACCAAGGAAATCAGGACAACCACCGTCTGCGGGAGTTCTTCAACATCGTGGAACGCAACACGGAATTCCTTTGGCGGCTGACACTACAGAAGCTCAGGGCCAGTCGTCCGAAGAGGCAACCGGTGGCCCGTGGGAACGTCCAATCTGTGAGTCAAGTGCCCATCCCGGATGATGTAAGACGAGTTCTCGGTTTTGGACCGAAATTCGCCGTTGAACCAAAGTTGAGTCCACCAGAACTTATAGGTCTTGTTCGTAGAGTTTCGAGATTTGCTCCAGAAGGGGAGGTAGAAAGGTGTATTTCGGAGGGAGTGGACGTGATAGTTCGAAACAAACCAGCGGTGTCTCAAGGTCAGGTCAAAAAAGTGGTGTCGTTTTTAAAAGAACAACGGCTTTCGCTCCTTCCAGCTGACAAGGAGGGAGGATTCGTAGTTTTAACGGAAGCAGAATTCGGTAGCAAAGCCCTTGAGGCGATCTCATCAGTGTTTAATCGCCGAGATGATGTGTCTCTAAAAAAGCTGAGATTAGAGGCAGTGAGACGATGCAAAATGTTGAACCTTCATCAGCTAGCTCAGAGCATCAATAAGAACAAAGAGGGAAGCTTGCAAATCATGTTTAGCGCCAAGACCCACAAAGACCAATGTCCCCTGAGGGTCATAGTATCAGAGAGGGGCTCGTGGCAGAAGCCGGTCGCGCTTTTCCTCCAAGACAAACTGGAAGTTTTAGGCTTTAACGATCCATTTTTGGTAAGAAATTCTGACAATATTTTAGATTTTTTAAAAGATAACTCTGACAAAAGATTTTCAGCCTGCTCATTTGACATTAAAGATTTATACTACTCTTTGCCGCACGACAGGTTACTAACATCCGTGGAACATTGTATCGATCGCTTTGGTACAGTGGCCTTCCAGAATCAAATCGGCATGACGGAAAAGAGTTTTATTGAAATGCTCTCGTTTTATCTTAAATCGACGTTTGTGGAATGGAATGATGGGGTCTACATACAAAAACAAGGGGTATGCATTGGCTCATGTTTGGCACCCATCCTCAGTAACATATTTTTAGCCCATCAGGACAAAGTTCTTTTTGAGCGCTTTAATGAAGGCAACGATTTTAATGATATCAAAGTTTTTAGATTTGTCGATGATTTTTTAGTTCTGTTCAACCATGGGCCTGCAGAATTCCAGTCGAGAGTGGATGACCTCTTTACTGTTTTTAAAAATGTCTTACACCCCCTCATACTAACCCAGGAACTACCAGTAGAGGGTGTGCTGCAGTTCCTTGATATCAGACTAACCTTTTCTGAAAGACATGTGTGTTGGATGTACCACCCTAGAGCCCAGAAACCCCTGTTGCCGTACAATTCAGCTCATTCAAAACTGGTAAAAAGGAGTATTGCCAATATGTGCGTATTGAACGCCCTCAAAAAATCATGCCACCATGTGATGTCAGAAGGCCTGGGCACGCAGTATAGGCGGTTGTTGGCAGCTGGCTTCCCGAAGAATGTAGTGGTCTCAGTTGCAGAGATTGTATTAAAAAGATTGCGTAGTGAAGATCGCCCTTGCCCAATGGTTCTCAGAGATAAACAGAAGGTCGCGGTGATACCGTACATTCACAAAACGGCGCATGGCTTGAAAAAGGTGGCCAATAGATCAAACGTGAAAGTAGTGTTTTCCGCACCAAACAAACTTAGTAGATTATGTAGGATGACAGATCCTTTTTGTAAGGCCCTTTCTGGCTGCGCGGTAAAACACAGGGATCCCTTCATTGAATGTGCGGAGGGAGTAGTATATCAGATCCCCTTATCATGCGGAAACAAGTATATAGGTCAGACAGGTAGGTGTGTTAATGATAGGCTGAGGGAGCACAAACTTAAAGTAGGAAATTATCGGGACTGTCATCTGTCTGATCATTGTGAAAGGTGCAAGTGTATGCCGTTGTTTTCCGAGAGCAAGATTCTGGCACGGCACAAGGAAAAAACTGTGAGGGAGATAATCGAGGCAGATGAGATTAGGAAGGGTGGTGCAGCATGTGTCAGCGTGGCCTCAATTGATTTACTGGACAAGGAGCGTGCGTTCCTCAATGACGCGGCCTGGCACCGGGTTGGCTAGTGGTGGAGCAAAATCAGAAACTCGGATGGTATAAAAGTGTCGTTTCACGTAATAAAATCAGTTGTTAGTAGCGCACTGTGCTGTCTGTTTCTCGCCTCTTTGTCCCTGTTTTTTGAGCGCTAAAATGTATTCCAAATACCATTCTTAGTCAGCATAATCAAGCTTGTGTAATTTTTCTTTTTAATGTGAAAGCATTAACTTCCCCATGGAGTGAACCAATGTCACCAGCTTTGAAACCACGCCAAACGTTGGCCAAAAGGCACCTAAAATCCCCTTTTCCGAGTGAAGCCGATTTCTGATGGATTATGCTCCCGTTGTCATCAAGGAACGATGCTCCCATTGGCTCTCGTGTGGTGTAATTCCAAAAAATGTAGAGCCCTTCCACTTCCTGTGAAGATGGAGGACCAGCAAAGCTGTTATCTTTACGACGTCTAGGACAATGCCTAGAGGACGACATCTAGGACGACCTCAAGGACGACCTCGAGAACGACATCTAGGACGACCTCAAGGACGACCTCAAGGATGACCTCGAGGAAAACCTCAAGGACAACCTCAAGGACGACTTCTAGGATGACCTCGAGGACGACGCCTAGACAAATTCAGCGATTCCACTCTGGTGAAAACCAGCGGAAAGGCTGGAAACTTTGCCGCCATCTATGAGCGAGGCTGTCAAGCCGGTTGTCTGGTTGCCACCATCGCTTATAGATGGCGGTAGCTGTCCAGAGTTTTGTGTTGACATTTGTTTGGTACCAGACACAATCCTGGGGAAACTAGCCCTTAACAGCTCCGCTGTAAAAAAAAGTAACAAAGACACCAACTCGAGCATCGAAGGCCCTTACCACCCCTTTTATCGAAACACGGTCACATGCACTCCCCTAGACACAATGACAAAAGAATGCACCGAACGTGGCAGCCACAACAAAAGTAAGACAAGCCAGCCTGAAGCAGCCAGCCAAGCTGCTAAACCGAAGCAGAGAGTCGGAAGCGACGGGTGCAAGGACCAGATCAAGACGGCGAGTGCCTCACCTCGGGCAGGTCTGCAACGTGGGGCGTCTCGGCTGAGGGACAGTTCTGTAGGAGCTGCTTGAGGAGCACGTTCTGCTTGCCACCCGTGGGCCCGTCAGGCCCTTCGACAGAGCCCTCGCAAGCCTTCGGGGCGGATGTCTCCTCCGCCGCACCTGCCTGGGCTTCTGGGAGACACGGGGACGGAACGCTTTTGGGAGTGCTTAACAGGAGGAAGGCCCTCACACTTGTTCTCAATCGACAACAAGCAAAACGATGCACATGCGCTCCTGTCCAAGGACTCACTGCAGTCAATATGCAAACGCGATCTTTTAGTATGGCACGACTCCCAATAGGAATGATACACCAAATAAAAACAATTTGTGGGTATATTTCGATCTATCGATTGCAGAATTGCATTTTATGAGGAATGTGGTGGACGCCAACTCCGATTTCAGCCGTCCAGTAATGCGACAACGCGTCTAGCGGTGCTACACCCTCCTCTTGTAATTTCTTTCTCTCTTTTTTTTTTTTTGTTGTTGTTGTTCTCAAAGTTTTTGCAGTTAGCGAAGCCTTCTCAAAGTCCTCTCTCCCGCCTCCCCAATTTTTTTTTTTTTTTTTTTTACAGTTGTGTTGTTTGGTGCAGGGCTGGCGGCACAGTTGTTTAGCAGCCGGCAGACGCTCTTCGACCGTGGCACGCTTCACTTTTCTAGGCAAAATTAAAGCTAGCTTCAAAGCAATTCTGCATTAATAAAGAATGGGACCAACAGGCTCAAAGGAAAAGGTCTATGTCTTTCCTTCTCTAGCATGATCACCCATGCAGCCCCATATACCGGGCATTTATGAGAAAGGAGGACCGTGTCTTTCAGCCCGCGTAATGTATTTGTGCATCGTAGAAAGCTGAAACTTCGTGAGAATGTGACGCTAGTGGTTGGGAAAAAATGCGGAAGTCAAAGAGCAGGAGTTATTTGGATCAAAAGGTAATTGAGAAGAGGAAATTTCTCTACGACCCGACGTCCACCTTAAACCTAGTAGTACAGTCAAAACAAGAACCGAAACTGTGGACGGATGTGGCATTTATATCAGCGAAAAAACACTTGTCTGCAAGAACGAGAGTATTAGTTTCTTTCTTAGTGACAAGCTTATTTTCACTGAAATAATTATTAAGGAGAAAGCCTTATATGTCTCATCGTTCAGTCGACCTTCAGAAAATACGTCGGCGACACCAAAGGTACCAAAACGAAAGGTACCAATGAAACAGCACCAAAAGTGTGCCATCAAAGAGCATGCTGTCTTCGGAGGTTCGGTATTACCGGGACCACAGCCGACGCCACGATCCGTGTGCGCCAAGGAAACGGCGTCAGAAGTGCGTCGTCAGAGAGCGCGCTGTCTTCGGAGGTTCGCTACTACAGTCGAACCTCGATATAACGAACTTCAATGTAACGAAATCCTCGATTTAACAAAGTATTTTATTTTTCATAATTTTTTGCCCATAGACCCCATGTATTTTTAGTCTCTATATAACGAAGTCCATTTTGCTGCTATTTCAATATAACGAAGCGCCATTGCCATAGAAGGCAATAAATAAATAGACTCTAAAAAACAACTTCGCAAAAAAAAATTGTGGTTAAAAAAAAAAAACTATGCGAGCACTTTGATAGGTTACCTCACGGGGACAGGCCTTCCAACGTTCCTAGGCTGCCCGAGGATGCGGCGCCGGTAGCGCCGGCGAGGCATGCGGCAAAGCGGATTCCGCGGGGCTGGCCAGAAAATGCCGAGCAGAAAGTTTACACGGCATAACAGCATCACCACTGACATTCACTGATCATCATAGTCCACTGTACCGCGGGTAGCGCGGGAGCCAACTTCAGCGGGGGAGCGACGTGATGGCGCGACCGCACGGGCAGTGCCATCCAGGAGAAGACCGAGAGGACCGATTATCGTATTGCGACCGTGATGTAAAGCAAAGGCGCAAGCACACTGTGGGCGCAAGGGGGCAAGTAAACTGTGCGGGCAAGAGTGCTGTGTAGGTTGGAAACATTGGCACCGCCTAAACAGCTTTATTTTTCAACCGGGCGGTTCACTCACGTGCTTGCTGGCATAAGGAAACGTAAAGTTCTTTTTTTGGATGAGAAAGCAAACGTTTTGGATGCCATCCTGAAGAAAGCGCCGAGATCACGAGCACTCGGGAAGTGCTCGACGCAATGGACGTACTGAGGAGGTACACGGCGTCGCATGGGCAGCAAGATGCCGTGCAAGCGCTTTGGGCGCTTGAACGCCGTATGACGCCGCTGCTACTGTCGGACAAGGTGCAAGCAAAACTCGCGGACTACTTTGCCCCAAAATAAATGTCATTTTCGGTGAGTTTTCATACCCGTAAAATGTTTCGGAATTTTTTTTTTTTTGCATGCCAAAGCCAAATTTTGATTTAGCGAAATTTCAATGTAACGAAGTAAATTGCGAATTTTACCGACTTCGTTACATCGAGGTTTAACTGTATCATGTTTACGTGACCACTCAGGCGAATTAGAGGCAATGAAATTAAGAAGGTTGACAAAGCGAATTCAGAGGAATCAAAGTGAAGTAAGTGAATCATGTGTCTGTCTTTAATGCATTGCCGCTTGGGCTTTTGCCTTCAAGTCGTCTTAGGGATAACATAAGAGACCCTGTGTTTTTAAGGGCACCACAATGACATTTCTTGTCTCGTCAATATTAGCTTTAGGCCGACGTCTGCTCATAAAAAAACCTGGTTTTTTCAATTACTTTATGATCCAAGTAACGTCATGGACTTTCACGTTTCCCCCAACCACTGGCAACACATTCTCCCAAAATTTCAGCTTTCTATGAAGCAGAGTTTATTTCTGCGGCATTGAAATATACTTTTCTCTTTTCTCAAAATGTCTGGTAGAAATGACCAAATATTTCATAACTTCCAATGGTTTTAATTTCCTTGCACTTCATTACAAGGCCATTATCTTTTGCTAGAGTGAGATCGAAATACGAATTTCACTGACACAGACCCACAAGAAGCTTAATTTATCTCGACCCTTTATACTTCACGTCGAGAATGTTGGCAGTTGGGGAGGACGAAGTTGACCTAATATCTCAGAGTTATAACCTACAAGTTCATACTCTGAAGAAAACTGTAAATGAAACAGCCGTTGACAATTCACCCACCTTTTTTTCTATACTTGCATGTGACCACCTAAACTGAATTGTTTACTAATGTCACACATTATGCAGTACTTTAAGGACCTGGCATCCATCAATAATTTATTTTGTGCAATTCAGCTCGATCAATGCTATAATTCCGCTCTATTGCTTGGAGTTTGTGATCTTGAGCACAGGCCACAAAAACAGAACATTTGCAGAAAAAGCTAATTCCATTGTTTCCGACCGGTATTTTGGACAGGAATTTTATTTGGAATATATTTTCTTCCTCAACAAGACTTCCATAAAGATCCCTAGGGCAACTCCCCTCTGAATTCTGTAAATTTCGGGATAATTTGATATGCACTAATAAAGGGTACTACATCACTTGCTTCACGAAAAATGAAATATATATATATTGTTATATCTTACTTTAAAGGGCAACTCCGCTTGATTTCGGAAATTTCGAGATAGTGGGTGTTATAAAAGTGAAAAGTACTTTAAAACAACCCTAGACCGTTTGTCTCATTAAAAGCAAAATATTTTTCGTGCGATTTGTTATTTACCATAATTGCAAACCGAAACTGAAACTTTGGCACAGCCGGGCAACATCGTACCCTCAACGTCAGTTGCATACACACCCATGTGGAATACAATAAGTCACGTGATCTACCGAGGAGGGAGGAGGGAGGGCGGGCCTAGCCGCGGCGAACAGGCAACGCAAGCAGCGACGAAGCAGGCTATGTAGGCGGCAACCCAGGCGGTTAGTCTGTTGGCACCGGTTGGCGCGTATGTCAGCGAAACTCATCCCGTACAACTCTCTCTCCCTCTTTTTGTTTCTCTTGTTCTCTTTCATTTTTTTTCTTTGTCTGTCTCGCCTCTTTGCTTGCTCAAACGTGGAGCGCATCCATAGCGCCACCTGGTAAGCTCTCCCTGGAAAAGAAAATACCAAGAAAAAAACTGCGTATGCAACAGACGTCAGCCAAAACGGAAATACAATGTTGCCTGCACCGCACGTCCCCGCTAAATTAGCGGCTTTTGGTGACTTCGCGCATCTCAGTTTTTGTCTGCCGGTTTAGTGATCTTTTAGGTGGTATTACGTTATAATATTTGACATTCGGTCTCTCTAGATGATACTAAAGAGAGTCGCAGTGTTTGCTAACAACCGAGAATGAGGCGGAGTTTCCCTTTAAACATGAGCAGAGGTTGAAACCGAACCTTTGGCTCTCTGTCCGGCAACATTGGCCTCGGGCCGATAACAACATGGCCATCACATGGTACGAGATGCCACATGATCCTCTACGCAACAACGGGTGGGATGGGGGCGGGCTTGTGCCAGCCGCAAGTGTTGCCTGCACTGCACTTTTCCCTATGTTTTGGTGTCTACGACACTCGACTTAGTCTGCCCTACTGCCGCATCAGTCTGCGCATGTAGTGTGAAAGAAACTCCAACACACAATAATCAAAATGGTGAGACGACGACGGCGGTTGCGACGCGGAAAGCAGCGGTAACGGCGGGACGGCTCTAAAGAAGCGCGCTGCGCAGACGCACCAATCACATGGGCACCGCTGACAGCCGAGAGGAAACATTGCTGATGTCACCGTCACGCTTACCCGGATAAGTAAAAACAAATAAATGGTGATGAAGTCTAGCTCAATGTTGGCCACGCCAACACTGTAGCCTTGACCACGCTGTTGGTTGCTCCTCAATTCATCTACTAAAGTATGCCGATTTCAGAACCTTGGAGCATTACAAAGTTTGCCGGACCGTTTAAGAGATTGAACGATACCCGTTGTCACCTCAAGAACCGTAGTAAAAAAAGTTTGGCTTCTCGCAAAGCATTAGTGATTTCCCCCTTTATGTAGAGAATTAAGATACCTGGAGGGTGAACTGCAGATTAGAGATACAACATCGTATTAAGACATACACATTCCAAACGCCGAAAGCATCGCTTTTGCTCCGACAACCAAATCTCGTAAAAACTACTTTGCGCCACGTATGAGCAATGCATAAAGCTTGCCTTTTCCTTGAGGCGAAAACGGGTATAGGTCGTAATATTTGACATGCAGTTTTCATAGATGGTACTGAAGAGGACTGCATTGTATTTTTAAAAACAAAAATGAAGCGCGGTAGCTCTTTAATAGAAGAGCAGAGCGTGATCTAATGTTTTTGTACAAGCTATTAAATTGGATCGTAGTAATACCCACCCAAACCCAACCCAAGAAAGCCCGCCCGAAATGAGGAAATATATGGCGGGAAATGTGGGGTAGGCAATCTTTAAAAATGAAACAGCGAAAGTTTCTAAAAATTTAGTGATTTTTTGGGTTTCTGGCAACACTAAAAACGTGACATTTAAGTTGTATAGTAGGGGGGCAGTACAGCCCGTTCTTGAAGGGTTACAAGAAGCTCGATGGTGTAAAATGAATGCTGGCTTAGGCCAGCAGAGCAAAAAAATGTGCAAAACATAACGTTTTTAGACTGCCAGCTGGACTCACAAGTTATACGGCATGTGTCGTCACCCCACTAAAGAGCGCGGGAAAATCTGAATACTGGTTTTGGCCAATGTTGGGAAGCACCTTGTACTTCAAGGAGGTTTAGAATACTTGTACTTGAAGTATGTTCTTTGAGTATGTACTTGTACTTAATTTAAGGAGAGATGTGTGTCGAAAGACAGCAATAGTTTGCAAAGAATGTGATTTTGAGTTTTATGAAGTTTGAATTTTTTCATCTTTATATTTGATGAATGAAAATATTATGCCAATTATGATCGCGAAATTAGCCAAATATGCATTTGAAGTCCTACAGGCAACCCAGAACACCACGAATTGGAGCCATTTTTCTCTGCGTGATTCTTCCAAGTTGTGACGTCGCTCCCCCCATCGCATTTACGTTGACGAGCAGGCCTGGCCGTCTCCTCTCCATTGCATTCTTCTGTAGCTTCAATTTCTCATGAAAATGTTTCAACAAAATATTATTTCCTGCACCGTGGAAGAGTATAGCTGCACATCTATGATAAAGTTCAAATGTGTCTTTCTTTTTATGTCACTTCAGGGCATCTTCACAGTTTGTGTCAAATTTCTATTCTTTATATTGTCCCATCATAACCAAATTTGGCATTCATATACTTTAGAATATGTAGAATGTAACTATCTAGGTTTTGGTAGAATGCATGTTCTTGTTTTGTATCTATGAAAAATTTATGAAACTTCTGTTAGGACCTTGAAATGGCATTTTTGCTATTTCTAATGATTTTGAATGAAAAAAGCGTCAGACACATTATTTCTGTAGTTTATTGCACTCAGTGGTTTAAAAGGAGCAAATCGGTTTATTTTACTAGGCTTGTTTAAGTGTGTTGCCACGCCTCACATACACAGAAAAACATTCTTTGTTCTGCATTTACACTGCATTAAGAACCTAAATGAACAAGCTACATCAAGTCCAACACTAGACTTGTAAAGAGATGATTAAGCACCATAAAGTGTAAAAATTTCAATTCAATATTGTAAATAATAATAAATAAAAATTCCGAGGACAGTACAGTGCATTCTCCAAAAATTATTTCGTTAAATTTGTATCACAAAATGGTGCTTTGTCAACTCTGAAGCCACTTGACTTCATCCAATATTCGCCTCTATTTACGAAAATAACTGACGCACCCCCGATTAACCCTGGGGCAATGCATACCAGTCTTTTAAAAGAACACTGCATAGGGGAATGAAAGGGCATAGTGAAAGATTGTGTTAAAAAGTATTTGTACTTCACTTCAAAAGTACATTGTATTTTAGCACTTCAAGTACACTGTGCCTGGTGTAATTACTACTGAACTTGAAGTACATAACCTCTCATTTACTTTGTACTTAAAGTGCTCTTTAGATGTACTTTACCAAACACTGGTTTTAACATAACCTTCATTTCCTTTCTTTGAAAGCGATAGTTTTACGGGCAACACTTTGCAGCGATTTTGACCTTGTCCTCGTTACTCCGCACGCGAAGAACCTTTTTTTCACCGCTCTTGGCATGAGGCCAGGGAAGTCGGGTTTTGCCGTCGGCCGCGCAGCGGAGAAAGAGAGGGGAGCCCCAGCATCTGACCAGTAACGACGTGATAAAAGGAGTCTTCCATGTCGTCTGCTTCAAAGACTTGTTTTCAAACAATACTCGCGTTATGCAAAATCCCACTATGGCAGTATCCAGTTGCTGCGCGTAATGTTGGATGGTTTTATAAGCTTCCACTGCACTTACCCACTTACTTCACAGATCAGCGAGCACTGGTGGCGGTCGCCAGTGGCATCCACAGCGCCAGCAACGACAACTGAGAATTTTACCCACGTTGCACCTCCGTCCTCAGGTACATAACAGCACCATTCCACCCGCATTGCGCGACCATGCTACAGCTATCGCTTTCATGTCATAGCACATTGTGGGCGAAAAATATGACCATTTTTATGACTGCTTAGAATTTGGACGTAATGAACCGTTTGCCAAGAAAAGTATTTGGAAAATATGTTTACTTTCGGTAGGCAAAAACAACCGTCCAATCTCTCCTTTAAGCACAGTAGCCAACACTACGAGCCACACTACCTGAAACGGCCACTGCTGCCACGGTGGGTTCCACTTTCACGGCTGCAAGGGCCGCCGCGGTGTCTTTGGCCGTCAAGGCGACCGGGAGGGTCGCCGTGGCGACAGGAGGGGTGACGGGGAGAGCGAGCCTCTGTTCAGGGGGGACACCATCATCGCAAGAGTTACTCTCGGTCCGGGGCACTGCCGCTCCATCGGTCAGGCGGCTGGCGCCCGTGTCGGCAGCCTCGACGCTCCCTTCCTCCACATCCTCGGACTCCTGCTCTCGTCGGAACGCAGCCCAAAAGAACCGAGGGAGGGATGGGGCGAGGGAGAAAGAAAAAAGGGAAAAGAGGAGGAAGAGACACATGCTCGTCACTCTCCACATGCAACACTCACGAGGCAACAAAGTACCTTTGCCCGTCTCTACGAACGGGGCTCGTGAGACGAGCTCCGAGGCAACTGCTTGCAGTAAACGACACGTTTCCAAAGAAATTGGGAACAGAAGCGCGAAGCAAAGACGACAAACAACAAATGCATGCTATGCAACGAAAATTCAAGGAATCTGTACGCTTCCTGCGTACCGGTCATACCAACCCGTTCGCGACGAACGGGTAAAAAGACGCGTTCGATGCAGTAATTACACTCTTATTAGAAAGTCCTCCTGTTTTCATTCATGCTGAATTTTCCGTAGACCAAAAGTCAGATCCCTTCTTTTTCTCTTTTCAGTGTGGCGCCATGTGTACACGCCGCAACGCACTCGGCACAGATGAGAAATCGGTACGCATTATTGCGACCTTGCTCGCGCAATTGAGCACCGGGCACAAAATCATTCCACACTGGCATAACACAAACTTGCACATTCGTACAACCAAACCGTTTTGAAGAAACTTTTGCATGAGAAACCAATGATTTACCACCATCACCATTACAGTGTGTGTGCAGTTTTATGCTTAGCGTAATCCCGTGGTCGGAAACCTAAAAAAAAACATGTATCACATGGATGACATGCATGCTGCTCAACACCGCCCATGCAAGTCACATAAACAAAGAATATGACTAAGAATTACCTTAGTAACAAAGGTAAATTGTGCCGACGTCACATTTATTAGCCGGCACGGACATCGAACACAACATCAAAACATTTGCAAGCCACTGAACAGTGTGGTACTTTCCTCGCGAAAGGGCAGGACATTTATTTAGAGCAGAGATCAAAATGAAAACAGAGGAAACATTTCTCAGCAATCTCCGGAACAAACGAGAAAGAAATAAACTAGCACGAATGTACAATCCCCATCGACTGATATTAGTGATAGGGGTGACCTATTCACTAAGATGACACCGATACAATCAGCTATAATCCTATTCCCGAATACTGGTAGAGGGAAGGGCGGCAAGTGAGGACGAGAAGATGTCTATAATGCCACTCCAACATTCCCTTTGCAGCAAATATTTGTGGGGAGACCCTAGTCTGAACCGTTTTTCTGTCATAACTTATTGTGCTAAGCACGCTAAGGTCATTGTTATTTTATTATTATTTTTTTAGTCAAAATGCCATGCAGGTACATTTCTGGACATTACACAAGGGATTTAGTCGAAGTACAGTATAAACACTTTTAAAAGCATGCAGTCTAAGCTTGTTATAACAGACCTTGATTTTGTCAAAGATTTTGGTCTGTTGTAAGAGGAGTATGTTGTATGCAGATATGAAGTTGAATCAATGGTGCATAGAGGAAAACCAAACGAACTTCAAAAATCAGTATGTTATATTCTAATGTCTGTTGTAACCAGGTCTGTTATAATGAGCTTAGACAGTATATATGAAACGAAAGATCTTGCATTCTCTCACCCATGAACGAGTTTAGCAGAAACATAACGCAATTTTTGCATTTTAATACTCTTTTGGAAAGAGCGCCACCAGCAACAAAAAAGTGTGTATTGTACAAAAATGTAAAACACTTATTTAGGTAAGAACATCACGAGAAATATAAACTAAAGGACACTCAAGTAGTCTAGTATAGCAGCTCGAACTGCAGCAGCGTCTGAAAGTGAGATTATGTTGTCGGGGAGACTATTCCAGTGCATAACTGCACGTGGCAATGAAGAGTTATTGAAAGCAGATGTATGTCCGAAAATATGGTTATCACTTCGACTGTTAGTTAGGTGGTGTGATGTTCGGTTAGGAGGCTCAAGGAGCTGGGCGACGACTCCGGGGTTAGTATTTCCTATGTAATGTAGTTTCCAAGGAAATCTCAACTTTATTACATATGTTTCTGCTCAACTTTTCCATCAAAAACGGTGGCACTAAGTATGCTTGCATATTCCAAAAACAGTGGAGTGTGCAACAAAAACCATTCTTATAATTTTAGCTTCGTTCTAGAAAACGCTGACAAGTTGAAATTATTTTGCTGATAACTAGAAATGAGTCATTAAAGTGCTTCCCAAATTAGAAAATTTTGCAGTTAACATTTTCCAAAACTATTAGCTTCATTGCACTTTTTAATTTATGAGGAATCCAACCCTAAAAATTGTATTCAGATCCAAAGACAGCATGAGCAAAACTTTGCGACGAACATATTAATTCTAAGAAAACAGGTAAAGCTTTTCAAAATATGCTTGTAAACAACCTGATTATGAAACTGAATTGAAGCGACTATAGGGTTCTTGCACGAGACCATGATGCAACGCTACTACCGGTTCGTAAATCTTATCGGAACCCACCGGAATCCATGTTGGAGACATGCGTCGCTGTTATACTATGTTTTGCATGCTTTGGGGTCGTGTCTGCACTGTACTTTGTCCACTCACTCGAGGTTTAAAACGGTCAGTTGCGCCGTAATTAATTGTTCCAGCCGTAAAAGCCGGCGACAGAAAGGAGCTACGCCCAGCAGTGCTGTTTTTATTTTTGAATTCCAGCAATCATTAGGAATCAGGACAAGGCGACGCTCCTGCAATCAGTTCGCTGGCATTAGGATTGTCTCCAACAGATACGGCAGCACAATCTCGACAGAAAAGCTTTGTACCAACTAAAGGTTTGTGGACTTCACTTCGTGTTAGGTGAGGAACCTTTTTGCCGAGAGATGGCACTTCACGTGCGCATTCAAGTGCCGACCGAGGATGTTAAACCCAAGTCACGCTTATTCTGACCTGTGTTCCCTCGGCTGCTCGTTACCAATTTGTTTTAGTTTCAAAAGCGAGTGAGGCAAATGCCAGGGCTCTGCAGCACTACTGCTGTCGGAATAAGGCGCTGAATGCCTCCAACAAGGCGCCAAGACACCGATGGCAGACAACAATCTTGGTTCCAATTTCCAGGCTAACCGGAAGTGACGTCAGGTGAAGCCTTTACAAATATGTACCTCCTAAGTGTAGTGATTAGAAAAGTTTGCGTGCAACTTTTTTATGTTTTGCTTTTTAAGATGATCGTCTCGCCCTTTCTGATCCCAAGGAACACCTGTGTCAGATAACAGCCAAGAGGTCTCCCCTCCATCGTCGAGATAAATCAGTGCAGAGGCCTACAGACTTTTAACATGCGCACACTAGAGAGTGTCTGGGCTGAGCATGAGGCTCAAATATGCTAAAATGACAGGTGCAGGAAACACTTAACTCAGCAATAGGAATGACTGAAAGAAAGTAGACGGTCAAAGGATTCCAGGGGGATACTTCCGGGAAGCCAGGGTTCCCGGGGAACTCCGTTCGAGACTGCGCGATGCGGGACGAGACAAACGGGGCAGAGTCCCCGACCCACCTGCTTGTGGCAGGCGGCCAGACACGGGGAAGGGGTCGAGCGGGCCTCCTGCTTCACCACCACCGGTGGCAGGGCGGGTGGCGGCGTGGGCGGCACGGAGGGGGTGCCCTCCTCCTTCACCTCTGGCGGGGTTCGGCACCAGCGCAAGGCGGCTGCGTGGGACCCGCACGCCGAGGATGGGGGAGCCGCAAGCGCGGCGTGCACGCGCAGCATCGCGGGAGGCGTCAGGGCAGAGGCCGGTTCCATCTTCGGGGTCACGGGGGGCTCGCAGGCAACGGCAGGCGGCGACAGGGACAGCTGGGAGAACGGTGGAGAGGATAAAAACACCGAATCTGTGGGGAAAAGATTCTGAGGATACCTAAGCACTTCTTATGAGTTGTGAATGCGAAAGCATTAATGTCTAATTGAACGCTGCTGAGGGCTCCTTTAAATGCTGTGCTCCGAGTAATGGTTTCAAGTTTTACTGCGGGGTATGTTTTAGAGTTCTGCAATTAAATTGCTGCAGCCACTTCCGCCTCAAGCTTTTAAATGACCTTGTTCTGTCTCCTAGCACATTGCGCTGCTGCTCGTTCTGCCCGCCGCGTATTCGGAGACTTGACAACGACGCTGGATTTTGCTGCCTGCCTCTTCGCTCATTTTGCTGCATTCTTCCACTCCCTTAGTTCGTCTCAGTGTACTGAAGTGGACGGCCATGTTTCGCTAGTTCCGAGGTTGCGGCCACCGACGATATTGATGTTTCAGGCGCCACCATGTTCCATGGCGCAGAGAGGAACAGAAGCAGCCACAGCAGTCCGCAAGGAGTGCGGTGGTGCGCCGTGCAGACCGCCCTGGCTTGGACTGCTGCGTCGCTGGGTGAGGCAGCGGCAGGAATGCGAAGCTCAGCGCGGCGTGTGCTAAAATCATGTGTCCTCTCATTAACATCATCATCGCCCTAGTTGCGGGTACCGGTTGACGACGTTAGACCTCAAAGCGTAACGTTAGGCCTAACGTTAGGCTTAACGTCAGACTAGTGCATGCCCAAGTCACCCCCTCACGTCAAACAGCTGCACGTACCGGTCGACGACGTCAGACCTCAAAGCGTAACAATAAACCTAACGTCGGGCCTAACGTCAGGCCAGCGCATACTCGCGTCCACCCCTCCCGCTGCGCCGCCAGCAGTTCGGCTGGATTATTAGCAACGATGACGGCGTTGTTATGGAGCCGCATGATGGCATCACAGCCAATGGGAATAGATGTGCCGTTTTTTGCTGCTACAGACAACGCCAGCCTCGCTCCATGGGACAGCAGTGATGGAAGTGCCATTTGACCTTTTGGAGCGGGCCTTGTAGCAGGCAAAATGTTGTTTTGGAGCAGGTAGTGGCCCTTTTGGAGCAGGGTGCGGCACATGTTCGCATATTACTTGAAAATGAAATAATGCTGCATTGCTATATAAAGCTCACCTCTATTATTGGAACACAGCGCCTGTCGCCTTTTTAGGACAGGATATATAAAAGTCAACAAAGTAAACACAAAAAAACTTTTTTCAATAAAGTTTATCTGCTCGTCAGATAAAAAAAAATACAATTAAATATGTCACACTGAGTTCTGATGGTACAGGATATTTAGTTTTATCAGCCTGCACTTCTTTTAAGGTATCTGCAGCAGCATCTAACGACCCTCACTGTTGTGGAATGTTTTAGTTCAGATTAGAGTTGTCTTTCGGGCAGCAGCTTCAAATATTGCGGTATCTGATGTTCGCTTCAAAAATTCCGATTCATTTCGATGTGCTGGCGAAGTCACAATCGGATCACGGTGAGTTAACCCGTTGAGTGCGCTCCTTGGCATGCACCGACGTGCTGCAGAGAAGCGCCACCCGCAGAGCAGACACCGCAGTTGCGCGAGTCGCGCCGTGCTTTGTGCTCCGTAAAGGACGGTGAGACTTTACCAGCACTACATCCAGAGTTTGGTGCAACTCAACTATACTTCGTTCCAGCTTCGGTGCGAGCGCAGCCGAAGCTACAAGCGCGCGCATGAAGCCCGTAACGTTGCCCACACTGCACGAGCCCACGCGCGAGTCAGAAATGCATAGAGCATTGGGCGCGCGCTAGCTTTGACCTCGCTGGTAGCCAGCGCACGGGAACAGGGCGGGCCAACATTGAAAACATCCACAAGCTCAGCCTTTTTTTTTTTTTTTTTTTTAATAGGCTGTTCAGTGGAATGGTTCTTCATTTAGCCTCTGCGGCTTTGGTCTCAGATGTTGCTAACGTTGTTCCTTTCAATGATGATGATGATAATTCGCCCTCGCAGTTTGGGTTTGCGTAACAGTTGTGGCGCGGAAAATACCGTGGTACCGCCACGCGCTCTGATAAGACTTCAAATTTTATTTTTTATTGCTACACCTCATCTCGGCGCAGGCATGGCTCAATTCTTCGATAAAATGACAATTTGGCGCTACATGTAGCAGGATTGCGTCCTTGGCGCAATTTGGCGCAATTGGCGCAGCACTTCCATCGCTGGGACAGTTAATGCTTTCGTATTCAAAATTAACCCCCCCCCCCCCCCCCCCCCCCCCCCAGGCAGTTGTCTGGTTGTTGCCTCCGCTCATAAACGGCGGTAGCTGTCCAAAGTTTCGTGTCATCACTTCTTTGCTGACGGACACAACACTGGGGAAAACTAACCCCTAAACAGCTCCGCTGAAAAAAAACAAAAAACACTAAAAACACGGAACTTCGGTTATGGCACTCCGTAATTTTATGGAAGCCTCCATCTCCCTGGTTTCGCGCCTATGAGGTGGCTCATTAGCCGCCACACTTGAGACAGGATGAAATGGTCGTGCTTCCCGTAAGGTTCACCAGCTTGTTCTCCTCGAACACTGGACAAGCGAGTCCTCCCGACAATGCTCATGCTCGAGTAGCGAAAACTAGAACCAAAAAGTTGGACCGTGGTTCACAATTCGACGGCTTGGTGGACAAATGCTTTCTTCCGGTGTAAGGCTCTGCCGTAACTTAAGTGGGTAAGAGTGGATGCAATTCAACCTGCATGACGCCAAATTTGTCCTTCCCGTCACTTAATTATAAAAAGCGACGTTACTTAAAGGGACCATGAAATGACCTTTTTACTTTTTCCAGATAACTTTTACATTAAACCGTCAATGTTCACTGAATGCCGAACAGGCATCTGTTTTCGTCTCGGTTTATTAACTTCTACACAAAAAATTATTGAAATATCGACTTTTTCATTCTCTCCAACTGACCGCAAAACAAGCCGTGACGTAGACCGTTTCCGGAACCGGAAGTTCTCTCGGCAGTAGGAGAATGGGAGTGTTAGCGGCAACGAGTTGGGGTGCGCCGGTAGGTTTTACTGCGCTGATGTCACCGACGTATTTCCTGAATCGGCGCCTCTCATCGCCACGTCGCAGCTGAGCGAAATTCAATGAGATATGTTGCGCTACAGCGACAGCATGGGACTAGTCCCATACGCCGGTATGCCTGTTGGGAAGTGCAGCGAGTCTTCCGGTGAAGACTCCAGAAGTCAACCACCCCGTCATTGTTGGCAGAAGGGCCGGCCCGTGTCAGTCGTTTGCAAAGCGACGTAGATGGCGTTTTTCGCGGCCTCGGAGATGCAGGAGCGAGCCGACGTTAAAAAAGATACGTTTGAACTACGAGTGTCAGCAAGAGCCACGTAAATACCTGTTTACACTCGGAGCGGACGCGCGCGCTTGATGGAACTCTTGTATTCGCGCTGTTTGTAAGCGCTTCGGGACCGTTCTTTTACGATTGCAACTCGATACTGACGCGACACTCGGCAAAGAAAGCTCGACAGTGACGTGCAGTCTGTCAGAATAAAAATGGCATACCAATAACAAAGTGTACATACCGTGTTACGAAGGTAATCCATACGGCGTTTATTTCAGCTCTATATCACACAAAACAAGAAGATAGAATCGACGAGAGTCCCTTTTCGACAAGTGTTCGTCAACACTGCCTCGGAAAACAAGGGGAAGAGATTGACCTCACCTCTTAATCTAGAATTGAGGTCAGCGATCAAACTATAATACGGGAAGGGTCCACAAGGGTCGCGCGGGCATATTCCATTTAGCACGCCAGCCGGTCGTAGGCAGACGGTCTTGCGACGAAGCAACGCAGCGCCGAGTCGGAATGCCTGCTAGGCCTATATTCTGAGCAGTTCGCTTCGTCGGAGTCGGTGGATCCAGCGTTCTTGTTCGTCGTGGTCTGTTTTAAGCACTGTTTTCTTGCTGCTTGAAGTCGGCACGCGCGGGAAGAACACGTAGAAAAATAAACGTTCAGTCAGTCAGAGTTTTGAGAGGAAGGAAAAAAAAGAAAACAAACATTCGTCGGTCGCCGCCACCCAAGTAACTGTCGGCCCTGCCCTACTGCGCACGCGCAGTAGTTGCTTCGTTTACCACACGATAGATGGCGCTTGGCTCTCAGCATTATCAAATTTGGCAAGTTTCGCCACATATCTCTAATTATGCTGCAAAATGTGGATCTGAATATTATTTAACAAAACTTTTAGGAAACATTCGCCGGCTATTTATTGTTTACGATCGCGGTGCTGGTGAGGTATGCTCTTACCTAATAGGCGACCTGGATTTGGCTGACGTGCTCCATTTCCGCGGATGCATCGTAGTGAACAGGCGAAGGAAGGAAGGCGCAAAAGAGTCCAGTTTTCTTTTAAAAGTTCTATAGCAAATAATTTTTTTGGCTCCCTATTTTTGTGTTTTTCTGTTTCTTTTCACGCCTTTTACGACGTGCGGTGGATGAAACTCGATTTTAAAATCATTTCATGGTCTCTTTAAAGAACACATGCAAAGAAAAAAAAAACATTTTTTTTAGACAGCTTAGATGGAAAAAGGATGGCATAAAACGATTTTACAACGAAGAAAAAAAATTTTTAGAGCTATATTTACGGCGCTATACAAATTTGTAGTTGGCGCTCGCGGGAGCCGTCGCTAATCACGTGGTAGGCCCGCGCGCCGCCGCGCTGCGTCACCGCCACACGCTGAGCGTAGTGCGAACGCCGCTTCAACGCGTTTCTCCACGCTGCTGTCGCCGCCGCCGCACAAGTTCGCCTGCTTCGGGGCACCGCCGCCGTCGTCTGACCGGTGCACAGGTCTATCACATCTGCTTGCGCTTCTTCAGGAGTTTCCTTTGGGCTCTAAAAGTTACTTATTCATCTTAGTTTTTTGTTATACTTCAAACAAAGATGAATAACTTACTTTTAGAGGCCATAGGAAGCTTCCAAAAGAGCGCAAGCACCACGTGACAAATATGGGCCCGTCACGTGATAAATAAGGGCCGCTCTTCCGCAGCACCCGCCGACGCCAACTACAAATTTGTATAGCGCCGTAAATGTAGCTCTAAAATTTTTTTTTTCTTGGTTGTAAAATTGTTTTATGATATCCTTTTTCCATCTAAGCTGTTTAAAAAAATATTTTTTTCCTTTGCATGTGTCCTTTAAAGGCCGACGAGCAACTAGAAAAGAGGAAATTCTCCCTCAATTCCTCCATTCTATTTTAGAAAAAGGGAGACCCTCCTTCTTTCTGCAGGGAGTAGCTCAGAGACCCACTCCTGTGGGGACAGGAAAAGAGAAGAGTGTGGGAGGAAACGGAGAGAAGGAAACTGGGAATGGGCTTTCCGCCAGGCAGATGATGATTCTGAGGGTCGACCTTTAAAGGGCCCATGAAACGATTTTTGGGTTGGGATAAATCATTTTAGATTGGAATTTTACTAATAGCACATCGTTCAGTGGACCAAAAGAAAAAAAGGTAGAAGGTCAAAAGCCCGACTTTCAGTGCGAAAATTTGAAAACAGAGCGGACTATTTCGTACCTCCTCCCCTTCGCAACCTCTCTGCCTTTTCACTGTGATACATCCGCGGTCCCAAAAGCGCATCATCGGGTCCAAACTGACGTCACACGCAACCGGACCTCACTTAATCCCTTCACCCCTAAGCTGACATTGTGCTGGAAGCTACGCGCTTGCCGGACCAATTAGCCGCCTCCCTTTCATCACCTGACTTCATTCTCTGCAGCCACATTTGCCACGCTCACGTGGCAAATGTGGTTGGCCCAACGAGCACGTAGCTTCAACAGCACTGTCAGCTTCGGGATGAACGGGGTGGGGAAAGCAACTTTTGTCTGAATTTTGAACGACCGGCTAATCTTCTAGGGGGAGAATGGATATGTCCGGGATTACACAAACCAGATTCCGAGCGAGAGGGGCCTCCCTTCTTTTCGTCTTCTTTAACTGTTTGGTGGAATGGGCAATTTATGAGTTGAGGAGGAAAGCTAAACAGGAAAAAGTTGGAAAAGCGTTTCATGACCCCTTTAAGTGTACAATTGTTACCAAAGAGAAGCGAGGGCCCTCGCAACCAAATAGCTGCCCGACAGCCCTGAGAAAGAAGAGGCGGCGGGGACCCACCTGAGTTGCCATGGCCTTGCCGGGAAGAACGACGAGCTGGCCCTCATCGTTGGAGAGGCGCACTGTCTGGGGCATCCCCGTCTGCCTCAGGGTGAAGTTCAGCGTGTGGGTCACCGACGCAGGGAAGGACATGGCGCTCGAGGCAACAGGGGCCGCCGGCGGAGAGGGAGTCTTTGAGGCACGCTACCACGCGCAACATCAGAAAACGGGCGTTTAAATAGTTACCAGTGAACGGGTCAACTCAAGATTAGTAGTTACGTCACATCAAGATTGTAAGCTTCCACCACCATTATGCCAAGCTCTATCATAAAATTGAACACTTCCAACAATTTCGACTACCGCACTCTTCTTACGAACGGTCCTCCACAAACGGTCACCCCAGTAAAAAAAAATTGCAGAAACAGTGTTACTCTATTTCCAGAGGGCTGCTGTCGCAGCACATCCGTCACACGCATGGAGGAGTGAGCTGCACATTGTTTCCAGACCTTTTCCCCTTTCCCTTTCATCATTGGGAATCGCTGATACTCCAATACAAGCACAGCATTCCTCTTGCCTAGACTTCAGCAAGATTGGTGACGCGTAAATGCATTTTCCCACAGCCTGCAAGGCCCCACTTTTGTATCGACAACCAAATCTTGCCCTTCCGCTCCTGCACAGCGTTTCTGGTACTTCTGTGCCAACAATGCTATGGCTACTTTTGTGGCAAGTTTTCCCTGACTTTTGCTTTCGATTTTATTTAAAACTTCCTTTAAATCCATAGCAACTTGGGCTCCAGCTGTCAAGGGTGAGATGAAACCCAGAATGGCAAGCCACGCAGCCACAAACCTGCGGAGGTGTGATCCGCTCGCTTAGCAGCTTCTCGATGTTCGGTTTCTCTTCGGAAATACACCCTGAAAAGAGAAGAAGAGAGCACTGAATACCGTAGGTCAAAAAATAAAATATAAGCATAGAATGCCTACCGTAAAATACCGGACAAGCGCCCACTCAAAATTTAAAGATAATCATGAAAAAAATGGGGGATGGGCGCTTGTCTGGTCATCAATTTCACATATCAATGATCTGTGTATATTTTCTCAGATCCTACAAATTCTACGGTATGTCCTGAAACCAGCCATGTAGCACATTCTTTTCCCGGACTAGAATCAGCTTAATCAGAAAATTCCCTATAATTTTCCTTGATCCTATAACACTTATACAATTCAGACCCCTTGCAGATAATAAAAGTGCCACACTTGATTCTGAAAAGCCAGAATAATATGCCGACCCAATACTTAATTCTTTCCCGTGAAAGATGTGGGGCAAATGAATATGCACAGTTCTTTGATGTGTTAGCACAAAATGCTTGAGAAAAACAAGAATAATTTATATTTTTCGGCACATGTATGTATATAGGACAGTTGGCTGGAAAGTGTATAATACTTGCGCTCTCGAATAATTACTAGGGTGCCTATCACACAAAACAGTTCACCACTGTTGTATACACAATGAACAGCAATAAGCTATCTAAATGCTTCAAAGCAGTCTCTGCTCATTTTCATTGCCTTTCCATGGTCTCTGAGGAGGAAATAGTGAAAATATGCAGATGAATTAACAATCTGATCAGCAATGTTCATTAATCAGCATATTTCAACTAAAGTAGCCTCTGTACGCCCACATTGCATTTTCTGCGTCCGTGAGTCTGCAGTCATGATTTTAAGTAGTAGAATGCATACACAAGTACACATTTAACAAGCACACACTTAACCCTTAAGGGGGGATGCTGGCTCGAGATTCAACTTCTGAACCACTCAAGTGATGGAGATGAAATTTGCAGGGTAGATTTAACATTAAATGTAGGTATTTTGTGCTATCTTTCAGCTCTCTAGGACAATTTTACATACCTGCATGAGAAGATGAGTCTCTCTTTGTTAAGAAATCTATGATATGCAAATAAAGCTATTGAGCACTATTTTGACTGTTTGAATATATAGTGGGGTATGTGGGACTTCGGGCTATATAGCTTTAATGTGAGAGCATTAAGTGTCTCATGGAGCAGAGCCGGCGTTGTTCGTAACCACAAAAAACAGCAAAGAAATTCCCTCCATGCCATAAACGTGAAAAAAAGGCAGAGAAATTTCTTCTGCAGAACGGCTATTCGAATGGCTGCGACGCGCTGGATTGGCTGCGATGAATTTGCCGCGCCGGATTGGCTGCGGCCTGTGCACCGAAGCTAAAGAAAAGGTAGGGTTTGGAGCACTTTAAACACATTTTTCTCCGTTCCACTTTTAGGGGCAAAGCTCCTTAGGGTCTAGCCTTGTCCATCCGTCCGGCAACAATGCTCACATCGGTTGCACTGCCTCCGGGATCGGCCCACTTTTAAAAAAAATAAGTATGCCCACACAGGGGTTCGAACTTAGAACCGATTGCTTACGAGGCAGATGTCTTAACCACTACGCTACACTCCAACGTTGCATCTAGCCGCTTAACGTCTATACAGGAGAGGGCGCTGCGGTCAAATGCGTATATAATCGCGTTAAACTTTGCATGCACCGGCTCTACATTTATAGACGAGAGGGCGCTGTGGTCAAACGCTCAACTGTGTATATAACCACGATCCATACCACACATTCTCTTTCTGACACGGACCGTTGACTTAAGTGGTGGAGATGCGTTCCCACGGCCCCTAGCGGACCCAAGCTGATCCACTAGATGAACCACTGGCTCTGCATTTTACCGACCATAAAGTAGTAATAATGAAGTCGAAACGCAACCCAGAACTCAGCACTACCTATGAGCAATAAAAAAAAAAATCAGCACCATCAGTACTACCTATGAACTATAAAATCAGTATCATCAGCACCACTAGAGCTTCGCCCCAATTAACATCATTCACCACGTGGAGATGTGGCCTCTTTTTTGGTATAAATTCTATTTTAGTCCATCTATCGTTTGAAAGTGGCCATGCAGGGAAGGCTAGTTCTTCACTTTTCCTGACTTAATAAGGAAAGTGGCAATGGAACTTTTTGTCACTTTACAGATGTCTTTTGTAAAAAAATGTTGACATTTTGTCGAAGACACAGAAGACCAAAAAGTTTACCAATTTTGCAGAAGAGAAAATTTACAGAAATAAAACTTTTTACAAAACACCTTTAATGCCGCACCCCCTAGGCATTATGCTATGTATCTAGCAAATAAAAATCTTTTATATTGTGATAGTATTCCCAAGATAGATAAACTAAACAATGTAAGCATGTTGCTGATAGAAGCTGCTCTAATTTCCTTCCCATTTAACTGACAGACCTAAAATTTTGTTATGCACGCCCTAGCATGACCACCAGTCTACCCTGTTAATTTATTTAAAGGAGCTGTGCAACAATTTCAGTGCTTTGCTTAAATAATTTGGGAGTTGGTGTCTCGACCTTTCTGAAGTAAATAACAAAAAAATGCTTTTGCCTGCATGTCCTAGTTTTTAATTTAAAAATAGACAAATATTGAGGTTTTCAAACCCTCTCAACTCCTTCACCACCTTCCGAGTCACGTGCGCTGTGACGTCAATGGGGGTTGCGCGGAGTTCCGGTGAAGCTCTCTCTCTAGTGCCATCAATGAGCAGCGAGAACTCATCAGCTCGGGACCATGTGACCAAGTGCTAACGCAGCGCGAACAATATGGTGAAAGGAGGAAAGACTCATTCGGGTCCGGCCATCCCCGTCCCCCTCCGGCTTCTGGCGGCAGTTTGCGATAGCAGATAGAGCTGACGGTTTTCTGGACCTAGGATAGATGGCGCCATTAAAACTCCGTATAATAAAAGTTTTGTCGATGGTACCAGGTTTTTGACGGATTGATATTTATGTTGGAACGACAAGAATTATAGAAAAGTTACCTTTTATCGAGCAGGTATTCGCAAAACTTGCTATCTTTCTACAAGACCCCCATTGACGTCATGCCTCATGGTTTTCATGGCCGTTGCTCGCGGCTGCAGGTAAGGGAATATTCTAATTTTTGCCTCGCGATTACGTGGTGAAATCACAACATTTCGAAGGAAGAAGGTGTGTTTTCTGTCCTTTGTGACAAGATTAACAATGTCAAAAGTAAAAGGTGCCAATTCTTTCAACATAAAAATCGTTGCACAGCTCCTTTAACTTTAAACCAAGGGTTCAAAAGTTGAACCTCCCAAGGGGTGTGTCCCCCTAGGAGGGTCAACTGGCAGCTGGCATTCAAAAATGTTGCACTCATGTCTTTTTTTTATAGGTATGGTCAAAATCTGTTGTTTTTATTTAGGGGGTGGGGGGGGGGGGGGGGGGGGGGGAAGGCATTTAAAGAGCAACTCCGATCAATATTATTTTAATTTGGGAATATGACTTAGCAGTTAAAGCAGTGCCTCTAGATTACAAGTTATAATTTTTCTTTTTTTTTTTATATATATTGTGTAGTTTTATAAATATTACAGCTTAAAGTTTGGTTTCGGGCATCTACGGCAAACCCGAAGCTATGTCCTAGAGAGATAGCAACACTGATCACCAGACGTACGGCTGCGACGTGACGTCATTGTGGTGCAGCGGTACGAAATAGAATCAATCAACCGCAGCTCCACCGTGACGTGACATCACACGAGTGCTGCGCCAATGCTCCTTGACTTGATCCTAACCCGCTTGCTGCTTGCTAAAGAACAGCTGGTCGCAACATTAAAATCCATTTTAGTGGAGTATGCAGCTTCACATTGTCGTAATGATTCGGCTGTCATCCTATTTCCTGCCACTAAAACAGTGCTAGTCATTTATTTTGATTTTGTTTTCAACCGGAGTTACCCCTTTAAGCATGTGGAAGTTTGGGGTTCATTTTCAAACACCAGTGCAACTTTTAGGTACAAAATTCAAGGAGTGTTTTGTCTGAGTTTCTGCCAATGCATGGTCAGACAAATCATCCCGTAACAAACAGCATAACGCATTCTGACCAACTCTCTCTCCTTCTATCCACCTCCCCCGTCTTGTTGCGATCGAATCACCGAAAGGAGGTTGGCAAGCCGGGCGGTGCGGCGGCAACCAACGACGAAAGGCAAGCCCCACTCACCCAGGACGGAGTCCTCCAGCTTGATGCCCACGTCCACTCCGTCAAAGAACTGGGTCCGGCCGACCAGCTTCTTGGCCACGTCCTCGTCGGCCCCTTCTGGCGGAGGGTTGGAGTAGTTGTGGTCCCCCGCGGGGGTGCCACGCTGGTGCAGCTCGCCGCAGCCGGGAGGGGCCATGCCGTCGGCCCCGTCCGATCCGCCGGGGCTTGAGCCGTCGTCCCCGGGGTCGCAGTCCGAGAGGGCACCCACAGTCTCCACCACAACAGCCACGTCCAGGGGCTCCCCGTGCTCAACAGCGTCAGGCTGCCCCCCGTCCCCGTCCCCAACCATAACAAGGGCCACGCGGGAGGCGTCGCCGTCCTCTTCGTCCTCCGAGGGAGCCAGGGCGGCCGCGTCGGCCGAGCCGTCGTCCAGGCTGAGCAGCACCTCTGACGAGACGCAGCCGTCGTGGCTGGTGATGGTGGCCGCGGGGTAGTCGAGGGACACGAACACGCTTGTCTGCATCTGCTCCGTCTCGAAGGAGACCAGCGTGGATGAGGGCCCCACGTGGAAGGTGCTGCCCCCAAAGGAACTGCTGCCCCCTTCCCCCGCCCGGTGCAGAAGCGAGGGGGTCGAGGAGGCCCCCTCCCCCTCGTCCCCCGAGGAGGAGGAGGCTTTGGGCGGGCTCGCGGGGACGGCCCCCCGGCCTCCCCCGACCGTGTGGGGGCGGCCCCCCGGCAGGCCGCCGCCCGAGCCAGGGGGGTTGTTGCCGCCGGGCCGCACGATGAAGTTGCGTGCCACGTTGGCGTTCGCCGGCGCGGCTGCCCTGAACATCTGGGCACGCACAAACTGGGAGTCCCCAAAGGGCACGGAGCCCCTGGGGCTCTGGGCGGGAGGTCGTCGGATGGCCATACCCTGCTGGGGGACGTACTGACTCTGCTGCAGCATCATCTGCTGCTGTTGCTGGCGGATTTGCTGCACGTACTGCATTCGGGGCTGCTGTTGCTGTTGCTGCTGCTGTTGCTGTTGTTGTTGTTGTTGTTGTTGTTGTTGTTGTTGTTGTTGTTGTTGTTGCTGCTGCTGCTGCTGTTGCTGGTGCTGCATCATGGAGCCCCTGGTAAAGCCCACGGTCGTCGTGGGGAGCCCCATCATGCCCTGGCTCACGCGCACCATTTGTGTCCGCACTTGCATGGGGGACGAGCTGTCGCTCCCGTCCGAGGCAAACGTGTCGCCTGCGGACATCGACTGGCTCTGTGCCGCAAAGGCCGAGGGCGACGGGCTGCCGACGGGAGAGGCCCCAGCGCTCTGGTAGACTGATGCGGGCACATAGTGGGGGCTCTCTGTGGCGCGCGACTCCGCCACGGAGCACATTGCCTGGCCGCCCGCCACGCCAGCGAAGCTGTCCACGCTCCCGCGCGACGAGTTGGAGTTGCTGGCGGGGCTGCCGACCGACCCGGCCCTGAGGTACTGCAGGATGCTTTCCTGCTTGGAAAGCGGCGGCGTCTGGCCACTGTTGTCCTGCGAGCCGCAGCCCCTGCCTGGGGAAGGCTCCCCGGTGGAGGGCCGCCCTTCCTCCCCGCGGCTTTGTGGGCTCGGGGACTCGGAGGGGGTCTTGGAAACCCGGGAGAGGAGGTCCGACAGGCTCTCGACGGAGCGCTCGCCCACGTCACCCCTGGCGTCGTCCGCCAGAGACGTGGGCACAGCCGGGGAGCGCTGGGGCAGGCTGGAGGAGCTGGAGGGGGTCCCGGGAGAGAAGTGGCGCTCCATGGGGGATGACCGGGGGTCCGGGGAGGGCAGGGCGGGCTGCGAGTTGGGGCGGGACAAGGACGGGGGCGTGCGCGAGGGGTCGGGGTTGTCCCCCCCGTCTGGCCCGTGGCCGGGGGACATGGCTGGGGAGGGCGGCGGCTTGCGCAGGTGGTCCGGGTAAGGGGGCGGGGGCCGCATCATGGGGTGTACCCCTCCGGTGCGCTGCAGGTACGGGTGGCCCGGCGGGTGCTGGCTGGCCGGGTCGCTCCCTGCGCAGGACGCACCAAGCTGCCCCGTTTGAGAGGCAGTGCCTGGGGGGCCCCCGGCATCTGCCACCCCGGCCCCGAATGAGTGACGGACAAACAGCTGGCACGGACGCTCCGGTACGGGCAGAAAGGCAATGCAAGACAAGAGGAACGAACGCGTGGCTTCACCCGACCAGAGCCGGGTGGGTGCACCCTAAAAAAAGCCCTTCTGCTGACTGTACAATCTACTTTAAACGGCCCAGCTTCGGACAACCGACAGAGATGGCAAAGCTGCAAACCTGAAACTGATTCTTGCACAGATGATACAAACTCACTACTAAGATTATGTTTCGGATGTACGGTTAGTCCTTCCATCTCTGCCATTGACTGGACTTCATTTACTATAGATTCTATAAGCCAATTTCCATTCAATTAGAATTATTTTTTTTATTTTTCTGACAGGGGTGACATTTACCTCTAATGCATCGCAAGGTTTTCCTTCGCAGCACTTTGAAGACTATAATAAATAGCATTCATAGCTCAATTACTCGTTGCACAGTTCAATTGCAACAAACCCAAGAAGAGTTAAAATTATTGTGGTAGCACAAAGAAGCAAAAACTTGGTGATTAAGGCACAACAAAGGCCCGTTCCCACGCTCGCCACCGTTTAGGACTGTGCGTCTTAAAACTTCTTTTGATGAGAGAACACCTTGGCACACCGGCCCCATCTATGTGGTGACGCTGCAACTGCACTTCGGTAGAGAGAAGGTTTTGCAGTATTTTTTTGCAAGATCAAATGTACTCTCGAGACCGGTTATAACGAAGTCAACGGGAATCGGAAATCTTTTCGCTATATCCGCTATTTTATTATAACTGACTTCAGTTAACGAAGTGCAAAAGGGAGTGGGAAATCATGATCGCTTCACTGTAGCTGCTATTTCGTTATAACCGACCTCATTATAACTGGACTGACAGCATGTACTATCCACGAAAAAATTGTTTATTATAATATTGACAAAAAAAAAATAATGGGGGTAAAAAAAAAGACGAAGTATACAGCACTGCCAACTGTTTGATAGCTGCCCGTTAGGCGGAGTTAGTGTGACATCTCGCTCTAAAAGGTTTTAAGAGGTTTCAAGGCACACGGTCCTAAGCAGTAGGGCCTTAGGGTGCTGAAAGTTTGTTTTCAGGAAGCTCGAAGAAAACGCTCGTACAGTGTACTTGTACCGAACACGCTAACTGTGTTTTCTCATGAAAGCGGTATCCTAGCAGAAGCTGAAGAACGACTCTTTGATGTAGTATTTCTAGAAGTTTTGTCGAGTCCTATGTCACAAAATTGTTGCTCGGTTGCCATCGGAATGACACTGCCATGAGAAAATGTGCAGTTTGTGCGTTCTGAATAAGTTTGGTGGGCACTGCACAATGTAAGGCAGCACTTCGGCAGTTGATTCCCTTCCCACGTTTTATTTACTTCTATAAGCAAACACGTGTCATTAACGTTGGGGCCACTAGATGAGCTAAGCTTTGGTGTAACGACACCTCAGCGGTATTGTTGCATCGAATTAATGTTGCCGGCTGCTGTCGGCTTGTGTCAACGTGCCTGATGGAAAATGCAAGAAGTGCTTTCGGTCGTCCTACTGGCTAAAACAGCTCGCAACAGAGCGAATTGATTCTGTGTATGATCTCCCAACACTGTATCTCGACCGCTCTTCAGTCACATTTCCAAATCGTAAGCGTCACAAATGGAGCCCGGGTGGCTCTAGGCACCGAAAATGCAGTGCTTACGAGCACAGACAAACGTTGCTTGACATGAACGAACAAATGACAGTCGTGTTGGTGTATACCTAGGCTGCTGCAGGTAAAGAAATGTCGGAAGGGTCTCCTTTCACAAAGCCTCCTCAGCCCTTCCAGCTCCTTTGTACAAACATTATAGTTTACGGCACAAACGAAAGCAACTTTCAAGGGTCTCCCAAAAAGTGATTTTGTCCTCGCTGTAAATTATTGTTTACATAGAGGTTTATCCAACAAAGCCTTTGCACAAAAGACTCTCATTAATTCAAACTCCAGGAAGCCGCAGATTTTGTTTTAATTATCGCAAGTTTGAATGATCAGAAATTAATCTAAATATGATGCGAGATAAAATTATGATTTGCTATATGGATGGCTACACATACAAAGCAGATATTTGATGATTTCCTCTACTAATCATAAGGAGATATGCTACGCCTAAAACATTGGTGAAATGTACTAAATAAGTTTACCTATCTTTCAAAAATGTTGTCTATTCTGGACTGTTTACACAGTACATGACACCTCAAAATAAAAATTAAGTTTGATCATCTAGAAAAGAAGTTTTATATTTTAGACTATTAGCCGCGTTGAGCAAGCTTCTTACAGAGCACCGGTGCACTGCAGAGAAGCAACACTCGCATGAAGCAGGCTCCGCGGGTGTTGCTTCTCCGCAGCGCACAAGTGCTCGGAAAGAAGCGCACTCAATGGGGGCCGTTACAACTAGGGATGCCGCGAACCACCCTAGGTTCGGTTTCGAAAGGTTTCAATATTTTCGAACCGAACTGATGTTCGATTTCGAAAAGTTTCGATATTTTCGACCGTAGGGAGGTTCGAATTCGAAAAATTTGCAAATTTCCAAAATCGTGGGGTTTCGAATTCGAAAAGTTTGAAGCTTTCACGGTTTCTGAAAGTTCGGGTTCGATTATTTCGAATATTTGTTTACTTGAGATTCGATAAATTTGAATATTTCGAACTTCCCTCATTTTAAATTCGAGAATTTTGAATGTTTCGAATTTTTTTTTGATCTAAAATTCGAAAAATTCGAACGTTTCGAATTTTTAAAGACAAGGTTTGATAAATTCGAAGATTTTGAATTTATTTCTACATAAAGTTTGAAAAGTTCGAAGGTTTCGATTCTCTTTTAATGCTAAATTCGAAAAAAAAAAAAAAAAAAAAACTTCCAAGGGTTTTGATTTCTTTGAAGTCCGAGTGCGCAAAGTTCAAAGTCCGTTTTAACCGGCTATCATGTTTCGCCACAGTTTCGGTTTCAAATAACGCTTTCACGCTTCACTGGTTTTCACGAAATCAGGTTTAGAAAAGTTCGGGTGTGGTATTTAGACTGCGCGAAGTTGGTCAGGCAATTAAATGAGACGACGAGTGCCCCGAATGTGCTGGAATATTTGCCAGTGCAGTGACATGTAACAATAGATCAGTAATTGTGACCGCCAGCCCAGGGTGGTCGTTAACGTGCATTACGAAGTAGTGATCCTACGAACGCAATGTTTAACGATACTCATTCAGTTCGAAACGTGGTTAAGGTTCAGAAAAACCTTGAAATGATCTGCCAAACTGCCCCCCTACCCCCTTGCACGCTGGTAGTAATCCGATCGAACGCCGCCCGAGTGACGCTGGCATATAGTAATTTTAGTTTGTAGATGATGCAAAATCCCGAGACTGGGAATGAAATTTGAACGAAAAAGTGTAAGAAGACAGAAAAAAGGGGACAGGACAACGTCTCAAACTCAACTCAGCTGAAATCTCAGCTCAGGACAACATCTCAAACTCAACTCAGCTGAAAACTCAGCTCAGGGCAACGTCTCAAACTCAACTCAGCTCAGTTTGAGACGTTGTCCTGTCCCATTTTTCTTTCTTCTTACACTATTTCTTGCGAATTTCATTCCCAGTCTCGGGATTTTGCATCATGATCAACATACACCAGCTCGCCTGCACCTTGACAATTTTTTTGTTTGTAATTGCTTTGGAGGTTTATTTTCTGGGGCGGAAGAAAAGCCGAGCAAGAAGCACAGAAGCTGATGCAACTTGAGGTCGAGGAGCGTTCTAACATACCCGTGGCGTCCGAAGAGGAAAAATGGGGGGGGGGCTCCAGCCTCTCTCCTCCCCTCCTAGATATTTCGTACTATTAAAGAAAACAATACGGGGAAAGAGGGCATGGTCGAGCTTATTTTAATCTGAAATTGAGCCTATGTATAGCTACTGTCGCTCTTCACTGCATAAAAGATTGCGTAGATGGTCATTGTTAAGGCCGGTTCTCACATGCAGCGATGCGCTGATGTAACGCTGCTCACGTGCCGTCAGGTACTTATTGTATGCCATGAGCAACGGATTTGACGGTGCGATACAAAGCTGGTGAACGCTCCCGTCAGCACGAGCTTAGCACGAAGTCAGCGCTATGCTTGTTGCACTCCGCTGCATGTGTGAACAGGCCTTTAGAAACTCGTTGTTAGGAGGCACTACACGTCACATGCTCGGTGGCTCGAAAGTTCAAAGCTATGTCTTTTCAGCCTAAATAACTGTGCCATTGGTAAAAAAAATAATCAATAAATAAACATAACAATAAATGCAAGAATAAAAAGCTGGAGAGAAAAAAAAAAAAAAACTATCAAGAACCCGTCAGAAGTGTTGTATTCTTGCATATTCAGAGGCCCAGAACTAGGAATCAAGTTTCTCCTACCAAAATGTGTACAGGCCAAAAGAAACAGGTCCCAAGAGGGTAAAATGAGAAAAAAAATATATTTTTTTATGATGTGCTGAATTTGAACAATTTTAGAAATCTTACCCCATGAGATAATTTATTCCTCAATGTGAAAAAAACAATAAATACATTATTTTGTATTCTGCAGATGGTAATGATATGTACTGTCTCTGGTGTCAATTTAAATGCGATACCCAAACAATGTAGGCGAAAAAAATTACCAAGTTTAGGGCATAATTGTCCGTAGGTACATGTTTGGATATTTATTCGAAACTCGTCTTGAACAACAATAATCATACCTCAAGACGACACTCACCTAGGCTATATATAGATCATTGTTAAAAAGTTTAACATCTCTACCATAAAAAGCTTTGGCTATAGCGCGCTTCAAATATGGCACAAACGACAATTGTCAAAAACCCGTCGTCCTTTCTTGCTCCTTCGGGAATCTATTTTTCTAAAACCAAGCATGCCAGATGATTGAAATAAATGGCATTGTCTTTCGTAAAGAATGCGTCCCCCTATGTAAAATTGCGAAAAAAAAAAAAAAAAAATCATGAATGTACCTCATTGCTTGAATCCAAATGAAACTGCCCGCCGGTCTTCCGAAATTCGGCGAGCTTCAAATTTTTACCTTAAAAGTTCGAAGTTCGTCGAACTTTTGACTTTTCAGGAATCGAGAGTTCGACAATTTTCGAATTCTTTAGATTAATAAGTTCGAAAGTTCGAAAATTATCGAATTTCTTAGCGTAGAAAGTTCAAAAGTTCGAAAAGCTTCAAACTTTTTAGAGCACAAAGTTCGAAAGTTCGAAAATCATCGAATTTTTTAGTCTATCAAGTTCGAAAGTTCGACAAGGATTGAATTTTGCAGTGTAATAAGTTCGAAAATTCGAAAAGCGTCAAACTTCCTAGTTTAATAAGTTCAAAAATTCTACTTCCGTCGAATTTCTCGATATGGAAAGTTCGAAAATTCTAAATCTTTCAAAATTTCCGAACCACTTGATTCGATCATCAAAACTTCGATTCGAAAAAAGTTTGCGGCATCCCTAGTTACAACAGAAAGCATGAATTGCACGAAAATGCCATTTGAATAAAGCAGCTTATAAATACATTAAAAATATAGCGGGACAACAACGATTTTCAAGTAGTTCGATCTGAGTTTGAATTATCGCGAGCCTACTGTAGTGCTAGAAGCAGTAGAAGGCAGGGAAGCTTGCGCTGGAGGCAGGACAACTAAGGTATGTACCCCCGGAGCCCCTGTGTTCCGAACCCAGTTTGAGAAGCCCTGCACTAGATGAATCCTGAGGTTGGTTGGCCCCATAAAGCTACCACTTTAAAAGGCCTGTATTCACACAGTCCTTCCCTGAAAACTCCGTCTACATAACAAGGTATCAAGATTACAGGAGTCTGTACTGATGTGATAGGATTGTAGTGCTGCCCTACAAAAGGTTGGAACGGGTAAATATGTGACTAGGATGACTGGGTTTCTGCCCGGATGCAATGGGGACTGACCTTGTCGGATGAGGTAGCGTGGCATCTGGGGCTGCCCAGGGAACCTCGGGTGGAGCAGGATGTGCTGCTGCTGCTCGTGTTGCTGGAAGGGCCTCGGGGCCATGTGCGGGGACATGCGCAGGCCATGGGGGACCCCCAGACTCCCATCCTCCCTCTTGATCAGCATCTGCTGCATTTGATGCTGCTGTTGCAACTGGAGTTGCTGCTGCTGCTGGTGCTGCTGTTGATGCTGCTGGAGCTGCTGCTGTTGCTGCTGCTGCTGCTGCTGCTGTTGCTGCTGCTGCTGTTGTTGTTGGAGCTGTTGCTGTTGTTGCTGCTGCTGGAGCTGCTGTTGTTGCTGCTGGTGCTGATGCTGCTGTGGCTGATGTTGGTGTGGCTGGAACTCTTCCTGATCTCCTGCATGACAAAAAAAGTACTAAGCATTACAGTTGAACCTGGAAGGGGATCGTAAAATACTTCGATATATCAATAATTTGACACAAAAATATGTTAAATAAAGCTCGAGCTGAAATTTCCTGGCATCTCTGCTAATACCGAACGTTGCGACAAACGGGAGCTTACCAAATAGAGCATCCAAGACCAAGAGCGACTAAATACAGTAGAGCAGGCACAGTTGGCAAAGACGACAAGCACCGCTCTGCTTGCACGCCCACTTGGCCTGGAGCTCCACACAGCATCAAGCACAGTTGGCAAAGACGACAAGCACTGCTCCGCTTACACGCACACCTGGCCTGGACCTCCACACCAGCATAAGCAACAAAACACAAAAAAATGAAAGAAAAATGGAAAAGCGAGTTGCACAAAAAGTGCCTCTTGATCCATAGAAAAAAGTTAAGCAAGCAACAAAAAAGAAAGCTCATTCAATTCAAACAGCAAGAAAAAAAAAAAAAAAGGAGACTGGGCAAAGCATAAGGGGCAAACGAAAGATAAAGGTAAACAAAAATAAAGTGGTCAAAGTGTGATTGTACAATTGTTGCTGTCGACTGTTTTTTTTGCTCATTTTATTTTGGGGTTACAAGTCATGCAGCATTAGCAGTGTTCGGGAAAAGGGCACAGGCCTACTGTTCCAACAGCGGGCACTCCCTGCTCTCCCAAAACGCGTGCACTTGTGCACTTTTGCCATCCTCCACATTTTTTTTTTTACAGTTTATTGTTTTTTTGTTGTTTTTTACAACTGCTCTTTCCCTGGGTACCTCTTCGCATGTATGCTATGCTGGCCTTGCAGACTGCCAGCCCCGCAAGGCAAGCGATGTGCAATGGGCTATTGTGCTATCGCGGGAAAAGCAAAGGGCAGCAAGGCTTTGTTCGCTATTTCGCTATACCCAGTGTCCCCACCATTGGAGTTGGATACAAAAACACAACGATCCTATACTGTATTACATACGATTTTGAAGGGGATGTTTGAACTGTTCGATATAAACAATAATTCGAAATACCCGAGGGTGATATAACCGGGCTTGACTGTAAAGTCTTCCATGTAAATATGTCGTAAAAAGCGGCAGACCACTCAAAGTTTTCCGGAAAGAATCCAGAGCTCCCATGCAGTAGGGCATGCATTTTCAAACTGGGGTCTAAGGAACTCCGGGGTTCCCCAGAATGCCCTGATGACCTCAACGAGCCACCAAATTTCCTTGACCATCCTTGCACCAGAGTAAGGTTCCAATTTAATCAGTCATTTAGCAGACCCAAAAAATTTGTTGATGCATAGCTATGGCCATGCCAAGCATCCTCTAGTATATTCACTATTGTTGTTTACAAGGTCTGTAGGCTTCTGCAGTGCTTTAAAGCATCAATACCGAGACCGGGAAAAGATTATTGGTTATCAATTAAAAGAAAAAAAAAGAAAGGCTTTCCTCACGGTTCAAAAGTTTGAGAATCCCTGCAGTAGAGGTACGGCTTAAAAACTCATTTCCAGAAAATGTGTAAAAAAAAAGTGTGAATTTGAAATTTACATTTACCGTATTTACTGGCGTAATGAACACACTTTTTTTCCCAAAAATTGACACATAATTGGGGGGCGTTCATTACACGGGGTAAAATTTTTGCGTTTACACACTCTGTGCAAATGTCATATTAGGTGCCAATGTGGCACGGCAAGGTACTGTGGCACGTCTCCAGTGATGGAGGCGCACCCACGGCTGGTCGGGGGCACGCCACAATAACCTAACTTTATAAATTGAAAACCTTTTTAGGGCGCTTTAGGGGTGCCTTTTGCCGAAGGAAAAGCAAAGCGCCCTACGAAGCTCACTCAGCAAAAAAAGCAACACCACCGTTCTTCGGCGATATATATTGCTAGTATCCCGTGGGCACGCTCAGGTATAATCTGCGACTATGCGTATAAGTACTCGTACAAAGTCCAACAATGCTAGTATCCAGCGGGCACGCTCAGGTATAATCTGCGACTACGCATATAAGAACTCGTACGAAGTTCAACCTCCGACCGTCAAAGCCTGCTCCAAGGATCAAGTTTCGTTCAGGAGACAAGAACTCGTAGGAAGTCCAACCGTCCAACCGCCGACCCCCCCAAGCCCGCTCGCACGGATCAAGTTTTGTTCACGAAGAGGCTACCAGACACTCTCACTAGCGTTGCGGATTAAACAAACGCATTTACCTGGAGTATGTGAAATTAGGCCTAACCACTTTCACGATTCAATGTCCAAAAGCGGACCACAGACAAGGGCTTGCTTGTTGACATTAATGCATCCCGTAGGCGAAGAATGTGCGGGGCTTGGCAATTCCTCGACCCAAGCTTTGTCAAGTGTGCGCTACACTCGGCTTCACAGTTGATCACTTCCGTAACTACCGCAACTACGCACTTGCGGCCATTACGTGACCGCTTGGCTTGGCTTGACTTGGCCTGACCACTTGGCAGCGAAAGAAAACTGGCTTGGTGGCTTGCTAAATTGGACGCAATTCGAGACTTGCGGATACGAAAATTGGAGCTGCGTTGATTACGTCAGGGGAAAAAAAAAAAGTCAAAATATTGATGCCCGTTGTGGGGGGTGCATTTATTATACGAGTGCATTTATTATGCGAGTAAATACGGTATAACCAACTAACTTCGCATCACCAAATGATTCTACGAACAAAAAACAAACTGCGCTAAAGAGAATTTTTCACTTGTACAAGTAACAGTACAAGTAAACTTATATATCCCTTTTGAACATATTTCCCTATTTGCTACAGACCAGCACCTTTATAACTAAGGCTTCTACTAGAAAAATTGTTATTTAATGAAGTACAGTGAAATACCACTTGAATAAGCTTCAAGGAACCTGAACACTAAGTTTGTTTAAGTAGAAGTTCACTCAACTGAAGGCATTATACACAATAAGGTTTGCTGGAGAATTTTACAAAAAGTTTGTCCATCTGAACGGTTCATTCAACTGGAGTTGGTTTGAGTGGTATTTCACTGCAGAGAAGAGTCCTAATTTGCTGCCCCAGAAGTGTACAGAAAAAAACCAACCTTCGTGGTGAGGCGAATGCTGGTTCAGGAGCCCCTGGACAATGCTGGGCATCATCTGCTGCTGCTGAGGCCCCTTGTCCATCCCGTCCCGATGTTGGAACCCGTCTCCCATGAGGCTGGAGTCATCCTTGGGGGGAAGAAAAGAAAAGGGACAGGTCTACAAGGTCAGGGGGCAACAGTGGAGCAAAAGGTTGTGCATCTGGCAGGTACTGGCAAGTCAGCAAGATGTGCTAAAAGTTACAACAAGCAAACACAAGAAAACAGAGCAACCTTGATGGTTTAGGCAGGAGTGCTACTTGCACGTTCATTTATTAAGAACAGGGGATTTCCAAGCCAACATGAACTCGCAGCCGTCCCTTCTATCGCTCAAACACGTAACTGCGTTTGGCGTCCTTCAACTTCATTACTATACCATCACAGCTCTCAATACAAGTGGCTTCTTTCACCACAATGCAGCAGTGTGAGCGTCAGTTCACAGGGTGCTTCTAGCAAAGTGTTCAAGTGTAAGGTGGCTATTTTACTGCATAATACCGTATTTGCACGAATATGACGCGACCACGAATATAACGCGAGGGCAGGTTTTGATGCCCTCAAAAAGAAAAAAAAAAAATTATTACTATTATAACGCAAACCGAGGCCGCATCAATTTCTCGCACTTGGAGGCATAGCAGATGTGAAAAGTCAATGGAAATAGAAGAAATATCAGTTTATGTTTTGACTGCACTCATCCTCACAGCTCAGGTCCTTCCGTTTACAATCCACTTGGCGACTACGCAGATAAGCAGCAGCACGGCACCTGCTTGTCTGGTAGTTCCTTTTTTCTTATGTGAGAGCTCCTTGGCAGCCCACAATCCAAACAAGGCAGGAAGCAGAAGCACCAACACACAAACACCGGATCACTCTGGAGCAGAAACTAAACAATGCGCAGCAGAAAAAAGGACTGCTGAATCCGATACATGATCATACTTCTTGTTCTGGTCCCTCTGCATAAACAAATGCCTCGTGTTGCACGATTGCGTAAACCTTGGCGTAAACGCGGTTAGTGGTCCTGGCTTGGCTTGTGTTGACTTGACTTGGCCCGGCTGGGCTTGGCTCGAATTGGCCGGTGCCCGCATTCCCGCATGGTGTGTGCGCGCGCGCGCGCTAAGTTTCTGCCGCGTGCGCGCGTTGTACAAACACAAAAATGATAAAAATGCTTTTTTATGTTTTCTATTCGTCCCTTCATGTGGCCCAGTAGCTAATAAATTCCCTTCCACACTCCCACTTCTTTTCCCACCGGATATTTTGCATTGAGCTGAAGGGATGGCTTTCTCCTCTGACTTTCTCCAGACTCGCGCGCCTCGTGGCTGAACTCGATTCCGAATATAACGCGAGGTGCGTTTTGGAGCACGTAATTTCGGAAAAAAACTCGCGTTATATTCGTGCAAATACGGTACATTACCAATATTCTCGCTTACTACAAGAGAAATGCAAATATTCGAGACCTATATTGAAACTGAATTCTTCTTACGCCAACATCCGTTATTGGCGAGGTTTTGCAGCAAATCCTCGGGCGTCTCCTGTACAGTCGACGTGACCGTCGCCACAAATGTCACATGACATAGTGGTTTTGCCCGACGTAAGTGACGCTGCGAAGTCACACGATATTGCGACGCCGCATTACCATTTCATGTGACAGTGTGCTGCCACATGACGTCACAAGCTGTGTGCAACGCGATTGTGTGGGATCTGTGGGCGGCAAATTTGACGCCGCCTCTGCCATTGCCGAGCCCCGAGAGGTCCCCAGAAAGGGCGGAGAAGGAGCCAACCCACCTGGGACAAGGCGTGTGTGTTGGGGGGCCTCGGGGTGCGTGGCGAGGGCAGCTGCGGGGACATCTGCGACAGCAGGGGCGAGGGCACCGGCAGGGGAGACGTCGGTGGCTGCTGCATGCGTGGCGAGGGGGAGGGGCCCCCCATTGGGGACGAGGGGGGAGGCATCGGGGACTGTGGCGGTCCCCCCAGGGGGGCCATGCCGCCCCCGCTCGTCGACACCTGCAACGTCCAGTTCAAGGTTATGTAGGGACCGGGCAAGCACGCTCGAACGAGAGAAGGCTCAGCCAACGGCAGCGAACTTCCTCACGTCGTCCAACAAAACAAGCATGTGCAAGTCGGATAAGTGGCCAGGAGCCAAAAAAGATTTACAGCTCGTTCTACGTAAATTACTTACAATTAGATATTTTTGCGAGACAAAGGAAACAGCCAGATATTTCATACGAGCAGCTATAAAATTTCAGCCAAAAATTTGTGCCACTGCTTATAAAAGTGGCATTGCTTCTGAAAGTGGCCATTGCCTCTGGAAGTGGTACCATCATCATTGCGGAGGTCATTAGACTTCCACAACGATGGATGATCGCTAGCGTAACAAAATGCTGAAGTACCATTTCTACATCCCTGCTGCAAGCAGCCTCATAATTGTTGTAGATACCTACCTGCTGCAAGCAGCCTCAAAATTGTTGTAGATACCTAATAGAACCACTATCAAAGGGTTGGTACCGTGCTTTTAACACTGATCGGAACCCAAGAAATTCTCCACTCACCGAGATAATGTGCTGTTGGGGTGCGGCGGAACCCATAGCCCCCATGTTAGGAGCCATGCCGGGTCCCATGTTGGGCCCCATGTTCTGTCCCATGCCGGACCCCGCATTGGACACCGTGTTGGGTCCCATGCCAGAGGGCATGCTGGTCGTCATGCCGGGTCCCATGTGGTGCACCGAAGCGCCCTGCTGCAAGGGACCCCCCTGTTGCACGAGCCCTCCCTGGTGCAGTGGGCTGCCCTGTTGCTGCTGCAGTTGCTGCTGTCGCTTCTGCTGCTTGGCACGATACTCCTGAAGCACCAACGTGTGCTGCCTGCCCAGCTTGCGCACCTGGGGACATCAGGCACTAACATCATCGACTGCCTACTCTTCTCGTGGTGCAAAGCATGACGGGATTTTTCTACCACACCACCCAATTTTCAAATCTCCCTTTTCCCCTCAAGAAGGCACTGTTGCACTTGGTGTCCCCGCAAACTTCCGGTTGAACTGATAAGCAACAAACCCCCCCCACACACAACTGCTTCCTGCAAAATTCATAAAATATTTCACCACTGGTTCTCCTAGTAATTACCTAGAGGACCAGTTGGTGAGAGATTTCTTAATACTTCCCTAAGAAGACTTTGTATACTTTGTATACAAATGTACACTTTGTATACACTTTGTATACATTGATGTACACTTTGTATACATTGAATAGCTCACCAGAAAGACCTTGCCAAACCTGGGGGTTAAGCTGGGGCTTATTAAGTAAACTGCCCATAATGGTTATGTACCCATTTTCGGCACATGCATTTAAAAGCTGTAAACTAAAACAAGACTAGTGCTGTAAAGAATTTTACAAAAAAAATCTTTTTTTGGTGGAAATATTTGACAGCAAAGTTGGCAAGGGCTGGTTTCCCCAGGATTGTGTCTGCCAGCAAACAAATATCAACACAACACCCCGGACAGCTTCCGCCATCTATGAGCGACGGTGGCAACCAGACAACCGGCTTGGCGGTTGTCTGGTTGCCACCGTCGCTCATAGATGGCAACAACCTTTCTAGAGTTTCCACTCTGGCCTGCCGACTTGCGGCCAGCCATTTCTTTCTTCCCACCACGATACAGCTTCGCTGGTCTTCCTTCTTCACCAAAGCCGAAAGGCTAAAAGATAGGCATGGGCGAACACTTGGGTCCGAATCGAATTCAAAGCGAATAGTGATTTTGGTCAAATAATTTTGAATTGAATAGTTCGAATAGTACAAGCAAAAAATACCCCAAGATATGTTTAAACTATAGTTTTATATTTGCCCTTATTTGGTATTAGAAGTACTGCAGTTGCTAATTTCAAGTGTATTGAGTTCGGGAGCACGAAATGGTCGGAAGCTGGCGCAACCTGGCCCTAAATCCAAGCCAGAGTAAGTGAAACCAGTTTATATCGAACTTGCAAAAAAATGTCTACCAGTTCGATATAGCAGGTAATTCAATATAAAAATTATAATGAATTTGACTCAAAGATCCACTTTCTGCTGAAATATTACACAATGTAGTAGTCTTGCATCTTCTGCTGCTTTTCCTTCATTGCATCTGCGATAACAATATTTTTCTACGCTATCGACGGACTCCAAAATGCTGAGGCCGCTGCCTTCTATATAATCGCGCATTAGTGCCAAACTATGCCGAGAGCACGGACCACTTCCGAGCAGGAGCACCTTCTCCTGCAGAGCGCCGTTGTGCTCTGCAAGTTGGCTTTCCCCTAAGACAGGTGGCTGCGTTGGGGGAAGCCAACTAGCAAAACAAACTGGCGTTTTTTTTGTTTTTTTTTGTTTTTTTGGGGGGGGGCGGTGGCGTTAGTTTGGAAGAAAAAATAATATTCTTTTTTGCGGAGGAAGCGGGAAGAGGGAACATGGAGCAGCCTCTCTCCACTCGCTCCGCAAAAGATATATTTTCTTTTCTTCCAAACAACCAATGCGGCCGCCCGAAAAAAAAAAAAAGGCCAGCGTGCTCTGCAAGCTGGCTTTCCCCCAATGCGGCTGCTCGCGTTGGGGAAAAGCCAGCTTGCCGAGCAAAACGGTGCTCCAGGCAGTTCAATATATTGGTAGCGGCTGCTATTTTTGTTGGATGCAACCATAGTTTTTGCTATATATTATCACTGTAACATTACTGTGCACAAAAATTGTTCGATATAAGAAATAATTTGATGTAAACGGGTTCGATATAGTCGAGTTTGACTGTATTTAGAAAGGTTGAATAATTCTATATTGTCGAATACATAAATTCGCTTCGAAGCGAATGCCGAATAGAACAGAATTTAATTGGCTATTCGTAATGACCAAATATTCGCCCATCCCTACAGTAAAAGATTTTATGTAAAAATCATAATTTTTCCAAGTTGCTTAAAAACAATCTTTTTTTTCCTTTTTGTGTTTTTAAGCACAGGGATAATCGACAGATGGCATAAGTGCTCCATCTCGTACTAAGCAGTCAAAAGTGACCGTAACGCAAAAGGCCACGGTCAAACGCAAATGTGTAAACCAGCCTTCAAGCAACTCCCTAGTCCGTTCACCCCGAAGCCGACAGTGCGACGGAAGCTACCTACATGCCCGTTCAAAGAGCCGTACGTCCATCTCTTGCGATCCAACTTAGATCCCGCCCACATCTACGCGCCATGAACGGGGTCGTGCGATGAGAGGAAGGCGGTCGATCAGTCCAGCAAACGCGTGGCTCCCGCTGCTTTGCCGGCTTAGGGCCGAACCAAGCGCGGCCCTGGCAGCCTACTTCCGCCCACCGACCTGTTCGAGCTGCTTCTGCAGGCCTGGCTGCTCCTGGCCGATGCGCAGCAGCTCCAGGGCGTTGTGCTGGGGCAGCTCCTGGCCGGACTTGGCCAGCTGGCGCTGCTTGGTGGTCAGGGCCTTCTTGGCCTTGCGCAGCTTGCCCACCTCCGTCTCGAGGAACTTGCGCTGGGAGGCCAGCAGGGCGTCCTGCTGGGCCAGCCACTGCTCGTAGGCCGCCACCGCCTGCTGCTGCTGCCGCTGCTGCTCGGGGTCCCCCCCGACGGGCAGGGCCGCCAGCGGGGGCACCGGCGGGGAGGGCAGCGTCTGGATCTGAAAGGACTGCGCCGAGGGGGACACCACGCTGCCCACACCCTGCCCGCTCCCGGACGGGGCACCACTCCCTGCGGGGAGAGAGGGAACGAGTTATTGGGAGGCAAAGTGGTCGTGGCACGAATGTTGCGATAGTTTTGATGAAGGACTACGATTTGCAACGGCACGCGCATCGTCGTGAGCACAAACACCATGGACCACACTCACTACAGTCCTTCCTACAGTCACTACGGTAGCCAAGCTGCTATGGATTCGGATACGGATTTGCGGCTGACCTCGTCTATTGGCGATATCCCGCTCGTTTTATTTTCCGCTTGATTTTCCGGTTCATCAGTTTTCCAGTATTCCTTTTGTTATTTATACTCATTTTCACTGACAAAAGTGACAAGACTTGCTCCCTCTGCCAAGAAATAGCTATATTATTAATTTATTGCTTCTTTGAGGTACCCTCTCTAGGCAAATCTACTGCACACGGAAAGAGATTGCGCAAAGTCAGTGCAGCTGCACGGCGCGATCGCACGGTCTCCGACTCGGTCGTGGCCTGCCGACATGCCTCTGCTTTGTACTTGCATTTACATTCTTTAACTTCCCTCCTTGAATGAAGTTTCACTCACTAATCTTTTCATAAACAATTGTTGAAAAAAAATTCCAGTTGTGTTTTGAGTGAGCATCCTCGTTAAATTCACATCAAATAGAAAATATTTGTTTTTGGAAAAGTTCTCATTCAAAACTATTCGTATTCGAAAATATTCAATTAGATTCATGACCTTTATTATTCGATTTGCTTCGAAATATTTTAATATCCACACACCTCGAGTAAAAACAAACAAAAATGGGCAATGGTGATTACGTTTAGCTCAATGTTGGATACACCAACGACGTAGCCTTGACTGCGCTGTTGGTTGCACCTCAATCCACCTGCTAGAGTGAGCCGATTTCGGCAACTTGGCGCTCTGCAAAGTTTGCTGTACCGTTTAAGAAACATTTAGACAGAACTAGGTCGTAATATTTGACATGTGGTCTTCCTAGGTGATACTGAAGAGAGAGGATCGGTGGCCAAGTGGGCCTCCGCACAGCAGCCCGAAGCACGTGGAGCGAAAGCTCTCGCTGCAGAACCCAATCACGACCCCTGCCCGTTTCGATCTAAATGAGCATCGTACCAGCGTGCAGTAGTGCATCACTACTGCGCGGTGTATGTTAAAGGCCCCAGGCTAGCAGTTGTACAGCACTGGCTAAATTTCTCATCCACATGGATGGACGGATGGTAATGGCTATACCCTTTGTAACGGGCGGCAGCCTGCGCCACCTAGCCTAACAATTCGTCATCCCTTCTTCTTTTTTTTAATATGTATAAATTTTGTTATAACACTACCCCCCCCCCCCCCTCCTTTTTGAAGTGATTCCATTGCTTATTTCTTTGTTGTTGTTTTTTTGTTTTGTTTTTCTTTTTACCCATTCTTAGATGTTTTCCACCAATCTTCCAATCTCCTCTTAGCGGATTCCTTTCCCTATCCATTCGTCCATCCATGTCTGTAAATTCCCAGTGCCCCCTCCAAGTCCATAGTCATCCCCCACAAGGGATTAGGACGAAGCCCTGTGCACCTTAAAAATTATGTGTTCTATAGTTTCCCTTTCGTGGTTGCATATGTCGCATAGAGTGTCAATTTCCTGGAATTCAGCCCTATATGTTTTCGTTCTTAGCACTCTCGTTCTAGCTTCAAACAGTAATGAGCTCCCCAATGAATTATCGTACAACTGTTCCTCCGTCTTTTTTTTTTTGTTTTTGTGCCCTGTATATTGTTAAAGCTGATTTCCCCTGCATTCTCTCTTCCCACAATTTCCTCCCCGTTTCCTTTACTCCCTTTTCTACTGATATACTTTGAAAGGCCCCATCTCGTTGAATGTATTTTAGGGTTGTGCAAATATTCGAAATTTAGATTAGTAATTACAGTATTCAATATTCACTTCAAGAAGAACTGCACTATTCACATTTTTTGAAGTGTTGACTGCGGCGGTTCAGCCCCGTGGAGCGCGCTTCCTACCGAGCACCGGTGCACTGCGGAAAAGCAATACCCACGGAAGCGAGATTCGCTGGTGTTGCTTCTCTGCGTAACATTGGTACTTAGCAAGAAGCGCACTCATGGGGGTAACTCTCTACGATCAACACTTGGAAAAGTATAAATATTGCAATTGCGTGCTTGGAAGAAAGGCATACATCCAAAGCAGGATGGTGCACGCGTGTCGGTCGTATTTGAAAATAAATGGAAGTTTTGTGAACGTGTATATCTAGATTGTAGTAAAAGTTTCAAGATTAAATTGACTGTTATGCAACAGCATATGTTAGGCAGAGATGCCCTTACAACCTGCGTTCATCATGCACGATTCTTTCTTTTTTAACTCGAGATAAAAAAATATTTTATATAGCAGGATTCGTAAATTGGACATCTCTGTAGGATTCATTTTATGTCAAATCCTTCGTTTACTTACCATCCCAAGACATTAGACCTTCTGAGGTCAAAGTTCATAAATATATATAGATTAAACTTACCGTATTTACCCGAAAATAGGTTGATTACGAAAATAGGTCGACCCCTATTTATTGAACCCACCGAGAATAAAAAAATAAAATTCAAACATAGGTCAACCCTTTTTTTTTTAGGAACAGGGAAAAGTTACGGCAAAAGAAAGAAACAAATTTTTATTTACAGCACTCTCGGCTAAATCGCAGGGCGATGCCAAAAACTCAGTCATCGTCAGAACTTCCGGACATGTCATCGTCGTCCGAAGCCTCATCAGCTTGGTAGACATGCTCGCAAAATCGCAACAATGCCTCACGGACACCGCTGTAAAATGACGACAAGAAGAGAGAAGGTGGAGATGGGCGAAGCTGCAAGTCGGGGTGAGCAATGTGGAAGCCGTTGCAAGCAGCAAGCTAAAGTAACCTCCGTTGTTTTTTTTTTTGTTTGTTTTTTTGTGCACGTTTGCGAGGAAGAGGAATAAAGGGCTGGGTGCATCGCGTTCCTCTTCCTCCCCTTCCCCCTTGCCCAGCTAAGGGAACGCTACAAGCGCTATGGCAAAACCCAACAGCGGGAGGTGGGGGCTGTCGGTTGCTGCTGTTTCGGTTGTTTTCGTGCACCAAAAGCTTTTTGAAACAAGAAGCGGCGCGGCTCTACGGCAACGCATGCTTGGTGATTAGATAGCTCCATACCCTCGGTAGGGTCGCAAAATTTGGTCGTGAATGTTGGTTGGAATTCTTTAATCATGATTAGAGGTCGACCCTTAATTTTTCACAACATTTCCGAAAAAAAAAAAAGGTTGACTTATATTCAAATAAATACGGTAGCTTATAAATTAAAAAGTGGAACAATCTTCACGAGTTTAGCTGGGTTTTCGTCTAAGCATGATGCAAAGGTAGTGAAAGGCGTGAAGAAACTATTCGATGATCAAATCGAAAATATTCAGCCGCAACCACTATTCATTTTGAATTCGCTTCGAACTCAAAATCCGCTATTCGCACAGAACTAATGTATTTAGATCTCAGCTTGCAGGTTCGGTTTGTCCACTTAGTGTTTAGACTCTTCATATATAGATACTTGTACACCTTTCTCTGCCCACTGTGTATCCTCAATTTCAGCTAGTCTTTGTTCAAATTTTACTTTACTGATCGCTTGTCTACTCTCAAAAGATGCCCAACCCATATCCCCTGTACTCCCTCATTGGGTGTATTTACCCCAATGCCAACCTACCCACACTCCTTTGCTATATCTCTAAACCTGCCTAGATTTCTGACCTCATACACAATACCGCATTCCCAAATGACAGTCCTAGCACCATGACTCCCTTCCATACACCCCTAACGACTTCATATCTATTATAGTTCCATAGTGCCCTGTGTTTCATGATAGCTGAATCTCGTTTCCCCTTCTTTATTACAATATCTTCATGGTCTTTTAGATACCGTCTTCCTTCACTTAGCCATACTCCCAGATATTTGTACTTTTCTATGTGTTCTATCAATGTGCCCTGTATCTGCAGAGGTTCCCCTTTCTTGTTGTTGAAACCTGTTATACCCAACTCGTCTCCCACACCTGGGAGACAAGTCCAGGGCTGCCAGCCCGAGGGAAATTTCCCAGAATAAGGTAATATTCAGGTCTATGTGGTAATAAGGGGAAACTTGCTAATTTGAGGAAAATTTTGGGCACTGTATATATCTGGAATTTTATAGGTCACTTATGATTTTATTTCGAGATAACATCGAAGTTTAGCGGCTTTCGCTACATTTAGGCTCTTCCTTCCAGCTGTTTGGCAGTTTGTTGTGCGACCATCTGGAAACACTGAGGAGCACTCGAACAGCTCTTTTAGGCAAAATCCATCTTCATCAGTTTTCATCTCTTTTATGAAAGCTATGGAGGAAGGGATCAGCCAAGTGGAAGCTTCTGAAAGCGCCGTTGTGCCTTCTCGAAAAAGAAAGCCAGAGTACATGAAGAAATGCTGCGATGTCTGGAGATACAGACTTACCAAGACTAATAATATTTCGTGAAGTGCTTGCACGAAATGGTAGTCACTATGTCATGTTCCCTGTGTTCGAGTTCGAGAACTCTCGCAACACCTTGTGTTTTGGATTGACTATTATAAAAAGCGCTATTGAAGTTATTACGCAGTACTAGCATGTTCTGATGGCGTGCATAACATCTAAGGAGAAGATAGGATTTCATTCATCAGTTTGAATCTCCCAGGGACACTTCCCGTCGCCAGATTTGCTTTGGCCGCGGTTTTGGCCCGATGAACTAATTTTTGCGAAACGTACGCGAGCTGTAAAGGCCACATATATATCTCTCATTGTAAAAATGGAAGAGATAAAAAAAAACAATGAATATTTAGTATTAAGTAATTATTTGAGCAAGCGAGGGAAATTTTGGCAGAAATAGGGAAATTTTAGGCGTTCACTAAGGAAATTCGTACTTTCCGTGTTGGCAGCCCTGGACAAGTCGCCCTTTGAGGCAGACTAAGTTCTAGGCTGTACAAACATACACACCTTCCAATTTACTGAAGAGATAAGCATTGCTCTTTCAAAAACATAAATGAAGCGGAGTTGTTCTTTAAGTATCCATGCTTAATACACATTAAGTATAAAATGTTTCCATTCAGAAATATTCAAATTCGACTTGCAGTTAAGTTTTAACATTCATATTTGATTCGCAATCAAGAATTTGATATTCGTACACCTCTTCCAATGTTGTTTTATTTCGTTGTTATTTCTTTAGCAATAACCACAGCTATATGTACGCCAACGAGGTCCAGACACCATGGCCATGCCGACCCGCTCATGGACAAATGTGCACAATCTCACCGTTCCCTGGTCCTATAAATGCGATAACATTTAAAAGAAAACGCTCCGTGGATTCGCAGAAAATGCAGCGAGCTTGCCGCAAGTGTGCGGCCGATAGAGTGAGGCTCACCAGGCACCAAGTGTTCCTGGCGGTGCGGGGGCACCCCCATCATGCGGATGGCACCCTGGTCGGGCCGCACAAGGTGCATGGCCCCCCCGGGCGGCACCAGGGCCCCCAAGGCGGCGGGCGGCTGGCGCAGCATGTGCGTCCCCTGGGGACCCCCCTGGAGCATGGCAGGGGGCGGCCACGCGCCGGGGCCCCCCTGGTGCATGTGGTGGTAGCGGAGGGGAGAGGCCACCAGGTGTGCTGGGTTCACCTGCGGTAGCCGAGTTCACGGCACAAAAGGAAGCGAGGGTGAGAATTCCGGGAACCAATAGAAACGGTCGAAGGTGCACTGCTAGCCCAAAAAAAGTTATCCGTGCGAATTAAATTTTTTCGAGGCGAGCTCGCACCTCGCAACGGCTAGAAAACATACTTTTGGCCGCTGCGCGAATTGCGCGCTTCCGGGCTTGTCGTTTTCTTTGAACCTAAAAGATCCGAGAAATTTGCCCGTATTCAATCTGTTGTATCCTGCCATGAAGCAAATCTTGATTTCTCCTATGTTCTTGCATCCATCAAATATAATGGAAAGCGGATGAGGGAAATCAGGATTCGAAGGAGAAGGAGGAGTCACAAATAAAAAAGAGAAGCCCGGGCAGTCTGTGATTCATGTACAGCCACCGAGGGGATGAGGACTACAGCGTGTCTCTTTCCAACGCCAAGTCTCCAGCACAAGCTTGTAGCGTACCCTCATACTTTGGCTCTGCAAGCACAGTGGAGGTGCACGAGACGTCTGAGCATTATCGAAGCTGGGAAGCTTGCGCTGGAAGCAAGACAACTGTAACTCCTCCCTGTCGTTTCGTCCTCAGTGATGGAAGCGGCATGTGACCTCTTGTAGCAGGTTCTGTTGCATCTGTTAGCGCTGCACTAGGATGTGAAAAAAAGTTTAAAAGCACCTAAGCACTTCTTATGAGTTGTGAATGGGAAAGCATGAATGTCGTTCTTCCGCTCCCTTAGTTCGCCTGCAGCGTAGTGGCATTAACGGCCATGTTTCACCAACCGAAGGCCCAGCGCGTGCTCTCGTGAAACGACTGCGCCGCACTCAGCCGTACACCCGCTCCGGAGCTTGCCCGAACGGGTTCTGCCACCACCGCCAGACACTGCTCCCTCTTACCGGCAGCCGGGTCACTGCATGCGCTGCACCGCCATGGAGAGGACTTCTCTCATTATCTTTTTTGAAACTACACCGCACGAGATCCAACGGGAGCCTCGTTCCTTGATGACGCGCGCTAGACAATGGGAATCTATCCATCAGATTTCTGCTACAAACGACATTTTGTTATGCCCGTCGTGATTGCAACCGATTTTGTTATGCCCGTCATTTGCGTCTCTCCAGCAAAACGAATGAGATGATCTACAAAGTCGCAATCATAAACCAAGATTTATGATAACAGTACACATTCAATTCAAACAACTTTACGTAAGATGGCTTGGAAGCCGAGAAAACAAATCTGTCGGCTAACACAGAATTCGGATGTCCAAAGGCTTCTGTAAACAGCTGTCGCGTAATAGCCTGGCTGTACCAGGTTTTTTACGTAACAGCAGTGTCTCAGATACGGACGTTCGGTGCACCCGGTGCAAATCTCGAAGGCCTGCGGAGCGAAATGACGAGAACATAACTGGACACGTTTGTCGCTACGCAAACGCCCGATTGCCTCCAGCTAAATAGCATTCCTTTCGGGGCGACATGGCTGCTGGAAGGCTCACTGTCGTGATCACCATCTGGCAGCACTTTACAGAGCAACGGCGCCGCTTTACAGGAGCTGACATCTCCAAAAAATCAACATTTGCACGCGCAAACACACAAAAAAAAAAAGCATGCTAAGAAAGCAAAGAGGAAAACAAAAGTAACAAACCGCGCTATGAAAGCCAAAACCCCAAGTCGCTTCCTATCACTGACAACTGCGACAGCTGCTAAACATACACTACTTCACTTCAAGAAGTCTCACTCAAGCACCTGGGTAAGCACGAAACACTGATCACTTCGGCAAAACGACCAGTCGAGGTAGGCGAGATTAGGGGGAGCAGAGACTTCGGCGGCCATGAAAGATTGGCGAAAATTGTGTTTGTTATGGTATGAATCCAAACGAAGAGCCCCTCTAGTAAACCTTTTGTAAAAAATAATAACTCTCATCACATGGGTTATTCTTTAAACATAAAAATATGTGGCTCAAAAGGAAATTACAACATATAACAAAGGTTTAACAACTAAGATCTAAGCTGACAATCCAACTCTTAGCCAATGAGTATAGGAGAAAATGGGTGCTAAACGTCATGGAACACCCCCTTTGTGGCGCATGAATTAAAACGGACAAAATAGCCGAAAACTAAAATCAGTCTCACACAATAAATATTGCTGTAAAAATTTTTTCTCGCTGAAAATTAGTTTTCTTACATGCTCGTCCAAATTAGACTGTTTAAAAAAAAAAAATTTTTAAATTTCGGGTATCTTTTTGGCGATTGAACTGGGTTCCAGGCATGTCTCGGGCCACGTTGCCCAAATTTCAGCGGAAACCGGCACTTGTGAGCCGCGCAAATCAATTACACATTAGCGGCAATAATCGTACCGGGATCGACTGGGGTGACGCTCAGAGAGCTGCGGGCGAAGCCAGGAGAAGCGGAGCTCACGTGACCGATGCGGGGCCAAAAAGCGCGATGTCACATGAGACGTGTCAGCGATTGGTCGAAACGAGAGACACGCCCATGGTCGCTTTTGGTTCGCGATTTTTAGGAATACTGCTCCAATTTCCACTTGAATAACCATGAAAAGTATAGATCAGACCGGAAATGATTACTAAACCGTAAATAAAACAGCATAATTGTTTTTCTCTTTGCTACGCTGGACGAGAAACGGGCAGTGAGCAATTATGGACAAACAAAATAAAATTAAAAAAGAACACGCGGGAGACGTTTGGTTTCGGCTTCAGATGTCGGTGTCGTGTTTACCTTGGAAACACGGTACTCGAAGGATTCTGCAAAAGGGTAGTCGTGCCAAATTTCTCAGCTGTAGATGGCTGTTCTAACGGCGACGGTAGTTTTCACGTGTGGGTTGCTGTTTGCATTCTTTGACAACGAAAAGAGGATGTCCGACTTTGGTGAAAACCAAAAATGGTGCTGTTTATTTTCTGCTTCTTGGGGAGCATCCCCCGTGGAGGAACCGGTTCCCGGAACAGCCGGATCGCTGCCGTTTTACCCCTCGGCATCTCCCCCGCGTTCCTGTCCTTCGGCAATGCGTCGCTGTTGTCTCGCTCACATGAATGTTGCTAATGCTTCCCTGTTCGGAGCCTGCGGGCCGCTCGTTGCCGGCTGGGCGGTCTCCGTCGGGTGATGGCGGAGGCCGCCACACACATACTCCCGTTCCGTTGGTGTTAGGTCACTGAACGGAAGCCCGAACTACCCGAACTCGCTCGCGAGAGCGGCATTGTCGTCCATCTTGACAGATTCGACGAAACGACCACACCACCGCGCTGCTATAACTTACCGCGGTACGGTAGCCAGCCGCCAGAGTCTCGATCTCCTAAATACTACCGATACCAACAATTTACGCTTGACGTCACTCCCTATGTCACCTCCGTTTTCGGAGGCCCAAAAATGAGAATGGAGATTGTTCAGTTTCAGTTTCTTTACTTCTTTGATAGGCACAGAAATATGCGTCACAAATGTCTACAAAAAATTGGGCAGCATGCTAGATACTCAAGAAGCCTAAAAACACCATTTAAAACATTATATAAAATCGTCTTCATTGTTCCTTAAAGGACGACTTCTAGGATGAACTCAAGGACTACGTCAAAAACGACCTTAAGGACGACTTCTAGGACGACCTCAAGGACGAAGCCTAGGACGACCTCTCAGACTACTTCTAGGTCGACCTCGAGGATGACGTCAAGGACGACCTGAAGGACAACGCCTAGGACAATCTTGAGGACGATGCCTAGAGGACAACCTCTCGGACGACTTCTAGGACGACCTCTCCGACGACATGTACGACGACCTTAAAGACGACTTCTAGGTCGACCTCAAGGACAATGGCTAGAGATAACAAGGGATCAGGACCTCACTATCTAATAATGCCAAAGAAGGCTGACTCACGCTGGTTGCCCTCTCTTTTTATTTTTATTTATTTATAGTTGTCACGACCAATAGGGAGTTTTCTGTCGACATGCGAGGACAAATTTTTTTCCAGACCCTAGCCTATAACAGCTTAACTGTAAAAAAAAACAGCACACCCTTAAATGTGTCAGTCAATAAAAATGTACTCCGAAGTTTTATAACCTACCAAACTACCCTAATATCATAAACAGCGAAAACAACCACCCAGATATTATGAAAGCCTACGTTTGTGCTTTAAAAGGGACATTGCTCTTCAGTGGCATTTCATTTCTTTATTTCTGTTTTTCTGCGCCCACAAACAACCTCACGGTCTAAAGGGTTGTCTATGAAGCACGAGAGGAATTCATACATACAAGTGTAGAAGTATATCGGTCCTTACTATCTCTAAAACAAGAAACACAGGAAATAGATAACTAAGAATATGTCCAATGGTTAATTTTGACAAGGTCATTAACCGGGGGTGCTCACCGAATGCTGCTGTGGGACGGGGGGCAAGAGGGGCGCCGGGGCCGTGGGGGGTCCCCCGATGGTGTCGTCGGGGGGACCCGAGAGCACGTCCGCCTTGAGCCTCTCGAAGTCCACGTCGCTCAGCAGCGAGGCTGTGCCGGGGGACACGCCGTCCCCACCGCCAGCCACGGCGCCCTGCTTCCGCTGCTCCCGCTTCTCCTGCTCCACCAAGTCCTCCAGAAGCAGCGGCTGCTCCTGCAGCAGCAGGGGACGCTCTGCCCCGGAGCCCAGCGCCCCCCGCAGGCCTGGGGGACCCCGCATCCCCATGGGGCCCAGGGGACCTAGGGCCAGGGGCAGGCGGCCCCCCGCATACGGCGGCGGTGGGCGCATTCCGCGGACCGCCCCAAACGGAGGCTCTATGCGCACTCCCAACGGCTGTCTTGGCCCAAACACCACCGCATCTTGCTGCGGCTGCAGTTGTTGCTGCTGCTGCTGCTGCTGCTGCTGCTGCTGTTGTTGTTGCTGTTGCTGCTGCTGTTCTTGTTGCTGCAACTGTTGTTGTTGCAACTGTTGTTGCTGTAACTGTTGCTGCTGCAACTGTTGTTGCTGCAACTGTTGTTGCTGCAACTGTTGTTGCTGCAACTGTTGTTGCTGCAGCTGTTGTTGCTGCAGCTGTTGTTGCTGCAACTGTTGTTGCTGTAGCTGTTGTTGCTGTAGCTGTTGTTGCTGTAGCTGTTGTTGCTGCAGCTGCTGTTGCTGCAGCTGCTGTTGTTGCATCTGCTGTTGCTGCAACTGTTGCTGTTGTTGATTCTGCGGATGATGCTGTTGCTGATGTTGCTGAAGCTGTTGTTGTTGCTGCTGCACCGTGCCGCTCGTGGAGACTTGGGGGAACTCGGGGAATTCCGTGCCTGGCTTGTGTTCCACGCCACCGCTTTTCTCCTTGATGTCGTCGGGGCCGTGCTTAGCCCCGGCCGCGCCCGAAGTGGCGCGCTCGGAGCAGGCGTCTTCCTCTTTGACCTCGGCGTCGGTGGCCCTCCCGACCTCGTCCAGGTCGTCTTCTTTGTCATCCAGGTCCAGGTGTTCGTCCAGGATGTTGCTCTTCTCCCCTTCCCCGACAAAGGCCCGGTCCAGTTCGGGGTCGGCGTACTCCAGGATGTTAAAGTCGTTCCCCAAGCCTGGTGACAGGAACGAGAACTGTCAAAACTTGTGCCGACGTTTTGGAGCAGAATCTGTGAGCGGGACACCCGAATACCACCAAGAAACGAAAAGAACCATCCCCCCCTTTACGTGAAAACACTCACCCAGAAGCTCGTCATCGTCAAGGTCTTCCTCCATGTCCACTCCAGCCTCCTCCGGATCCTCCGAACCCTGAACCTCCACCTCCTTGACCAAGTCTCCAGCCGTCTTCTTTTTAGCCGGCTGCGAGGCCTCCGGCGCATCCGACTCGCCCTCAGGAGCAGTCACCGCGCCGTTCTCTTCGGCGGCGCCGACCGCCCGCCGCTGGTGCTGCTGCGACTGTTGCTGCTGGGGAGGGTGGCAGGCGTGCTGGGGCCCGACCCCTTCCCCTCCGACGCTGCCGCTGGTCGGGTCGTTGGGTGTCGGCGGGCCCTGAGGCAGGACCTTGGGTACCCGGGTACCTTCGGCTGCCTCAATGTTGGCCTGCAGCTGCACAAACATGGGCCGCAGGCCTGCAAAAAAAATCACCCTGCTTAGACGTTCCATCAAATGCGCCGAAGGTGCATTACCGCTATACTCTTTTCACCCCCAAGCTGGCAATGTGGTTGAAGCAAAGTGCTTGACGGACCAGTTGTACGTCTACCTTTCGCAACGGGACCATGCTCCCGCCCACATCGACAGGCAGAGGGCAGAGTCCGGTGATGTGGTCCGGCAAGCGCACAGCTTCCACTGCACTGTCAGCTTAGGAGTGGACAGAGCATAACAGGCGCAGTGATGTGATTGACCAAAGCCAATTTGGAACACCTTTCGGAGCAGCCAAAACAGCATTTTGGAGCAGTACATCTGGCCTTTGGAGCAGCCGGAACAGTGTTTCGGAGCAGCAAAAATGAATTTTGGAGCAGATATTCTTAGAAAAATAAAAATATTTGTTTTAAGTGCTGTACAAAGAGCACTTTGTGTTGTGTTGTGATATGACACGTTGGGATAAAACTCACTGCTGGTGTTTTTACTGCTGAGACATCCCACAAGTGCACAGTGCTGTAGGCATTGCCGAGCGATTCTGAAAAACCGCTTGCCACCGTTTTACTGGTTCCCGACGTGCCAGATTTTTGTCAAAAGTAAGCAAACGTAAAACAATGAATTGCAAGCGTCCCGGTTGGTGCCTCGGTCGTGCAATTATGTTCGCATGCATGTGAGGGCAACTTCGGCAGGCTTGCCTGCGTGTGCTTCGTCGTGCATGCTTCGTCGTGCAAGCGGAGACAATGGCTGTACGATCGAAACCGAAACTATGCCATTCTGCTCCGTCGCAACCTGACTCTCAAAACTGTTTGCAAAATGTAACTGTCGAGCATACAAGAAAAACAGTCCAGCGGTGCGTGCTTGCCAGGCCGGAAAACAAAATACAAACACAAAACAAAAACAAAAATAAAAAAAAAGCTTGAGCGTGTTGATGCAAGACATCGCAAGCCAGGGTCCAAAGGTTCTTGGAGCGCTTTGTACAATGACTGATCTCGAGACAAACATGCGCGCTGTGCGGGTTCAGCGCGCAAACATTGCCTTCTTTGCTTTAGTTCACTTCTCTTCAACTTTCCTTCGCGCCCATCGAGGGAAATTTAGGTAATTAAAACTTCGACACAGCAGTTTTTGAGTTAAAGTGGGATTTTTGTAATAACGTATGATTTAAACAAAAACAGGAATGTTGATGAACATGCGGCGGTACATAATTTCATTTTAGAAAGCGCCATATCTGCAGCGACGTGGGGACGGCAACACCATACGTCGCGCGACCACAATGACTGGAAAACAGGGACCAAATATAGCTCTCCCACAGCGGTTGCTTTCAGGAGCAAGTGCTTCAGTTCATAAAATAACTCCCGCCGTGCAAAAAAGTGGTTTCGTTTCACAGCAAGACAGCACGGCTGGTACCCGGCACGATAGCGTAGGAACGTTCGCACTCATTCGCGTCTATCGTTAAAAATATTTTTAAAAAAAAGAAAAAAAAATGCGAGACGAGATTTACGAAGCAACGAATGCGCAAAACGGCGTGACGGCAGGAAAACCATACAGGATCGGATAGACAATTGATGCAGGGTACTTTGTGTAGGGCGGCCGCTTGCGCCACATAACACACGCATGCTCAATTACGGTACTCAGTTTAGTTTCGGTTTTGAAAGGCGACCGAAATTGTTTTTTGGCGCAGGCTCGGCGCACATTACCCATATTTTGGCAAAATGTAGCAGGATGTATCAGGGTTAGCCCCTTGACGCAGTTTGGCCCAATTTGCGCAGCAATCACGTCACTGCAGGCGGCTCCTACCCTACCGCCACTCAGAGTTCTTCGAGGGGAAGGAAGGGGAGGGTTGGGGGGGGGAGTGCACAACACAGTGTGTGCTAACACTTCCCCTCTCTTTCCCAAGCACTTTTTTCTCTCTCTTCCACCACTCTGTGCCGTGCACTGCCACTGGTTCTGTGCACTACGACGTCAGACCAAGAGCTGTGCCTGCTCTCTGTTGCTGGCATTGCTGCAAAGCAACTAACACAAGCAACCAAGGCCCGTGCAGGCTTCCCATAAAAAGATATCGCTTTAAAAAGCCCACAGAATGTCAGGCTTTCTTGCTTCAATCCCATTGGCGTCACACGCAGCTTCGAGAGTACCGACCACCACAGCACCGGCCAAAGCCATTAAGAGCCTTTGCTGTAGGCATCTTACAGCTATGCTAAGACGACTGAGTTGTGGTTAACCCTTCATTTAGCGACATTCAGTTGCTCTGGCACATAGTTTTAGAGCGCAGCTCTTAGGGGCCCGTTCCCGGCTTGAGCGGCGTCGGCGTCGGCATAACCAAGGTCACCCCAAGGTCACGCGACCCCCAAGGTCATCCCAAGGTCACCCAAAGGTCACGTGACCCTTCCCCCAGGGTCACGTGACGTCACTGATGACGTCATTGGCATCGTCATGTGACCCCCAAGGTCACGATACCCCCAGAGGTCACGTGTTCCCTCCCCCAGGGTCACATGACCCCTCCCCCAGGTCACTTCACCCCCCCCCTCCCCCAGTACCCCTTCCCTCCTCCTCCTCAAGAGCTGCGCTCTAATTCGGTGTTACAGGGAGTTGTAAACGGCTTTCACTTTTTTTTTTTTTAGGTACAGCTACTTTTTATCTACTTTGTTTCAAAATCTTTTTTAAGGCAATAACTTTAAGGAGCTTGTGTCGCAGAAAAGGCGGTGTCAGCGTCGGTGTTGGAAGGTAAAATCCTGATTGGTCGACAGGGTCATGACGTCACAGCCACATGACCTCGCGTGGGAATTTCAAACAACCCATAACACTCCCGTAAGACAAGACGTTACGCGTGAAACGAAAGTGATTAAAACATGACATGTAACGTGAATTAAAGGTCACCACATGTCTCAAATGATTGCACTTCATAAACTAATTAATTTGCCTTGAAGAAAAAATTTACAGAATTTTAGGCGGAGTCGGGATTCTAACGCCTGCAGGGCTTGGGAATGAGCAGGAGTTTATATGTTTAGCTATCGCGTTCCACTCTTAAAGAGACCATGAAACGATTTTGAAATCAAACTTTATCCATCGCACACCGTAAAAGGCGTAAAAAAAAACCCCAAAAAACAAAAATAGAAAGCCCAAAAAAATTCTTTGCTGTAAAAATTTTAAAAGGAAACCAGACTCTTTTACACCTTCTTCTTTTCGAAAGCTATCTGCCTTTTTACCGTGATACATCTGCGGAACCGCAGCACGTTGGCCAAATCCAGGTTGCCTATTGGCAACCTGGATTTGGCCAACCTCACCTGAAAGCCTACCTCACCAGAACAGCGATCATAAACAATAAATAGCCGGCAAATGTTTCCTAAGAGTTTCATTAAATAATATTCAGATCTACATTTTGTAGCATAATTAGAGATGTGTTGCCGAATTTGATAATGCTCAGAGCCAAGCACCATCTATCGTGTTGTAAACGAGACAAGGAAAAGACCCGAATGTGCCTGCACAGTCAACCCACGAGCGTCGTCTGCTGAATGGGTTTGCTCCTGGTCATGCTTTCTTCACAGAGCAGACTTTCCTTTTCTGGCTGCTCAATTATAGTGTTTACATTGGTTGTGATAAATCGCTCGGTCGCCATGCCGAAAGGCTGCAGTGTACCGAAGTGCCCGAATTAGAGTTTCTCAAGTCCGGAGGTTAAAAAGAAACAGTTGCAGTTTCACTGCTTGCCACTCAATGAACCACGCCGAAGCACTTGGTGCAGGCTCCTCGGTTTGAGGGACTCCGGGTCGAAGGTCATTCGTGCATGCTCGGGGCATTTTGATACCAAGCGTGATTACAACCACATTCACATAGTTTAACGCGTACCAACTGTACACTTGAAGGCCCGTTCACACTTTTGCGACCGAGTAAGACCGAGAGAGACCAGACCGGTTTTTAAGCCTCTTGAGGATTTTTAGGACCAGCTCCGCTGTAGCGCATTCGGTCCTAAGACGTCGCAAGAGGCTTAAAGGGATACTTCAACGAAATTTGAAATATTCCCGTCGTGTTCAAAAATACCGTATTTACTCGCATATTGGTCAATACGTCGTATAGGTCGACCCCCTAACTTCGGGACCCCCGAAAAAAAAAAAAAAGTTGAAAAATATAATTTTGGGATTCGCGTATTGGTCGACCCCCCCAGTTTTGATGAGGCGATTTTTGAAAAACAGGTCGACCTATACGCGAGTAAATACGGTAGGTTGAATATGATCCACAATATCTGTAAATGACAATCGCACGTTTGTATTTTGAGCCTGGTGGCTATATTTTTCGTTATAAACGGCCCACTCTGGCAAGCGCTCAAAGAAGGCCCAGCGGAGACCACGTGACTTCCAATGCAATCGTGACGGAGGTCGTCTCGGGACGAGCAAAGCTACGGCGAGGCTGACGTCGAGAGGATGGTCTAGTCGTTCCAGCCACCAAAGCGGCTGCTTTTGTATGAATTTTGAGTGACGGGTTAATCTTCTATAATCTTGTAGGGGGACAATAGCGACTTCTGCAAACACACAAAAGGCATTCTTGAGAAGAGGGGAGTTCCTCCTTCCCCTCTTCTCCCGTCGTGGCCGGAGGCGAGACAACCTCCGTCACTAGCTGTCAAGGTTCCTAGACGGGCATTACAAGCGAGGCGTTAGCGAAATCCACCAGGAGCTCATTGCTAATCGTTTAATTTGTTTTAAAATTCCTCTTAGAGACTTTTTTTAACAAGATATTGGCATGTTCGATGTGATACTGCTTCTTTGAACACATATAAAACAAAAAATGAGCGCCGCAGTTTTGTTGTAGTATCCCTTTAAAAACCGGTCTGGTCTCTGTCGGTCTTACTCGGTCGCAAGAGTGTGAACGAGCCTAAAGTGAAGCGGCACTACCGCTAATCGGGCTGATAGACCTGGCCATCTTCCAGAGCCTTCCACACTCATGAGCTCGTCTCCCTCAGTACGCACAGGTAGTCGAGCTCCTCCTCGCCTACCCCTCTGGTCATATGACCTCACCGTCAACCAATCAGTGTCCAGCCTCACAGCCACGCTTTTATCTGGGCTTCACGAAATGCCGAACACCTAGCCAAAGAAGGTTTCACGTTAATAGCACGTTAAAGGGATACTACAACGAAATTTCAACGCTCATTTTTCGGTCTATATGTGTTCAAAAAAGCACCATCAAATCGAACTTACCAATATCTTGTTAAAAAAGTCACGAAAAGGAATTTTAAAACGAATTAAACAATTAGCAAAGAGCACCTGGTGGATGTCGCTAACGCCTCGCTTGTAATGCCCGTCTAGCAACCTTGGCAGCTAGTGACGGAGGTTGTCTCGCCTCCGGCCACGACGAGAGAAGAGGGGCAGGAGGAACTCCCCTCTTCCCGAGAATGCCTTTTGTGTGCCACAGAAGTCGCTATTGTCCCCCTACAAGATTATAGAAGATTAACCCGTCACTCAAAATTTGTACAAAAGCAGCCGCTTCGGTGGCTGGAACGACCAGGCCATCCTCTCGACGTTAGCCTCGCCGTAGCTTTGCTCGTCTTGAGACGACCTACGTCACGATTGCGTTAAATGTCACGTGGTCTCCGCTGGGCCTTCTCTGAGCACTTGCCAGAGTGGGCCGTTTATAACAAAAAATACAGCCACCAGGCTCAAAATACAAACGTGCGATTGTCATTTACGGATATTGTGGATCATATTCAACCTATTTTTGAACACGACAGGAATATTTCAAATTTCGTTGAAGTATCCCTTTAACTTACGGCAATGTGTCGTGACGTGCTAGAGAGATGCTCGCTTAATAATCTAAATGGTCTGGGTTCGACTTCTGCCTAGGGTAAATGCTTTTTTACTGCAATTCCAATCAGTGTTGAGCCTCGCGGCCACACTTTTATCCAGGCTTTCCTTTTATCCGGGCTTCACGAAATGCTAAACATTTGGCCAAAGCACGTTTCACATTAAAAATCAAATGAGGCAACTGTGAATTACCACATGTTGACTGTGCCATAGAACAATATGACCAGGGACCCACCTTGAGTGTGCTGGGGAGCGCCCACTTGAGCCTGAGCTTGCAGGGCAGCCACACGCTGAGGATCAAAGCCTTCAAGGCGGCCCATGGCAGGCCTCTGCTGCTGCAGCTGCTGCTGCTGTTGCTGCTGTTGTTGTTGCTGCTGCTGCTGCAATTGCTGCTGCTGTAACTGCTGCTGCTGCTGCATGTGCTGCCACTGCTGCTGGCGCTGCAGCTGCTGACGCTGCTGCAGAATTAGGTTTCGTAGCCGTGCATCATTCACTTGTGGCCGCACCATGCCAATGCCAGGCTGCTGTTGTTGTTGTTGCTGCTGTTGCTGTTGTTGCTGTTGCTGCTGCTGTTGTTGTTGCTGCTGCTGCTGCTGCTGCTGTTGTTGCTGCTGTTGTTGTTGCTGCTGCTGCTGCTGTTGTTGTTGCTGCTGTTGTTGTTGCTGTTGCTGCTGCTGTTGCGGCTGTTGCTGTGGCGGTGGCTGCGGCTCCCGTGCGTCCCCCAGCATTCCCGGGTGGCAGAAGCTCTGCTGGGTCGTGTGACCAGGTTGCTGCTGCTGCTGCTGCAGAGCATGTTGTTGCAAGTGATGCTGTTGTGCTTGCTGTTGTTGTTGCAACTGCTGTTGTTGCTGTTGCAGCTGCTGCTGTTGCTGCTGCAACTGCTGTTGTTGCTGCAGCTGCTGTTGTTGCAACTGCTGTTGCTGCAACTGCTGTTGTTGCTGCTGCAACTGCTGTTGTTGAGGTGGTTGCTGCTGCTGTAACTGCTGAAGCTGCTGTTGCTGTTGAAGCTGGTGCTGCAGTTGTTGCTGCTGCAACTGCTGTGGCTGCTGCAACTGCAGCTGTTGTTGTTGTTGTTGTTGTGGCTGTTGCAACTGCAGCTGCTGCTGTAGTTGCTGGGGCTGTTGCAACTGTGGCTGGGGTTGCTGTTCAGGAGCCTGCGTCTGCGGCTGTGCCTGTTGCTGCTGCTGTTGTTGCTGTAGCTGCAGCTGCTGTTGTTGCTGCAACTGTTGTTGTTGTAACTGTTGGTGTTGCTGCTGGTGATGTTGCTGCTGTAGCTGCTGCTGCAGCAGCTGTTGTTGGTGCTGCTGCTGGTGCTGATGCTGCAGTTGCTGCTGCTGCTGTTCAACTGAAGCCATACCTGCAAAAAGCAAAAACACCAGGCTATTTCTACCAGGACAAATTTTTATCCATGATTGCCACCAAGAAAAGGTACAACTGGCAAATGCCCAGTTACATGAGTTAGTCCAACAGCAATTAGAAACTCCCAAATGAAAATGAACTTCTAGGGACCTAGTTTAGGTTTGACAAGTTTATACACATATAAAACAGTGAAATCATACAGCTGAAAGAGATGCGGCATTAAAGGGTACTCCAACGCGATTTTGAGCTACCCCAACAAACTATATGCCGAATTGCGTACCTTTCACGATAGTAAATAGCACACCTTTTTGTACGACACAAAAAATCTCAAACCAAAAAATCAGAAACAAACAGTTCCCAACGTTTCGGGGTCAGCTTGACTCCTCCTTCAGGGGGTGTCTAAATGGAATGGGACAGCACGAGCTTCAACCTCTTCTTCCTCTTCTACCGACTTAATGTTTTGTTAATGTGACGCAGGCCCTGGACGAAAGTAGATGGTAAGGCACCGAGGGACCTGTTAATGTTCCCCAATGTGTTCTGAATATGCCACGACTCCAAGAACATGTTTTCAGACATGTAGCTCCATGTCTATCACGTGCGCGTTCGTGAAGTCAATCTGATGATCAAGTACCTCACAATGTTCGGCAACAACGCTACACTTGCGATCGAAATTGCGTTTATCATTCTGGTGCTGGTGCATGCATTCCAGAAAAGATTTAGTTTCTCCGATGTAGGCGGTGGGGCACTCTGCACACGGTATCTTGTAGACCACACCTTGTGCTTTTTCTTTTGGGAGGCAATTCTTCGGCCTTGGCATGAGCCGTCCTAATGTTGCACTGGCTTGTGCGCCATTTGAATTCCTTCTTTTCAGAGCACGCACGCCAGTCTCTCGTTGGTCCCTTTTACATAGGGTACGCTGATGCGCGCGATGGGGCGGGGCTGTGTCACCAGCATACCTCGGCAAACCTCACTCATGAGGGCCCTCACTCACCCTCACTCACCCTTATCTTTACAGGTGAGGTGAGGGTGAGTTAGTTTCTGAACCAGGAAAATTCATGAGTGTGAGGGTGAGTGAGGGCCGTGAGGGCTGTGAGGGCGGTGAGGGCCGTGAGGGCCGTGAGGGTGGTGAGGGCGGTGAGGGCGGTGAGAGCGGCGAGGGCCGTGAGGGCGGTAAGGGGTATCAGGGCCATGAGTGCGTGACGGCGGTGAGTGGCGTGAGGGCCATGAGTGCGTGAGTGGTGTGGGGGCGGTGAGTGCGTGAGGGGTGTGAGGGCCATGAGTGCGCGAGGGCAGTGAGTGGCATGAGAGGCGTGAGGGCCGTGAGGGCAGTGAGTGCGTGAGGCCCCCTTCAGATCGAGCATCTTTCTCAGCAATTCTGGTGTTAATGGCGGGTTGTTCTCTAGCTTTCCCTAGATCGACACGAATTGCTGAGATCGGGTCCGGCTCGAAATAAGCAAGAAACTCGAAGCAATTCGAAGACGTTTGAAGCGGCGGCATCTAATCAGGGACGCAAAATTTTCACGTGATACCTCGTGCCGGTGATGATGACACCGAACGACTTGGTTCTGGTTTGAAATCGATCGTTTTTTTGGAAATAAACTGTTTCAGAAAGGTGCATTAGTATTCTTAAGGGGGGACGCGGGCCTTGAAAACCGAAAAATCGCGAAAAAGTCGATTTTTAGAAAACTATATTTTTGGGTTGTATATCTCATAAACTACCTTCCCTGTAATTATCAGTACCGAATACAACGGGAAAATATTTAAAAACAAATATCTACGACGCGTGGGTAGCTTCCAAGTGACGATCAAACGTCAAAACTCAACTCTTCTTCGCGCGCTCGCCATTCCCGATGCGCTTGGCCGACGTCCGCCATCTTGGTCTTGTTTTGAACGTGAATTCTTTCTCCTTTTTTTGCCGGCTCCCAAAACGGCTACGGCCGCTTGGTTAGGGCGCGATCGCCGTTCTCCTATGTTGCAATCGCGAGAACGTGATTGGACAGAGCGCGCGCTCCCCGAGCGCGCGGAGGAGAACGCGGCTACTATTGGCCGCACGGTGAGCTCTCCTCTCCCCGCGCGCTGTTTGCCTTTCCCTTCCTCCCGCTCCGCCCGCTCGCGGGCTTGCGTCGTCTGCTCCTTCGGCAGTGATCTGCTTGCTTGTCCTCGTGCTTTGTCAGCTTTGCTTTTCACTCCTCCATTGTTACGTCGGTTTTGTTTTCTCGATCGCGCCTCTTCTTCAATCAGGCTAGCGATGTGGAGGAGTAAGTACAAAAGCAAGACGAGGTTTGCGTACGGAGCGTGTAAACGCTCGATGAAGGAAGTGAGAGCAGCGAAATCGAGCGCCGATGCGGCTCCCGCCACAGGCAGCGACATAGTCGTGTCGACGTGTCCATCGACTGCAGCTGAAGAATCTATCAGCTCTTGTGTGCCTGGAACTTCGACGGGAAACACGACGGTGCACCTGCAGACGGAGTACGTTTCTCGGGCGGAAACTGAAGCGGCAGCGCAACATCGCGATGCCGTTCGTGCCAAACTTGCTTCCGTGTCTGCCACGCAACGTAAGTTTGATATTCTGAAGCAAGATCCTCCTACTCCGACGAATTCGTCATCGAAATTCACCATCGTGCGGCTAGATGCTATCAATGAACTTCTTGGCTACACGGTCTGCCAAGGCTGCTCAGCCACGGGAATGAAGATTCAAGAATCGACTGCTCTGGGTCTTGCTGTGAAGCTTGAACTTGTGTGCCCCGTCTGTGAAGTTGTGTCCCACGCCTGGTCTTCACCACGCAAGGCCGACTCTAACGCGTTTGACGTGAACCTGAGAGCAATATCTGCAATCAGGAGCATCGGCAAGGGCCAGACTGCGTTGAATGATTTCTGGTCAACGATGAACGTGTCCCACCGAGGACTCCATCACAAGACTTACCAGGAACACCTCAAAAACGTTGTCAGTAAGTCGGCTGCAGTTTCTGCAGAGAAGATATTCACAGAATCCGCTGCTGCTGTGAAAAGTATATGCAAGGACATGGACCCAAGTTTTACCAGGGATATTGCCGTCGTCTATGATGGCACCTGGCACAAGAGGGGCTTCAGTTCCCATGTCGGCGTTGGGAGCGTCATAGAATTCGACACCGGCCTGATTCTAGATGCTGAAGTGCTCTGCAATCTGTGTCTCGGCTGCCAGACTGGACCCAAGCCTGGAGACGAGAAGTACGCCGAGTGGTTACAAAACCACAACTGCCAAAAGAACACTGATGCGAACTCTGGAAGGATGGAAGTTGATGCTGCACTTGCACTTTTTGGGCGTTCTTTGGAAAAACGCGATTTGCGGTACACTACGCTGATTTCGGATGGGGACAGCAGGACTTTTGGTGCCCTAACCGAAGAGAGAACTTATGGGTTTGTCCCCATAAAGAAAGAAGAATGCCTCAACCATGTGCAGAAACGAATGGGGACTGCTTTGCGAAATCTCTCGCAGAAGAGTGACAAGCCACTAGGAGGAAAGGGCCGCCTCACGAAAGGACTAATTGAAAAGCTCACTGGCTACTACGGATGGGCCATAAGGAATCACAGCAACGACGTGGGCGCCATGAAGCGGGCCGTGTTGGCGACCTTTTACCATGTCACCTCAACCGATGAAAATCCAAAGCACGACCTGTGTCCAAGTGGAGCAGACTCTTGGTGCAGGCACAGGGCAGCTGAGGCAAAAGGAGAGCCACTGGCAAAGCACAAGTACTGCCTCCCCAACTATGTTGCCGAGGCCATGCTGCCTGTGTACGAGCGCTTGTCACAAACAGCGCTCCTCACGCGCTGCTTGGGAGCAAAGACTCAAAATGCTGCGGAAAGCTTTCATTCGGTACTGTGGTCTTTGATGCCGAAAGAGCAGCATGCTTCACTGGTGTCTGTAGAGGCTGCCCTGCACGAGGCAGTCATCAGGTTCAATGCTGGCTGTGCTAGGGCACATCAGGAGATAAACAGTGCCATGAACCTCCAGCCTGCACACCTGGCTCTCCGGCGGGCCTCGGAAAAGGACTCTCTGCGCTTGAGCAAGGCCACGAAGCGCCACCACGCAAAGCAAGATGCACGCCAGAAGAGGAGAGCTGAACACAGCACCACAGACTATGCTGCGGGTTCTTTTTGACATTGTTGTGCCGCATCTAACTTTGGGACTTCGTTTCTCGAGAAGGTGTTTATTGAATCTTACATTACTTTTGCCAAGCATATCTCGCAAAGCAGTTGTTCGATTTGTGCGCTGTTTCTTTTATTTTGATGACAGATAGTAGTAGAAGGGTGTGACAAGCCCACTTTTTGCAATAATATGTTAATTTTTTTTTAATCCATAAATTGTTTTTATATCTGTTAATGACTTTGGTGACATGAAAATTTGAATTTGTATTAAAAGCTGTTCTTGAATGAAATTCACCGAAAGGGCTCTGTCACTCCCTTGGGTGTATATTCAGACACCTGTCTAGCGAATTTAATGTTCATACTGTAGTCCATTTATATCTCAGGCTTGGCAGAACAAAGGAACATAAAAACTCATGTAACTCAAAAGTGAACAATCATAATTAATTCAAATCTTACAGTTATTATCAATGCCCTTATACCAACAGACTCTGTAAATTTCATGCAAATAGCTCCAGAAACAAAAAATATATTTTTGTTCCCCACCTCCTCCCTTAACGAGGTTTAAATGCATCAAAACAAGTTTATAACGCGTAATTCTGTCTAAATAGTGCAAGAAAAATAATTTTTTTATGATGACGATGGCAAATTGCAGCAATTGGTTGCTGCGTGTGATCGCGGGCGGCCCGTGTTGCTGGTGTTGCGACGTAAAGTTTCTGGGCGAAATTACCCCATCTGAAGCTGGCCTGAGTGGCGTGAGGGCCATTAGTGCGTG